CGGGGGCAGCTTCTTCGGGGGCAGCTTCTTCGGGGGCAGCTTCTTCGGGGGCACCTTCTTCGGGGGCACCTTCTTCGCCGGGCGCTTCTTTAGGAGTTGGCTCTTCGGTAGCTGTTCCTGCAACGGCGGCTTCTTCGGCGGCCACCGCTTCAGCCGCCGACCCTTCAGCTGATGCTTCCGCTGACGGTGCTTCCTCTGACGGTGCTTCCTCTGACGGTGCTTCCTCTGACGGTGCTTCCTCTGACGGTGCTTCCTCTGACGGTGCTTCTTCTGAAGGCGGACCCATAGTGGCAGCCTCGTCAGAAGCGGCTTCAACAGACGCTCCCGCGTCTTCAGTCGACTCGGACGTATCCCCCTCCGCAGCTGCTTCTGGAGACTCGTTATTCTCCTCGGCCGGTGGAACGGAGTCCTCGGCAGCAGATGGTGCATCTACTGGTTGATCTGCAGCATCAGCTGGAGGTTCCTCAGCCTCCTTTGTCGCCTCATCCTCTGCGGGAGCATCTGTATCCGCCGGCTGCTCCTCCGCTTCTTTAGAAGCGTCGGCTTCCCCATCAGCCCCATCGTCCGCCCGAGGATCTGCCTGTTCGGGTTGCGTTGTCTCGGCCTGGGGTTCTTCCGGAGTGCCGACGGCGGCTTCATCGGCCTGCTCATCAGCAGGTGTCTCGTCTGCTGCGACGGCTTCGACAGCAGGTGCGTCATCGCCAGGGCCATCTTCCCCTGGGCCAGCGTCTTCTGTTGCTGGCACCGCTTCAGTTTCATTTCCTTGTGGAGATATATCCTCGAGGGGCCCATCTGGCTTGTCATCTGAGGGGTCGTCGTCCTCCGCTTTAGCCTCTTCAGCTGACTGTTCAGCTGGAGGCTCATCCGAGGCTCTATCCTTGTCCTCCTCAACAGCTGGGTCAATGGGAGAAGACTCAAGCGGTTCTGCTTCGGTTGCGTCTGTTGGGGCGGCATCAGCTTCGGTACTGTTCGTGGAGGGCTCGGCTTGCTCTGCATCCGCCTGAGGCTCGTCTTCTTTATCTGGTACGGATCCCTCTGTAGTGCTTTCTTCCGTCGAACCAGTCTCCTCAGTCATCGGGTCTAACGAGGCTTCGGCGGCCTCTTCTGCTTCCGTTGGGGATGGCTCTTCATCGGGCGCTGGGGAATCAGGTCCAGCTCCAACGTCCGACATGGCCTGTTCTAGTACTTCAGTGATCTCTTCCGGAGGCGCGTCGTCAGCCTGCATCTTCTCGACGATTTCGACGACAGTCTCGAGTTCCGGATGCCTGTCGCCTTCACTTGACTCGACGGCTGTAGCTGCTTGTGAATCGTGCGACTCGCCATCTCCCGGTGAATCGGCAGCTGCCTCTTCTGTTGGTGCGTCGACGGATCCTTCCTTTGGCGCTTCAGGCTTAGTTTCTTCTGTTGTCCCGGTTGGATCATCACCAGCAGCATCAGCTGGAGCATCAGCTGGAGCATCATCCGTCGGCTCCGGTGTCTGTGGAGTCAGCAAATGGCACTATAGGGTTTGGGATGAATCGAGATCTCCATCGGGAAAATGGGGTCCATGTCGTGACCGTGAACGACTTGATGCCGTTCATGGTCAAGGACGAATGTCTTCGAAAAGGTCATCAACTTACTGTCGGTTGCTGCGTCGATTCCTCTGTCGCAGTTTCTGGTTCACCGTCGCCGCCTGTGAAGAACCTGTTAGTCTGAACCACCCCAGCAGGGTATCTCTCCCGTTTACCTCCATCTCTGCCCTTCTCTGATTCGCCGGTCATTGTTGCTTGATCGGGTGCGGTGGAATCCGTCGTATCTATATCGCCTGTCGTGCCTGGGTCTGATGAACGCGTCAGAGCATGAAAATAAGAACAAAAACTCCAAACTTGCCTTCTGCTTCTGCTGGCGCATCATTTTGAGGAGGCACTGGATTTTCCTCCGAGGGCGGAGTTGTTTCTTCTTCCGGCTTCATCTGGTCGTCAGCAAATGGCTTGCTGGGATATAATCGGTCGGCTGGTATAATGGGGTGGAAAGAAAACGAAACGGCGCTTGGATCAAAGGTCTGATAACCATAGGTAGGAAGTTGCGCGTACTGGAACGGATAATGGAACGGTCGTGCCATCTCCGTTATCCTGGTTGGACTGATCAGACCAGATGTCAAGAGTCTTCTTAGCCTTCCTCTTTTTATTCTTTCCCATTGCAAGTTAGATGCCTGGGGTGTGTATGGACGTCGGTAAGGCAAATTTGTCGAAGCTGCCAATCGCCTCCCTCACCCGAGAATCACGAGCTTTGCGGGAGGATCGGCAAACGAGGTGACGTTACGTTACCGGATAGAAACGGTAGGGTAGAGAAGCGAAGTACTCGTAAAACCTGAGAGACATGTAATAAGGAGAAAGGAATGGCTGCAAGACACAGGGTGTTGCAACATCTGGTTGAACAGAGGACAGGGTCTGTGAAGCCCAAGCGTGATCCTTGCGTCGGGACTCATGTCTGCGGCAAGAATGAGCGCCACGAGCATCAGACCCCATTTTGGCACAAGCGAATTTTGGCAATTGGACCACGTCGACGATGACAAGTCGGTGCGGCGCAGGTTTGGACGGCGAATTCAGCGGCGGTCATGCAGACCAACGCGGGATAAAACTAAGAAAGCCAGTATAAGACTGCGTCAAGGTCAGACAACTGCAATAAGGACTGGATAATCACCGCAATTGTCCGCAATTGGATGAAATGTGCATGAGGCTGGCAATGATTGGGCCGCCTACGTGGCGGAAGGTGTTCCTAGATTGATGCCCAACTCATCACTGGTCAGCAAGAAGGAGAAGAAGCTGCGGATGAAGGGAGTCCTCATCCTTGCTGTAGTCTGTAGGTGACGTGCCATGTGTTTCGATTTGCCAGAAGCAATGCAGTGAGTTGGAGCCATCGAGACCAGTTCGTTCGGGAAGTGATGGGTGTTCATTGAGAGACGCACAAAAACGGGATCCCTGCGGAGGTCCAGCGGCGCACATCACATTACTCGAGTGTCGCGGTGTCAAGTCTTTTAGGCGCGGAGGAGTTCATGAGTGAGGTCGTCATTGGCGACAGCACAGTTGGCAGCCACCATCCCATGCTGAAAAATAACGGTTATGAATGGTATGGAGAGGAATCTGGTAATTGACGAAGCATCAGAACTTGAAAGTTGCGGGTCGAGCCGATCGCCGACCCGGAGAGCAAAGTCCGTTGCTCCTCGTTCATCACAGGTTCACTCAAGAATCACCCTGGCCTCACCCCGCTTCTATGGCCTCTTTCTCTCCCCCTCCTATCTGAGTGGTGCTTCACTTTCAGAGCGCGCGTTCCATTGGGTGAGCAAGATAAATGTCCTGACTCATGATCTTAATATCCCCGTGATTGATGGACATATCACGTGTTGGTTGGCAACGACGATCGGGTGCCTAGGTAGGTCACACAAACAGAATAGAAAGTGCACCAGCCTTTGTGTTGGAGCTTTGGGTATATTCTATGGTCGCTTCATGTTGATGTCAACCCAACTGTCTATCCATATTTTCCCGCCAACCTGGGCCGTAGCGCTTCATAGCCCAAATTACGGAGGCACTGGACAGTGCCCAAAGTCCAAGAATAGTAAACAGCCAGCCATTCCCAATGGCTGCAATCAGTGGCGCCCCGACGATGGCGCCAACGCATGAGAAAATGTTCCGGCATAGATTGTTCAAAGCTACTCCAGAAGAGGATCGACGTGGCATAAACTCTGTCAACATGGTCGTGGACATGGCAAAAATGAGCATTGACCCCAAACCATAAAAGAAGTTCGCGATCATCTGTTCCACACGTGTCAGCCACTGCACGGTACCTGCATGGTACACAGTACAAAAGGAGGTACTTTGGATGGTTTCAGAATGACTCACCGGTGCTATCCAAAACACCCCTTTCTGTACCGTCCAACCGTACCAGATTAGAGCGCACGGATACATCAGTGCACCCAGCCACGCGTTCTCACGCATGCGATCCTCGGGCCTGAAGATCAGCTTTCCACGCTCATCCACGCGGTTCGCTTTGATTGCTTCTCGTTTCATGATCCAATCCATCCAGCGACCACCCATCAAACTCGCCAGAATGTACCCGACCGAGTTGGGCAGATACAGCAGTCCGATGATGATTGTCGCATAGTCATATGGTTGCCTCTCGAAAGTGTACTGGATACTGATGTTGAGTACGTATAATGAGCCGAAAGTAACCGCAGAGTAATACACCGTGAGCAGAACGGGCATGAATCGTAGGTACAAGATGACGCTGAGTGGGTCCACCAACAACATTCGTGCAATCTTCAAGTACTTTCTCGATCTCCTTTGTACCACCTCCCGGGTTGAGGTTCGACTCAGCGGTGGCCGGTCGCTGCCGGCAGTCGAAGGCGCATTGTCTGTCTCTGTGTCTGGACCTACATCCTTGGCCGCCTTCAGTGTTTCAGGCAGGCCAAAGAAGACCAGCAGCCACGTCAAGACTATCATATTTGTCAGAGCTATTCCTTGGCGCATCGCCACTGTCAAGCTTACCTCCATATATTACCAGGGCCCATTGAGTTGCTCTCCAATTCCAAGCTTGGCCGAGAATGCCACCCACTATAGGCGCGAGCAGGGGATTGCACAAAGGTCCCAGATAGAAGATTCCCATCGCTCTACCTCTCTCCCGAGACTCCCAAATGTCGGCGATCGTCCCCGCACCAACCGCCTGGACAGAGGCAGCAGCGCCGCCGGCGAACAGCCGCACGGCAATAAGCATGGATATCGAATGGGAGATAGCGCTCAGGACAGAGAACAGAATGAACATGGTAAAGGAGGTGAGGTATATAGTACGCCGGCCAGCAGTCTCAGAGAAGGCTGACCACCACAGAGGAAATATAGCCATGCTCAACATGTACAATGCAACAGACAGATTGGTGGTGGTTGCGTCGGTGTGGAGATTCCTCGCCACATCGTCGAGAGTTGCTGGACGACATAGTCAACAACATTGTTCAGTAATGGCAGCACGAGAAAACATACGCAATATGATCGCACTGCCAACCGGTGCGGCGGCAGCGGCTATAGCCACGACAAAGGTAATGAACCATTTTGTGCTATCCTTATAGTGGTACGGATCCGTAACCTCGGCTGTCAAAGAGAACCGTGCAAACAGCCCCCGTCTTTCTGTGCGCGAGACCTTGACGATAGGTTTCTTGGGTGTTATAGTCCTTGCCAGCACATCGTCGGCGTTTTCGACATCGTGCGTATCAGCAACAGTCGATGGTTCAGAGCGCTGAGAGTGAATAGATCGGGCGTCAGAATCGCGTTCGACATCTTCCTCTTTCCTGATCTTCCCGTCTGAGGATGCACGGCGTAAAGTATCTTCAGCGGCAGGAAGTTTCTCGACGTTATCGAAAGACATCGGCGCAATAAGATGAGCGATAGGAGGCGGCCGTGAGTGAACAAGACTTCGAAGAATCTGCTGGGCAAGTCATTCCTCGAGCACAGGATGTTGGGAACCGAATATTCGCTCAAATTTGGAAATATAGAATGGAGAAAGCCAAATTGATGCTGGAGCGGAGCATATTCAAGATGCGGTCAGCTACATATGAAGCTGGTGCAGTCTGGCATAGTCCTCGAAGCCAGAAACACAACCGACATGGTGTTCAGCCAGACAAGATGGACGTCCGCAGCGGCAAAAGCGAGGACATTTGCAGTTACCCGACGCATGAGGATCGAATTCTCGTGGACCATGCCCCATTGTCCGGTGTACAGCCAATGACGACAGTAACGTGGTGGGGTTAAGCATTGATAGCCGGCATTTTCTGCATTCAACACAGATGGAGAAGAACGCGCTGATGAATTCTTTGGGCTTTGTCGTGCCGCTTTGCCGAGGGGAGATGGAAAGCCGCAGTTGGAGGCAAAGAGGAAGGAGCAGGAATTCACCTCGAAAACGGAAAGACTTCTGCCACCCCATCTGCGTCTTGGCTTTTGGTTCGCCCGGACCCCAGGCTCACGGGATGTACGGCGTACGGCCGCGATAATTTTGATGATGGCCAGGACGAGGGAGAATACTGTTGATAATCTGGCTTCTAGACTGACTTGCACGGCCACGTCCTTGTCGAAGTTCCCGTCAAGATTGGTTGCAATGGTCACTTGTTGTTTACCTGTGTTAGCACCCGTCAAAACACGCGCAGGTACGCTTCACATCAGATAATGCAGGCAGGGGTGCAGACCAACACCACACCTTCCGAAAAGGCTTGAAGCCGAGGCTATTTGCTTCGCAGATTGCAGACGATGTACCTCAACATTGAGGTGCGTTTAAGCCAAGGAAAGGACACGACATGGGCATCTCGAGCATCGTAAGATCGATCGAGCACCCACGTGTGCTTCGGCAATGTCAGGTCTGAGCTGAGGAGACCATCAGGTGAGACCATGAGTGTTGACGGATGACCGCTGTGTCGAGTGCAGTCTTCCGGCTCGCTGCGTTCAGCCGGGAATCAGCACCGACAGAAGATTGTCAACTTGGAAGTCGCGGGTGAACTAGCTTGAGCGACCTACCCGAAATCCACGTGCAAGACATAGTGTGACTCTAGGAGCAAGATGACCATTGTACGATCGTGATTAGAATGCTGGTTGTTAATGAGATACGAAATTGACATCCCTCCTCGTGGTCTGGATGCATAATACTGTGCACTCGTACCGAAGCCATCTGTCAATTCAAAAGGCAGTTACCCACCAGACCAAGTCATTCTCCACTCCACTTCTCACGATCTTCCCTTCAAGGCAGTGTCGACAGCACTCTTTTCTAAGCTCGACTCTGTACTCCGTGTCCCGAGAGAACAATCAATAACCGCCTCAGCATCACTTGGACTTGTATGTACTGCTGCACTCTTAGACCGAGCGTAAAAATCTACCAAAGTGCTGGTCTGCTCGCAGAGTATCACGTCGTCGGCGCAACAACAAGACTACCCTCTACGATCTCAAGAACCCGCAGAAACATTCAGGTCCAAAGTCTACAACGACGTCCAGTATCAGTGATAGTGCGCATCGGCTCACCCGCCATCATGTCGACAGCGAATCCCGCAGCAGCCACCGCGGCCAACCGCGAAAAGCTAAAGTCCCACATGGCTCAGTACTCGGGCTCCTCGTACGTGCAAGGCTGGGACGAGCTATGGAACAAAGGCGACTTCTTACCATGGGACCGCGGCTCTCCGTCTCCAGCACTGGCTGACACCCTCTTGAACCACGCCAAAGTCATTGGTGGACCGTTTCTGGATGGACGGCGGAAACGTGCATTAGTACCCGGTTGTGGGCGGGGTGTCGATGTATTGCTGCTTGCGAGTTTTGGATACGATGTTGTAGGCCTGGAATATGCTGAAAAGGCGCTGGCCGCATGCGAGGAATACGTCAATAAGCATAAGGGGAGCTATCCTGTGAAGGACGTGAAGATGGGGCAAGGTGAGATGAAATTCGTGCAGGGAGATTTTTACAAAGACGAGTGGTTCAGCAAGGTAGGGTGGGAAGGTTGGGATGGAAAGTTCGATTTGATCTACGATTACACCGTGAGTGACAAAGCCCCTTTTCCCACAAGTCACGATTGGGATCGCGGTTCTTTGTGCTCGTCTCGGGTCAGAGATCTCAGCCTCAGGGTTGTCTGATCTGATACAACCTGCGAGTCCTGCATCTTCCCATCATCCGCAGCACCTTATGCACTTGGCCATACTGACGAACGCGGCCGGCCAGTTTTTCTGTGCAATGCACCCGTCCATGCGAAAAGACTGGGCGAAACGCATGACCGAGCTGCTCCGAGCTTCCCCTCAGGCAAACCTCGTCTGTCTCGAATTCCCAATCTCCAAGCCTGCTAAGTCAGGTGGGCCACCTTTCAGTGTGCCTCCAAAGACGTATCTCGAGCATCTCAGTCACCCGGGTGAAGAGATTGCATATGATTCAGAGGGCAATGTCAAGATGAATCCCTTAGTCGAGTCGAGTCCGAACGCTTTTGAGAGGGTGGGTCACTGGCATCCTGCTGATACCCATCAGGTGGGAAAGGATAAGGATGGGAATGTCGAAGATTACATCTCGGTCTGGAGACATCGTTGATGTTGGAGTATCGGCTGCTTGCACACGTTGTTCGGTCGTGTCAACGAGTTGAGAAATCGGGCTTCAACAGCTAGCTTCTCAGGAGTCTTGTCCGGCATTTTGACCCGCTGCTTGGGGCCAGGGTCAGGTCAGCTTTTGTGCGACTTCTTCAGAGCATTGTAGTGCTCGCCTAGTCCGAAGCTGTGCCTGTAGTAAGCCAGCCATATGGGCTCTGCATCTTCCTTGCTCTCTGATCCAGAGCTGATCTTCTCAACCCGGCCATCTGCTCGAAGAACATTGACATCAACGTTATAAGACCGTGCAATAGCCTGCAACTCCAATTCTCCGCCCCATTCGGCTGTGTCGCGGATCTTCCGCACATAAGACTCCAATGGCTCTTCCATAAAAGCCGCGAAATCATCCGGGTGCCTCTGCATAAATTCCGCCGCAGCATATCTGACGTGTTGGTAGGGCTCCTTTTTGGCCTGCCCAGTCTGTGCCACAAGGAGATCAAGCGGCATGCTGTGCGCACAAGCTGAGAAGAGACAGTGGCCGTCGGGGCGGATAAGGGTTTCTGAGAGGTCGAGTTTCTTCATCTGTTCTTTCATTGCTGAGATCTCTCGCTCACGCAGGTCGGGTAGGTGCGATGCTTCTTCTGCCGCTGCAGCCGCTTGAGCTTCTGCCTCTGCTGCTCGGCGTGCTAGTCTTGCTTTTTGTCTGTTGGGTTTCTTCTGTTGGGGTTGGTCGGTCGACGAGGCTTGCTGATGGTTCTCTTGCCTAAGGTCTTCCGTTGCTGTGTTTGACTCGCCATTGGTTGTGGCAGGAGCATCGTCGATAACCAACTCCTCAAGTGCATCTACTATCTGGGGCTCCTTTGCAGGGTCCAATGCTTCAAGCTCTGCTTGTTGCTTTTCAGCCAGCTCTCTCTCAAGCCTGTCACATTCATCATTGACGCCTTTCCTGGTTTTCTTCGTGGCGTTCTTCTTCCTTTGCGTTATCTTTGCCTGCAGATCTCGTTTCTCTTTGCGGTGTCTCGCAAGAACTTCTTCCATGATACTGATGCAGGCTGCAGTACTCCGTACTGACGGACGAATTATAAAAGTTGACTATGACTTAACATTTCTCATGGGTCGATGTGATGCCAATAAAAGCTCTCGGCAAGGAACACGACTACTCTGAATCTTGCTCTCGAGACTCTTGAAAATCTTGGAGAGTTGCACTGCTTCGATACCGGCAAACAAGCATCAATTTCTCCTTCCTCGATGTCTCGCAAACATCACGCCCACTCAACATGGAGATTCTCAAGCCACAGTTTTTGCTGGTGGCGCCAGCCGCCTCATCGGCGGGGCCGCACTAGCCCCGGCACGTGTTGCTTGGCGCTCCGAAGCTCTTTGTTAGGCTCTGCTAGTTGTGCCCTAACGGGCACCGGGACCCAGCTGTGGTGCCTTGCCCCTCGTTCATCCCACCTCTGAAACACCTTCGGAGCGCGCGCTTGCTTAACGGGAGAAGAGGGGAGCGAGAACAGTTCACCGCAAACGCTGCCTCAACCCGCTCCAGCGGCTATCAGATTACGACTTGGGATATCTGGATTCTTTTGGCACACCGCGATCTGGTCCTCTCTCTACCGGCAAATATTTCTACTGGCTAGGTCTTACATGCCTATCTTGCGCTTCACCTGAAGCGGCCCCCACCTTGTCGTCGCGGACTGGACACACCCGCCGCAACCAAGCGCAGCCGTATACTCAGTGTCAGCACCAGCCAACTCTATCACTCAGCCGCATGATATTTGAAGAAAGAAATTGGCCCTGCCTTCTTGCCTAATCTATCCGCTTCAGCCATATATTCAGCTGATTCAGCTGGGTCCTCGACCCGCGACATCCCTATTTACCTCGTCTTCCTCCGTCCGCTTGCTGCTCGACTTGCGCTGTGTGTATCCCAGATCAACCAAGAGTAATAGACTGCAACAGCAAATATGGGGGATCTAGCCGGGCGCAAGGTGTTCAAAGTCTTCAATCAAGATTTCATTGTTGATGACCGATACACTGTCACAAAAGAGTTGGGTCAGGGCGCATATGGCATTGTCTGGTATGGTTGCTGTGAACATGCGCCAGAGCGTTGCTGACACCTTCGAAGCGCTGCTACCAATGGTCAAACAGGAGAGGGGGTAGCTATCAAGAAGGTCACCAATGTGTTCAGCAAGAAGATCCTTGCGAAGCGAGCTCTGCGCGAGATCAAGCTCCTGCAACATTTCCGCGGGCACAGAAATGTTAGATTCGTAGTCAAGCTCAGAGGAGGCACCCGGCTGACCAGACACAGATTACTTGTCTCTATGACATGGATATTCCTCGCCCGGACAATTTCAACGAGACATATCTGTACGAAGGTACGACTGCCACCAAGGTCGAGGCAGAACATTCACTAACTGGAATTAGAGCTGATGGAATGCGATCTCGCCGCCATCATTCGATCAGGACAGCCATTGACGGACGCCCATTTTCAATCGTTCATCTACCAGATTTTGTGCGGCCTGAAGTATATTCACTCGGCGAATGTCTTGCACAGAGATCTAAAACCTGGCAACCTTCTCGTCAATGCCGACTGTGAGCTCAAGATCTGCGATTTTGGTCTGGCTAGAGGTTTCTCTCAGGATCCTGAGGAAAATGCCGGGTATATGACTGAGTATGTCGCTACCCGCTGGTATCGGGCTCCGGAGATTATGTTGAGCTTCCAGAGCTACACCAAAGCTAGTACGTCAAACAGGCCGTGACATACCGGTTCCTAGCTAACCTGGGCAACAGTCGATGTGTGGTCCGTCGGGTGTATCCTGGCCGAGCTACTAGGTGGCAGACCGTTCTTCAAGGGCCGCGACTACGTCGATCAGCTGAACCAGATCCTGCACTATCTCGGCACTCCCAATGAAGAGACTCTGTCGAGAATCGGATCGCCACGTGCACAGGAATACGTCCGAAACCTGCCTTACATGCCAAAGATCCCTTTCCAGAGACTGTTCCCGCAGGCGAACCCTGATGCGCTCGATCTTCTAGATCGCATGCTGACTTTCGACCCTTCATCCCGCATCTCGGTGGAAGACGCCTTGGAACACAGGTACCTCCACATCTGGCACGACGCTAGTGACGAACCTGCCTGTCCTAAGACCTTCGACTTCGCTTTTGAGGTGGTCGAGGATGTGCAGGAAATGCGGAAGATGATCTTGGACGAGGTCATGAGGTTCCGTCACCACGTCCGCCACCAGACAACCCCGACTCCCACGGCCAATATGAACGTACCGATTCCTGAGAACCCCAGTCAATGGAGCCGCCATGAAGACCCAAGGCCGCAAGAGGCAGACTCGTTCGCAGGCGCTAGCGATCTTGAGCACGAGTTGCAGGCTGGAGCGGATATTCTCATGAGACGATAGACTGCCCGTCCTTGTCCTTACGCCGCCACCGTCGCAAGTTCTGAAAATTGGCTGTAGTCCCTATCTGGAGCTTGGAAAGTGAACAGAGCAGCATCGAATCAAAATATATCATGAATTTGAAGTTCTTTCTCTACCCACCACTTCCATGACCCTTTTTTCGCTTGTGTTCCTGATTTGACCCCTTTACCTGTTTCTCCTCCTGACTTGGGATCATTTTCTTCGGAACCCATTCTTCTGCTTGGGTTGGCTTCCGTAGCTTCTCCTCCCTGTGTTCTGCTTCTTATCCCGCATGCTTGCGCCCAGCTGAATGTCGACTCGGGGAGGCGAAGCGAAGCCGAAGCTCTTGGCAACCTTCACCAGGTCAAGCTTGTTTACGTCGAAAACGGACCTCAAACTGTGTGAGGCGTACGCTTGCAGGTACGAGCGGTATCCATCCTTGGCGGACTGATTGTGATTTGTTAGCTCCACGCACGCATTCATGTCTGCACGCCCACAAGCTCTGCAGGGACGACTGGGACGAAAAGCCAACTCACCTTGTTCAAGTAATAGTTCTGTCCGATCAGTTTTTCCAGTTGACTCTGGATGTTGACCAGCTTCTTGGTTGGGAAATCAAACTCCACGACCGGAACACGTGCCTCCTTCAACTGCGACAGAAACCCGACTTCGTTGGGCTGTAAGAACATCAGACTCCTTCCTTTGCCGTTGCTTCCGCGAGCAGTCCGTCCCACTCGGTGGATGTAGTCCCTCGGATCGTCCGGCGGGTCGAACTGCACGATCCAATCGACGCTGGGGATGTCGAGGCCTCGTGCCGCCACGTCCGTGCAGATCAACGTGCCGTGGCTGGCGTTGATGAACTCGAAGAATGTATTCGTGCGCTTTTGCTGTTTGAGGTTGCCGTGGAGTTCCAGCACGGGCAGATCAATGTAGTTGAGGAGTTCGCAATGGTACTTGACGCAGTTGCACGAGGACATGAAGACGATGACTTTCTTCTTCAGGTTGCGCTTGAGGAAGGAGAAAAGCAGGAGGAAGCGCGTCTCGGGCGGGACAATCACATAGCCTTGCTCGAGGCCCGAGACGGTGCTGGTCTCGGCCTTGTGGTCCACATTGATGTACAGCGGGCCCGGACGGAGGGATATGCGCGCCAGGTCTTCGACCTTTGTGGTCTGGGTGGCGGAGAAGAGCATCGTCTGGCGGGAGTCGCGGTCCGGGAGGATCTTGACAATCTGTCGCATTTCGTCTTCGAACCCGACTTCGAGGATGCGGTCGGCTTCGTCGATGATTAGCGCTTTGACATTCTTGTAGACAAACCCCTTGGTGTTCTGGAGATGGTCCAGCAATCGACCGGGAGTGGCGATCAAGAGATTCACTCCCTTGGAAAGCTTCTCTGCCTCGGCGCTCCGGTTCGCGCCGCCGATCACGATACCAAATGTCTGAGTGTGGAATTTCATGAGGTCGCGCGCAACGCCGAAGATTTGTAATGCGAGTTCGCGGGTTGGGGAGACGACAATGACGCCCGTGCCATTGCGGGGCTTGAAGCGCAGGGCGTGCAGCATCTCGACGGCAGGAATCAGGAAGGCGAGGGTCTTTCCACTGCCGGTCTTGGCAGCGCCCAATACATCCCTGCCTGCGAGGAGTGGAGGGATGCCCCGGCGTTGGATCTCCGTCATGGTCGTGAACCCCATTTCCTGGATGGCCTTTGTAGTTTTTTCCGAGAGATTGAGTTCGGAAAAGTCCTGTGGCACGGTGTCTGTGCCTGGGAGGGAGGGAGCAACGTCGGTGGGCAGGTCTGTTGTTCCGCGAGGTGTGGTATTCAAACCACTCGCGTTGACGATTTCTGAGAGCTCGGGGTCTGCATCCTCGCCATCGACTCCGTCTTCATCGTCCGAGGGCTTCTCCTCTACGGACTCAGGCTTCGCAGTATTCGTGTCCTTGGCGGGCACCTCTGTCTCACTCTCTCCTTCATCTTCGCTTTCGTGAGATGTTTTCCGCCTCTTTTTGCTCTTTTCTTGCAATTGCTTCGTGATTGGAGGTTCTGGAGCGTCTGGAGCATTGGTCGCCAGCAGAGGGGCCACCGATTCGGCTGCTGCGTCGGTGGGCTTCGTCCTCTTCCTCTTGCGCTTCTTCGATTTCTCGACCTGAGGCTCCAGTGTGTTCGACATCCTGGGGTCTTGTCCTTGCGCGGGTCGTGTGCTTTAGGTGCGGAGTTGAAAATTGGCAGAAAGACAGCGAGGCTGGCGACAATTTTTCCGTTGGACTTATCGATAAGGCCGATGTTCCAGCCTAGCCGATTGTGGTCTAAGCCAGGCCTGTTAGACCACGCACACTGATTGGCTACACGAATCGCGACGCGCTTTGCAACGCCGTGAACGCGTCGCTGTTTCCATTTATCATATTCTGTGATAGCAGGCTCGACACTTCGTACTTCATGCAGTTTTCTACAAGGAAATAGAGCTTGCATAAGTGGCGCAGTCAGCATGGGCATCAAGATGGCAGAGTCATCATCACCACGAGCACAATCGCCCTCTCATGGTGAAGATCTGGATCTTCCGGATGCTCCGCCAGTTGTGAATGGCGACAACAAGGACAAATCGACGGAACAGGTCGGCGACCAGGCTCCTCTCGCACTGGAGGACCTGTTCGACGGGGACGATGAAGAATTTGATAAACTCGTGAGCGATGCCAACATACCCTCCTCACCACCGCACTCGGCACCTACCTCGTCAGAAGAGGCTGCTTCGACCTCACAGCAAGAGTCGTATTCAGACTCGAATGTAATGCAGCAATTTTACGCCCGACTATTTCCCTTCCGATCCCTTTTTCAATGGCTCAACCACTCGCCAAAGCCAGGGCCAGACTTCGCCAATCGAGAATTCGCATTGACGCTTTCGAACGATGCATATCTTCGGTATCAGTCTTATCCCACAGCCGATATGTTGCGCAAAGATATCCTCCGACACGTTCCATCTCGATTCGAGATTGGCCCAGTCTACACTACGAACCCAAGAGACCGGAAGACCTTGAGAAAAAGTTCGATGTTCAGACCTTTGAGCAAGGAGATAGTCTTCGATATTGATTTGACAGACTACGACGACATACGGTCCTGTTGCGAAAAGGCCAACATCTGTAGCAAATGCTGGGCCTTCGCAACAATGACCATAAAAGTTGTTGATGTGGCGCTGAGAGAAGACTTTGGCTTTGAGCACATCATCTGGATTTACTCCGGCCGTCGTGGTGTTCACGCCTGGGTCAGCGATAAAGACGCGAGAGTGCTGGACGATGACAAGCGGAAAGCCATCACAGGTTATTTCGAAGTTCTGAAGGGCGGCGTACAGGGTGGGAAGAGAGTCAACATCAAACGACCCCTCCATCCACATATCGCTCGAAGTCTTGAGATATTGAAGCCATATTTCCAGCAAGTATTGGTGGATCAAGAGCCGTTTAAGTCTGAGACCGGACAAGCTCGCCTTCTGCAACTGTTGCCGGATAAGGCATTGAACGAAGCCTTGACGAAGAAGTGGTCGAGCAGCCCCGACCGGCCAAGTATCAGGAAGTGGGAAGATATTGATGCCCTAGCCAAGACCGGAGTCAGCAAGACGCTAGATACGAAAGCCCTGGTCGAAGCAAAGCAGGACATCCTGCTGGAGTATACATATCCCAGACTAGACGTGGAGGTTGGCAAGAAGAAGATCCATTTGCTGAAAAGCCCCTTCGTGGTGCATCCTGGCACTGGAAGGGTCTGCGTGCCTATCACAGCGGGTGGTGATATGGCGCGTGCTGAAGCATTTGATCCGCTCTCTGTCCCCAAGGTCACTGAACTTCTCACGGAAGTGGATCGGTATGGCAGTACTGATGGGGGTGAAGAACAGACCAACGGATATGTTGAGGATGGTGTCAGCATGAGGAGACTGAACGACTGGGAAAAGACCAGCCTGAAACCGTACGTCGAGTTATTTGATGGATTTGTCAGGTCGATGCTCAAGAGCGAAGTGGTTCGAGTCAAACGAGAGCGTGATGATGATGGTGCTACCGGGGCAGATGGCATGGAGTTTTGAGCGTGAATGATCCTTCTGCACAACCTGCAGATTACGGCTTGCATTTCGCGAAGGATATGTCGGTCTACTATAAAGTCAGTTAAATGTCGGGCTCCTCGTCCTGGACACTCTGCACAGTCCACTGTATCAGAAAATGCTTTGTCTGCATCGAGCAGCAAATGCTGGACAACTTTGTTGAGACGCCTTGCCTGGGCCAACCTACCGCGACATCCGGACTCCAACTCGGCTCTGTTCAGGACGGGTTTCCACAAGGCTTATGCTTTCATCTAAGATATGAGAGGACGAGAAAATCAGTCAGGCCGAACAACACGGCTCAACAATACAATCACGTGGACGAATTTGTCGGAAGCCAATGCGGCCTGTGAGGTCCGTGCACCACGAAGCACCTATGTATCATGGCCGCCAGGGATCCCTACACGGTGCGCAGCACGAAGTACACTGTCGGACATCCGGTTCGATTTAGTCTCCGGGCTTCCGCATGCTCCCTATTACCCTTGTTGGCAAGATTGAGCGACAACCTCGTACCAGCTTCGGTATACCGCATTTGTCAGCACCACGCATAGCTCTTTTCTGAAGGCGGTAAATCCCGCATCTGCGCGGGTCGTTTTCGAAGCAATTACTATAATTCATGTAAGCAACCACGATGAAACTCTCGTTTGGAACCCTGGAGGGAGTAATGTACTGGTTCCATGTGATCTGCCCAGCTTGCCTCTTGAACGTCATGGGAATCGGCCTCTACCTCGGGTCGCACTTTTGGACAGTTCCTAGTAGTAGACTATACAACATCAGCACGCTACCTATGCAACTTCTGACCTTAATTTCCCAGAGGATCAAAGCTCTACTGGTCATCATAGTGGTCTCATACTGTGGAGCGGATTGCACCATCCATCGTTAAGGTCAACAGCTCTGAGACTGTGTAGCCTCCGTTAGCCAGGCCCGCTGTCCACTCTCTGTGGGTACGACCGCGACATCGAGTTGTGCAAGTGGCAGACATGGCGCAAGCAATTCCACAGCCTGCCAAGGCAGGCAACATGGCCCAGGTAACCGGAGCTACCAATTGGTCCGCCAAGCTCGCATACTGATTGGTGTTGCCCAGGCCTGCGATCTCTGCCGCGCGAAGAAAAGGCGCTGTGATCTGAAGGAGGGAGGTGAAAGGTGTTCCTCATGTGCAAAAGCCAACTCGGTGTGCCGAATGACCCATGTCACCAAGCCTCGAGAGAAGCGGAAAAGGTTGGTCACCTTGTCGAGTGTCTGAGCTTGTATCCGGGAGCAGGAGCATGCGTGGTGTCCGGAGGTTGAAGATATCGTCTAGAGATGTCCAGGTTCCTGTGGCTGCACCGAAGTTGCAGGCCAGCCGCCTTCAAGTTTGACACCGATACGCGAATGGCTCAAGCAGTTCCACATTTCCTTCAAGCATGGGTGTCTCTGCTAATGAGCCGCAGGAAACAGATGGAAAGCCTCGAGGAGCGTCTGAGGAGCCTGGAGCAACTCATCAAAATATCTGTCGTGGCAAAAATTACAGAGAGCACGCAAGAACGAGCTGGCGCCCTGACGCCGTCGTCGATCCCCTCGACAGCATCTTCGGTCGAGCAGAATTTGTTCGCACCAGACGCTTTACAACCAGATGCCGCATTGAGTAACATCAGGAGCAACGGTGGCACTTCCCCGACCCTATTACAAGCGCTTCGCTTCGATCCCTGTGGGACATCAGCTCCCGACTTTCCGCCGTCCACAGACGCCTCTCAAGACTGGAGCACGCCTGAGGCGAACACATTCTATGGCCTCAGTGCTCCCGCGCTGGCGACGACGGATGCTGAACTGATTCCTCGGATCCGGTACAATGGCGCGAAGAGATGCTCCTTGCCGCCAGTTCAGGGAGGCATGTTCCTGCTTCAGGAGTTCTTGGTCGACTTCAATACAGCCATTCCGATCTTCGATGCTGCTGTTATCAGCTCACTCTTCCAGAGATCCTACGACAATATGGCCGCAGGCGTAGCCATCGAATGGGTCGCAATTAAGGTTGTTCTTGCCATCGCACACCGCCTACGATCCATGAGTCCCTTGGGTGTACCGCAAGACTCGGAAAATGCCAGCATGTATCTACAAGAATCGCTGGACGTGGTACCGGAATTGCTCATGCTGCGACCTTCGCTGCTTCTGGCCCAATGTTTCCTAGGTATCGCGTGCGTTATCTCAACTTCCTCACGCCCTTACCCAGCACAGGTCTTTGTGAGCCTCGCCCTCCGTGTCATTCAAGACCTGCACGTCAATGACCCCAAGAGCCCCAGATTAATAGACACTCCCGAGTTGCTCCAGCAGCAACGTGTGTTCTGGGTGGCATACTTTATGGACACAGATATGGCTGTGAGAGCTGGGCGGCTACCCGGCCTGAGTCCGAGACTCATAAACGTGCCACTGCCCAGCGACGAGGACCCGGCTGGAGAGATTGCTGCCGATGGCGGGCAGTTCAGAGCCAATGTGTTCCGCTTGCACGTGGAGTTGGCTCTACTGCAGGCCGACTTCATGGAACAAGTATTGCTGCCCCGAGGCGGTCGGAGTTCTGATTGTCCAGAAGACGCTGAGCTACGCTCCATCAATGCGAGGCTGGATGACTGGCGACGGAACTGGCTGTTTGAACTTGATGCCCAAGATCTTCGTACGGCCTTGCACCGTTCGGACCTGGTCCACGTGGTTTTGTTGGAGTCGACCTATTTCTCGACTGCGTACGCCTTCCGCGCTTATATAGCACCCGTTTCAAGGACAGGCCACAATCCCTTCTCTGCTGAGGGGTTGTTGGAGGGAATGTCAAAGCAGAAGGCTCAGATCTTGTACAAGGGCGCGCGAAGGTTTATCGACCTCCTCGGATTGATACCGGGGGGTGATATCGCAAGCAACTGGTGAGTCTGACGTCTGATCCCAAGCATGTTTGAGGCCTGCCAGACAGCAGCCTTTTGCTGTTTTAGTTACTCTTGCTTCCCCAATGGAGATTTGTTCTAACCAGAGATGCAGGTTATCGCTAGAAACAATTGTTTCGGCTTCGGTCGTCGTTCTGGCACATATCATTTTCAACCCTGCTGAAGGAAGCTCGCTACCGGACCTGGGCGTGTCGCGGCACATGCTGCAGATTTTACAAGAGCTATGTAACATTAGCAAGGACGACAGCCTGCTGGCCGTTCAGAGTCTCTGTGTTAATTTGTATCGGAGAGCGGAACGTGCGCTGCAGGGCGACAATTCAATGCGGCACTAAGAGAGTAGTCCGTGGCATGGACCAGAGTGACCATGATACGATTTTGTTGTATCTTCACAGCAGAATGACCTTGGCCGTGCAGATTGAGTGCAGAGATCAGAGGCCTGGGGTTCCAAGACATTTGAGCCAGCTGGTGTTCCGATCTCGCATCTGTCGGGGTCTTCTATGCCTCTCGCCTAATGGGGTTGAGCCCAGAGGTGGACGTGCTGCAGATTCCGGGCAGCTTGGCAGGCACGCTCTCGGAAGCCTATGGGGCTGAGGGGCGCTTGACGAGGACCCCCAAGCATAATTCCCCGCAAAGATAGACTGGCCTCGGCCGCTGACTGACATCTATCAACTCCCTGTTCTTAGAGGGGCGCAATTTTGATAGCAGCCCTCGATTGCGAGGATATCATCAATCTGAAAAGGAGCGACGACATGTGGACGCCGACTCAGTAACGCAGGCTCGCTCATTGAATCCATACCATACGGAGTACTCTTACGATTGATTCTGCAGCAGCCCGCAGCTGGAAGCCGGAAGTAACTGATGTCGCCGAACACGGACACGTCCGATGCTCAAGCAAAGAGGCAGACCAAACACGTCACGACTGCATGTGTTGGTTGTCGAAGGAGAAAGATCAAATGCGATGGCTTCAGTCCGCGATGCTCGAACTGTATTCTTTATGCACAGGAGTGTGTCTTCCAGCACGGCGTTGACAAACGCAAGATTGCTCCCAAGGAGAGATTACAGGCACTGACCAGCTATTGCCAAAAACTCGAGTCGCTACTCATCGCCAATGGGATTGACCTTCCATCGCCACCTCCCATGCACGTCCGGACTGATCTATATAACAGCGGGGCTCCAGTGTCAGGAATGATGGAGAACCCGCGCTTCCAGAGCATTCCTTCCAGCACAGAGCAGTCAGATTGCGCTCCACCAGGATGGCCAGGTAAGGACTTCCATACCTGAACATTGAGAGGACTGCTGAAAACCGTTGGCGAAGGAGACCGCAATGGCAGTCGCGATGTGTCGTCGGCGGCAGGAGCTCCACTGGACGAAGCATACTTCCACTCGGAGTCGTCTCCAGATGTACCTCTTTCCAGCGGCTCACATTCGGACACGGCCGCACTTACAGGCACTCGCGAAGACATCCTCTTAGACCAACTCTCCGGACGCATGGGGTCGTTACAGATGGCCGAAGACGGTCAGTTACGATTCTACGGCGCCACCTCCAACTTGCACATCCTTCACAATGGCCCGCTGTCCTTGTCACGATCCAAATTCCGCTCTCCTTCCGAACAAGGTGCGGACCTGTTAATTGGGGCAGGGGTCGGGCATTTCGTTGATCCAAGTACTGAGGATCACCTTCTCAAACTCTACTTCACGTGGGAAGAGCCTTCCATTCATGTCGTCGAGGAAGCCGTCTTCTGGCGGGAAAGAACGAACTGTAGAGCTGCAGGCCATTTCAGTACGTTGTATTCGGAAGTGTTGACGAACGCCATGTAAGTACCACGGGCTCGAACCAATGCACTGGAACAGACTCTTACCTTACCCGTGATCTCAGGTGTTCAGTCGGAGCCACCATGACCACCAGATCGTACCCGCACCTACCAGATAATCTTGCGGATTTCTTTGCTACCAGGTCGAAGCTACTATTAGAGCTCGAACTCGACGCACCGACTCTTTCAACGGTGCAATCCCTGGTTATCCTTAGTGCCGTGGAGGCGCTACTCACAAGGGACGCTCGTGGCTGGCTGGATAGTGGTTTGGAATGCCTCAATACTGTCCGGGAGCTGTGCTGATCCGCTGTCACAGGGATGGCCGTCAGACTTGCGGTTGACCTTGGTCTACATCTTGACCCAGAGCCATACGTCCAGGCGAACCTGATCTCCGCCGAAGAAGGGATGATCCGCAAGGTGATATGGGCAGGCGTCTTCGTCCACGACAGGTACGTTGACCATTCCCGGTTACCACCACATCCACTCATCACACGGCTATCAGGATGTGGAGTCTGTATGTCGGAAGGCCAGTCGCCCTCGATGACAAACACATAACCGTGAAGTTCTCCGCGCACGAGGACAATCGCAGCAAAGTGAAGAAGTACTGGTCGCCCTACACCGACAATGAGGGCACGGAACTGCCTCGCATGGTTGATTCAATCGACGAGTTGAGCATATGGAACGTCAACTTGTGCGCACACATGACTGCCATCAGAGAGAACTTGTAAGCAGCACATCGTCCTACAGCAGCCTGGTGCTGACCCATCTCAGGTACCCCGACGGCATAACAGAATCGAAAAGCGCCAGACAGCTTTTCCAGTTTGCAATCCAGAAGGGTGATGACTTGGTGAACTGGCTTCACAGTCTTCCGGCCAGCTTAGCAGTGAATGACGTCGATAAGGACGCCTACTACCTTCCCCATGTTCTCCAGCTACAGTAAGTCACATCTTCCAGCAAGTCTTCGCTCACTGATGGCATTCAGCATGCAATATCATACCATCAGGATCATCGCATTCCGTCCTTTCTTCGCTTCTGTCAAGACGCTGCCCGGTCTGACCACAGCCGAAATCGCGACTGGGCGGAACCACTGCACGAGCTCGGCAAATTTCGTGGCAAAGCTCATCCAAACATATCGCCGCCTTCACAGCCTCAGAAGGATCAATGTGCAAGCAGTCCATCTGGTGTTCACGGCCACTTTGATCCACGTCTTTACGGCCTGTGCAGCGACTGATCCAGCTCGAAGTAACAATGCGTGGAAAAACCTGGAACTGTGCTGTCAGGCATTGAGTGAATTGGGCATGGCGTTCAAGAGCGCTTCCAGGGCACTTGAGGTAATCATGGGCATCAAGAGCGATCTGGTGAGGAGGTCAAAGTCGAAGACCAAGCGACAAAGTTCATGGGATGACATGCCAGAAGATACCGCACCCGTGCCGTCCAAGAAGCGACGGCCAACGAATGCAGAAAACGATCTGTCACAAGCCCACCAGTCGCCGCAGAGCCAGGGGAGCTTCGATTTTGGACTGAGTTTTGGCGAAACGGAGCCTGCTTTCAGCTTGTTCGACACAGCCTACGACGACTTTTCCCTGGAAACACTCTTCTGGGGTGGCTACAACAACCTTGAACTTCCTCACGTCCCGCCTCAAGATCCGTGATACCAATACGTCCGCCAACAGGCAGGGAAACTTTCGTCGTAACGACCGGACCCTTGCTGTATCAGCAGGAAGAAGTTCCCGGGAGCGACCATCATCAACTTGTACCATTATGCTTGTGCCGGGGGGTTCTTGGACGCCCGCCGTCTTCCGCCGCTTGTAATTTTATAGCAAGCCTGCATGCACGCCACCAGTCACAAGCACGTCCGTGCCGGTGGTATAGGCTGCCGCATCGCTAAGGAGGTATCCCACTACGCCCTTGAGATCCGCTCGATCGCCAATTCTCCCCAGCGGAGGCGACTTGAATACTGCCAGGAGCTCTGGCCTTGTGACGGCAAGGCCCTTCGTCATCTCGGTCGCGATGAATCCAGGAGAAACTGTGTTCACGCGAATCCCGAGAGGTGCCAGTTCGACAGCCAGCTGCACACACAGGGACTTTACCGCACCCTTGGACGCAGCATATATATTCAGTCTTTGCGTTTGCAGTGCAGTACCCGCTGAGACCGAGGCGATCATGACGATGCTGCCTCCGGTCTTTTGAGCTCGCATCTGTTTGGCAGCCAACTGTGCACTCATCATTGTGCCCATGACCTGATACCGTGTCAGCAGATGGCTCCTTGCACATCGAATGCCTCCGAACTCACATTGACCTCTAGTATGTGCGCCCCCTCTTCCCAAGTTGTATCGAGGAAGGGCTTGTCGTGGACGATCCCAGCGGCTGTCACACTTTGACCGACATTAGCAGGTATGGAGGTTCAGAGGTTGACCATACCAATTGTCTATCTGACCAAAATCCTTCACTATGGTCTCAAAACTACCGGTCAAGCCTGTGGGGTCGGTCACGCTCGTCCTGGCAGCGCACACAGTAAGGGTCAATGCAGGTCCCATAACGCTTACCCCGACAAGGGAACAAACCGATAGTACCGAGCCCGAACTCCGAGCTCCTTCTCGAAATCCCCAAAGGCTTCGGATGGCTTCTCGAGAACATCGATGACAGCGATATCACTGCCAAGCTCCGCAGCACCTCTGGCCAACGCCAATCCAATGCCTCTTGCTCCTCCTACAATACATGGTTTTAGCAATATCGAACAACAGCCGTGGTGGACGTCGAGCTTACCTGTGACAACAGTTACCCTGCCTTTCAAGGACATCATATCCTGTATTGTTCTTGTTCTGAAAGCATCTTCGCTGGAAGAGTCCAGTTCAGCTGCCGGAGCTTTGTTGCTCGTCGAGGTAGATCGAGTCTGGTGGAAGCGCTGCCCGATGGAAGGCTGAGTTAATCCAGCATTCTCCCTGAAGGCGTTCGGCCTGACTTTGCTTGACAGAGGAGACCGAACGCGGCGCAAACAACAGCTTCGGAGACAGAACTGTTTGAGGTACATCATTGGCGCTGCAACCTTCCAAGCTCAAATGCGAGGTGGTTGCTTTGATGCGCCAGACGAAAGTCAAAAGAAGGTGTCTGGAAAGACCAGCTGCCAGAACAGCCAAGGATCATACAGAGACAGACAGGCAGTATTGATGTCAGAGGGACGCGGCCAATATGCCAGCATACAGGATGTCGAGGCCTGGAGCAATCGAAGCTGGCACCTGCTTCTCCATTGAAGGCCCTCCAAAGACTGAATCGACTTCCCCGGGTTTCGTTTCCCGCCTGCACCGCTCAAAGGTGCGGGGGGTGGATATGAAAGCTCTACCCTCGGCCAATCGCTCGCTTCCTACATTGGAGTGGGTCTTACTAAGCCTGTGTGTCGGCTATCAGTTTGTGGGGAGCCCCGGCCATGCTGGAGATACATATGCCATGTCGCGACCCGCCAACAGGGCTCCGGCGATCCACGAGTTCTCTCACCTTGGACCGCGTCGAGAAGCGATCTGGCCGTCATTGATCCATCCACCATGCAGTTCCTCCAGTCTGTGAAGGGTAGGGCACTCTACCGGATAATGTCCCTCTGTTGCTCGTTGGTAAGCACCGTAGCCCGTGCCCATCTAGGGCTGCCTCCGTTGACTCTCCACAGTCCTTCTGTATGTACGGCTACGATGCTGGAGTGCTCGGCGGAGTCCAGACCACGAAACCCTTCCTCGACGCACTTGGTCATCCTACCGGAACCTATGTCATCCCGATGATTGCATCCTCGTACACCCTGGCAGCAGCGGTCTGCTCATTAGCGGTGACGTTCCTCGGCATGCCACTGGGCAGACGAGGCTGTATCCTGATGGGTAATGCACTGGTCATCGTTGGCGCCAGCATCCAAGCGTCTTCCTGGTCGGTTGCACAGATTATCGTCGGTCGAGTTCTTTGTGGATTCGGCATTGGCTTTATTTCCTGCAGTGTTCCTACCTACATGGCAGAGATGAGTATCACGTCGAAGGAACGAGGACCAGAAGTCGCCGTCCAATGTGTCTGGCTGATCTCAGGAGTTGCGTAAGTCCATCTCTCTCCTCAAGAGCTGTCGTTCTTGTTTATGGACAAGTCCAACCAAATGGTCTATTGTTGAAACGCCCGGATTGCTAATGAGTGTCGCAGCCTTGCCTACTGGGTCGACTTTGGCTTTACTCGCATGGACAATCAGGTGTCCTGGCGCTTTCCCATCGCATTCCAAGCCTTCTTCGCGACCATCTCCATCATCGGCATGTTCTTCTTACCCGACACTCCAAGATGGTATTATGCAAAGGGACGGATCGAGGAGGGAGACAGCGTCGTCATGCGCCTTCATGACCGGCCGTTCGAAGACCCTGCCGTCCAGGCCATGCGCGAGGAAATCCTGGCTTCGATCAAGCTCGAGGACGAAGATGAGCACAAGTTCAACCCTTTGGATCTGTTTTGGGACCGGAGCGACCTCAAGGCCGGTCGCAGAATCAGGATCTCCTTCATGATTTTGTCACTGCAACAGATGATGGGTAGGTTTGAACCTGTTCAACGTTGATGTCATGATTACATTAACAATGCCGGCCGAAGGGATCAACTTGTCAGTCTATTACTCCACGGTCATCTTCGCGCAAGTCGGCCTCTCGCCCTTTCTCTCCCAACTACTCGCCGCGGTCATGAACACCGGGTTCGCTCTCGGTACATATCCATTGCCCTGGACGATCGAACGGGTCGGTCGGCGCGGCGTAATGATCTGGTCTGCCGTCGTTCTGACCATCTGCATGCTCGTCTTTGTGATTATGATCGGATTGCCGCACCCTACCCTGACGACACAATGGGTCGCCGTGGCGTTCGTGATCATATACAACTTTGTATTTGGCTACGGATGGATTGGTGTGCCGTGGCTGTACGGGCCGGAGGTGTGTATCCCATGTTGACCACCCGCTCCTGGCAACCGTAGTTACTGACCCCGGCTTCTAACAGATCGCCCCTCTCAAGCTCCGCCACCTTGGTGGTGCGGCCGGGGCGTTTGGTGAATGGCTCTTCAGCTTCATCACGGTTTTCGCCGGAGGGATCGCCTTGCAGAATGTCGGCTGGAAGATCTGGATCTGGATGCTCTTGTCCTGTGCCGTTGCCGTGCCATTTGTGTATTTCCTGTGTCCTGAGGTACGTTCCGCATCAGATTTCTTGCTGCATCTGGTGTGCGGTGTGCGGTGTGCGATGCCAGAAGCGATATATGCCGTATGAGTCTGCGGTGTTTAGTATGCGATACTGACTTTTCGACGCTGATGCAGACGACCGGCAAGACGCTGGAAGAGATCGACTTTTTATTCGCCAAACCGGAGATTCGAGACTCGGCTCTCGCGGCCAGGGTGATTCATCATCGACATGCAGAGGTGCTGAAGAAGGATCACGTCATCGAGTATGAGGAGAAGGAGGCTGTATAAGCTGGAAGCTGGACGTACGAAAGCTGGAATTCAGTGGTCATGAATGAGCACACGTATGTACAGACTGTAAGTTCCCGTAGGATGTAGCGGGTATGAGGGGACAGACGTACAAGCTGGAGAGCAGGAGAGCCGAGTAGCAATCCAGTATATATGATTCTGACTGTGACGTGCACGTTGGGAAGGACGTCTCTAGTGACTGACTACTGTATGCGTCCTATATTTCTGTCCGATTGTACTTTCGTAGCCCTCGTGTGGAACCATTCAGTCAGGGAGGCATGTGAACAATTTTATCACAAGCACACGGCATCATGCAGGGACGTATTGATAGTCATGTCGGATACAGTGATGGTGTTTCGCTCGACATCCACAACCTTGTCTAGCCCACAGCAAGTACATTTCTTACCCCCCGTGACGCCGTGTCCTTTTAGACAGCCTGTAGCACCAGTTGGCGGTTGCCGACTCTCAAATTTTGTCAAACATCATCCACATCCTCAACATTGTACTTGCCCATCCGCCTCGGCGAAACCTTGTGCTGGAACAAGTAGTCAATCTCGCGGAACGTGCGGCCCTTCAGCTCGGGAATGTAAAAGTAGCTCCAGACTGTACCCAAGAGGCAGGCCCCGCCAAAGACAAAGCCGACTTTGCCCTTGAGATTGGCCTTGTCCGGGTTGACCATGTAGGGCACCACGATGTTCATGACGGTGCCAAACACGGCTTGGCACGCAGTCGCCAGACCCACGGTCTTTGCTCGTAGGGCCGGCGTAGAGACCTCGCCGAGCAGGGCGAATGCAATGCATCCGATCGTGATCTGGTAGATGAGTGCGTACACGACGGTGCAAGAGGCCTGGACCCAGCGCGCGGCGGAAGTGTGCACGACGTCGAGGATGCCCATGAGCACGAGCACAACGGTCATGCCGATCATGCCCCAGACGAACAACTTTCTGCGGCCGAGCGTGTTGATGGCGGCCCAGGAGATGATGACGCCCACCACACCGCATGCCGTGACTCCGACACCGAGGTCGAAAGCGTGCGTGGTCTCAATGCCGGCGAGCTCGAAGAAATACGTCGAAAAGCCGAGCACAAAGACGATGCCGGACAAGTGCTGGCACGCGAAGACGCCGACAGAGATGGTTGTTCGCACGAGGTTGGTGCCGCGGAAGCATTGGTCCCAGCGTGCCGACTTTGAGAGTTCGGCGTCTTCTTCGACCGTCCGGATGATCATGGCGAGCTTGGGCGAAACGTCGAAATCCTTGCCATAGAGTCGTTGCAGGCTTCGCCGGGCATCTTCCATGCGGCCACGACGGACATAGTGCCATGGTGATTCCGGTGCGAAAGGAATTCCCACTAGGAGGATGACTGTTTCAAGGTTAGATTGGGTATATAGCAACTCGGTAGATTTCCTCACCGACGAACAGCCACTGGATGGCAAAGGGTCCGCGGAAGGCCCAGCGGTCAGTCCTGTCTCCAAACCCCTTGATCACAGCATTCGAGAGGAGCTGGCCAATGACAATAGCGAAATTGATACCACCCGTGATCATACCACGAAGGACGACTGGCGCCACTTCCGAGCAGTAGAGTGGGCCGATGGTCAGGTAGAAGCCCAGACCGATACCGAGTATCAACTTGCCGATGAGGAATGCCGGCCTAGTGTTTGAGAACACTTCACCGAAAATGCCGCCAGAGACAAGGCCCAGCCCTACGAGGAGGGACCACCGCCGGCCAATACGGTCGGAGAGCCATGAGCACAGGAACCCGCCAAAGAACTGGCCAACGCTTGAGATACTGTTGAAACCAGAGAGCCAAGAAGCTGGGATGACTGAGTCTTCCTCCCCTTGGTCGTTGATGAACATATATCTGGGATGTGGTTAGTGGCAATCTGACGAATGCCTCTGAGCACATACCCGAACGTGGACCGAAATTGTGGCACTGAAACCATGGCGCCATTGACTTGTGCGTCGAAGCCCCTGGCAAAAGTCCGTCAGCCGGTCGTCGAATACCGTGATACTACAGCCGACATCCCAGCACTTACCAAGCGACACCACTGAAGGCGAAGAAAACACACCAGAAGACCACCAACTTGTTCTTCGTGATGGCTTCCCGGACCGAGAGATTGTGCTCTTCCTCGGCCGCAATTCGGGCTTGCTCGACCTTTGGAGCAACATGCTCAATGATCGAGTCGACCACCTTGGTATCGTCGTGGATGCTTGCTTTTTCCATCATGCTGCTAAGTCGACGAAGGATGCCGGGTGATGGCGGCGAAGGACGGATACAGGCCACCTTGTAAGACGAGCTCGACTCACCCGGAGAGGCATCTGGCCTTTATATCGTTGGATCTATCCTTCCATGTTCCATGCATGTTCTGGAATTGCCATCCACTCCCAGACGTGTTCCTGAGTCACGACACCTCCTGCCGGAGCAGTAGGTTTCTCGTAACCCGGAACTCCGCATACCAATGGAGGCCGAGTCGCAGAGGCTGGCAAATGGTTAGGTAGCATCGGGGCGGTAGGAGGCGCTACCCCGCCTAAACGAGCAAGGAATCCTCCCATAGTGGAGTCACTCGTGTTCGAGTCGACATGGCTCCAAGCGGTAAAGCAGTGTTGCAGTCACAGATTTTGAGCATGGTCCCTTGCTTACGATGTGGGTGATGTCAACGACCACCGCTCGTGTCCACGCCCTGAGTTTCGGCTGGGAAGGCTTCTAGAAGACTGGGCGCATATGGTGAGTCGAGCGAGCCTTCTCGGCATCGTCGGAGCCTATCAAAGCTGCCCAGCAGGATGGCCTGGCGACCTGGGGATGGTGGTGCCCCCGAGATTCTCCCCCACAACAAAAACGTGTCTGAGGGGACTCTGGTGGGTTGGTCGAGGTTGGTCCAGCACTCCGCTGAAGGGTTTTATCAGCGCCCGGCATTCCGCTCGTCGACTTCATCCTCTCTCCGTCGTCTTCCCCAGATCTTCATCCCCAGTTATCTGGTGGAGAAAGCGTCCTATCGTCGTGCAATGGAAAGCTCGCTTAGGAACATCCTCCATTCCAACGAGACAAGTTACGATTCTTCCACGCTCCATACGGACCATTTGGCGACCGCCGTCCAGCACAACGGCGCCTTTATCAGCGGCTTGGAGGCTGAAACCGCGCTGACTGAATCCCGGAAACGTCCTGCCGCGCGGAAATCATCCTACCCCCGGAAGAGGGCCATACAGGCCTGCCAGAAATGTCGAGTGCGTCGGACTAAATGTAATAACGCACGGCCGTCGTGCTCTTCGTGCCTGTCGATTGGTGCAGAATGCACATACTCTGAAGGAGACCATTCAACGTATGTGGATTGGAGGCGGGCACATCCTCGGGCGCGTGCTGATGGCTTGAACCCTTCTCTGACTCCTGCAGCTTCGATTCCGCAAGTCTGGCAATTTTGGACAAGCTGAACACCCTCGAAGAGCTTTTGCGAGCAGGCAACGGCCAAAGCCAGATTGCGGCAGCAGTCTCCAGTACTGTCGCGGACAGTCCTAGTCGGGGTGTGTTGTCTCGACTGAAGTCGCTGAATTCGCCGAGCCTAGAAAGGTCGAAGGATGCCGCGCCCTGTCATATGAACATCGAAGGCGTCTTGTCCTGGTCTGTGTTCGATGCTGTGAGCCCCAACCTGGATCTGAAAGGACTCCTTAACTCGAGCCATGGCGCCAACCAAAGCCTGTCCATGGCCGCGGAGTTCGATGAGCAGGCCCCCGAGGAGGAATTGGTTGCCCATTTCATGAACAACGTCTTCATCTACAACCCGGTCCTCGAGGAGGCCAAGATTCAACGCTACATGCGCGACGCCCGGTTCAACGGGATCGGATGGGATGCACAGTCGTGTTTGCTGGTGAGTCTTCCTCCGACACTAGGTACTGGACCAGCGATATTGAGACTGGCCACAGCTTTTGATCTATGCTCATGGCTCCATCGGCCCATTCGACCGGGGTCCTCAAACAGATGCGTCGTCATTTCGCTCGTCCTCTCAATTCAGGCAGGCAGAGTCATACTTCTCGGCGGCGCAGAAACGAATGGGCCATCTGCTATGTCGGACAGGCGTGTTGGAAGCACAATGCTTCTTTCTGGCCGGCGTGTATCTGATGGCGACCTTACGCCCGATGGAGGCATGGAAGATGTTTGTCCAGGCACTTGCCTGCTGCCAAGCGTTCTACACAGAGAAGGAGTCTCCGGAGGTTGACAGGGAAGGTGAGCAGCGACTGCGGGAAAGCATCTATTGGACTTGCTTCAAGTCAGAGCTGTAAGTGAAGCGCTCTTGTTCGATCTGTGGCGCCGAGACAGACGCTGAACCGCAACCAGGGAGCTGCGACTCGAACTTAACGTCTCAGAGACATCTATCTGGGACCTGACTTACCCTGCCTTCTTCCCCTCACCTCCAGAGGGCCTTCGATCCCAAAGAGAGATTGTATGGTATTTTTATCTCGCTGAAATTGCGCTCCGGAGGCTCGGCAATAGGATTCTCAATTATATCTACGACAGCAAGGCCACAAGCTCGTTGTCCAATGCCGCCGAGTCAACGCTGGGCTTCGAACAACAAGCTTCTGACTGGATCCGGTCGCTGCCTCAGGCACTCGAACTCGATGCACCATCTGTGGGCGAGGAGAGCGACTTGCACCAGTCACTCAAGTTCATCCTGAAGGGCCACCTGCTCGATTGCTATGAGATGATGTACTGGCCTTTCATCGTCTCCGCGGTAAATTATGACTCACCGGAGCGGACTCCCACGATCTCCAGTGACTCAATGGACACCTTCGTCCACAAAGCCCTGGTGGTCTGTGTGGAAAGGATCGAAAAGAACGAGCAGGGATTCTTCTACCGCCACCATGGCACCTGGCTGATGTTAAGGTCTTGCACACGAAGTGCATTTGTCCTTCTCGGAGCGGCTAGGCTTGAGAGATTGACATTGCTCATGCCAAACCAATGGCGACAGGCCGTAGAGAAGGTCATCAAGATGCTGAGGTACTGGAGACGAGAGAGTAGGGATGTTGAGGACAGACTGCGGCTTGTTGAGACGTTGCTGGCAGGCCTGTCGTTCACCGATCCACGTGTTCTGAAGAACAAAGTGGACACATTCGCATCGTCAGGGACTTTATTGTGAGGTTGGCTGAATTTGAGTTTTCTATACCCACACATTGCTTGAGGCGACAATCTGGATGATTCTGTTGGGCCATCTTCATTCAAGTGTCTACCTCACGAAGCTTGTAGTCAAACATTCTGTTAGATGGGATGCTGTTCTTGTCCAACATTTTCACAGATGTCTCGATGCCAGCGGCTGGGACCTTGTACTCGAACTTCTTGCCTGCTTCTGGTGTCCGGCCATCCGGAAGCGGGTACGGATAAGGGAGATAGTCTGGCATGAGGCCCAGTTGACACAGGAGTGAGGCTTGATCCCAAGCGATATGCTCATGGTACAAACGGTCGCCGCGCACGCAGACGACCGACGTGCAAGGAAGCTCGACCTTTCGTCCTGTTGGAGGTATGCCGGGAGCTCTTGCGAGGAATGAGTTCATACCGTGCAAAGAAGTGGAGGGTGATAGACTTACAGCCAGTCTATTTCCATGTCATGAGTGAACGTGGCGACGAATTCGTCGCAAACTCGATCAATGCCAATTGTCCGACTCACAAGTACCAGGTTCATGTCTTTTGGGTTCTTCGGAATGAAATTGTTTGCGTAAAAGTGACTCAAGCTCGCTCGCCCGATCCCACCAGTCATCTGCAGTCTGGTCAGCTGCTTCGTCTACACGTGCGCAGAAATAACGGATCTCTCCTACCGTGGGAATATGGTTGACATAAGGCTCCTGCACCATCGTGGCCATCGTCTTGGGCACAGACCGTTCTGCAAACTCGAAATACGTATGCTCTTCCCATATAGCCTCGAGGTCGAAATCCAGGCCGCGAATGTGTTTCTTCAGAAAGGTGAGATTGCGCGTATGTGACACGGCCTCGTTGGTACCGTCGAAGTTCGGCTGACATGGAAGGGCAAAGTTCGAGGCCTTGACAGTCGGATAAGTGTAGACTTTGGCGTCGGGGTGTGAGTCTGCTTTTCCCTGCCCAGCGAGATGGCAAAGTACAGGCACCGCGGCCGGAACGACACGATCGCCAACCGTGCCATAGATGACAGCCGCCGATATCCTCGTGTCAAGGGCGTCGTTGTTCGCAAAATTGTCCCACAGCGCCGTGTCGTAAACTTGAACGCGGTTCTCAGTTATCGCCATTGCCATCGGTGGTGCCGATACCCCAGAGAAAGCCAAACACCGGAGAACACTCACATATCATCCCAATCCCATCCTTGGCATCACATTTATCACACTCCTCCAGAGCGGTGATAGCTTTCTGCAAAGCCGCTTTTTCGACATTCTCACTTCCCATACCATCAGACCCGCCACATCGGATCTCGACGACGGCAAATCCCTCCTCCGCCCATTTCAGCAACGGTGGCGGAATGCCGTCCACGCAAATAACACCGTCTCGGGGGTAGCGGGGTGCATTCTCTGGCAGAACGAGAACGAGACCGGGCCCATGTCCCCTTCGAGACAGCGGCGGTAGAAGAGAGATGTGGTCGGTGACTTTTACAAGCTCCGCGGTCGGGAGGGCGCCTCCCTCGCCCATGATTGCGGACCGAGAAGGGCGCGATGAGGAAATATTGTAATCGCTTGGTGCACGTGCGCTCTTGTGGGCAATTCAGTGGTTTTAATCAGCGTTCCCAGGACCTATCACCAGCAAGATGGCTGAGATATACTCGCAGAGTAAGGTAGAATAAATTAGAGTATGATATGGGCATTCATCATGACGAGGACGTGAGCCGCGGAAAGTCTGATCGTCTTATCGAACAGGTGGGGGGTGAGCGGTCCGCTTCCCTGAGACTTTGACTCGGCACTGCCGGCTTTGCCGCTTTTAGAACCACTGAGCACACTCACCCACCCCGTCACCCCTACCCTCGTCCTTACCTTTAGCTTCCCGGTCACCCTTCATTCTAAGTTGCACCTCCATGCCTACTGGAACTCTCGGTGGCTACAAACGCTCCCAGAAGTAGCTCAATATAGAACCATAAGACGCACTGTGCGCTACTCAACCCGCCAATCATGAGACATTAAGGTTCGCAGATGAAGCCATCGGAGGGAAGAAACTTGACCCTCTTCCTCTACCTATGGCTCATCAGAACTGGGGCCGCCTCGCCGTCCTCGAACTGGTCAACCTTTTCGCTTTAATCCGAATCCGAATCGGGTGGTGCCTCCTTCCGGTGTGAATCAGCAGACTCGGGTACAGGCGTAACCTTCGACAGCGGCCACCACGACTTGCCGGCACCAGTCCGAGACGCGCTGCTAGAGTCCTTACCATCGGTGTGACCCTTGGAGTCAGCCCGCGCACTGAACTGCCACCATCTCCTGCTCTCCGTGGTGGCCCTCGTGGATTGGAGATTTCTGGCGGCAGTAAAATTCGCCACGAACCGTTCCACCAAGGCGATCACAGTCTTATCTTCGGTTTCATGTGCATGATGTAGCAACGCCTGCTCATATATTCCATCGCGGGAACGTTTTCCCCTCTTCTCCTCCTCATTCAAAAGCAGCTCGAGTATGTCGACACGTTTCCGACTGATCGCCACGTCAATAGGAAACGGCAAACGAGACGTCCTGGGGATCATCTTCTTGATGATGTGTGTTGGCTGGTCATGTTGAAGGGCGGGCAGTAGTTCTGCTCCAAATTGGTATGTGTAGCTCCCAAAGTCGTCGGCCATGGCCCCGTGGTCCAAGAGGAAGTTTACAAATGGTGCATTTTGAGGACCGCCTTCACACGCCTTGCTCAAAAACGTCGTGACGTGGTCATCGAACCCAAAGTTCACAATCCGAGGCGAGTAGGAGTAAATCAACTTGAGCATGTCGAGGTCTGGCGTCGCAGTGAGGGCACCGATGATTGTGGGAATGGAAAAGTCGAGTTTGGGATACACCGAGCGCAGATATTGGACGATTGACTGCTGTTTATGCGAAATGGCGGCGGCGAACAGCGTATCTGTCGCGGGCGCACCCTGTGGCGTGGCATGCCAGTAAGGTATAGGGTCGTCGCCCTCCTTAACATCGTGCTCGTTAAAAAGTTTCTGTAACTCGGCGACTTGACCAGCCTTGCATGCTTCTTCCATTGCTTCCTGGTGAGGAGACAGCTTCATGGGTTCTGGCGGAAGAGATTGAGCCATGCCGAGAAGTGCTGGGCTTGGGGAAGGAGAAAGGCTTAGGTTGCTGGGCAGAAAAAATGCCCTCAACATCTGTTATTATAGCCGGTCTCGCACCATACCTCTCTCTCGAGCGACGAGACTTTCATTGCCGCTCGGCACGATCAGTGGCCGTTGATGCACCACTGCATGATCTGGCCGGTGCGGCTCGGCGGCTAGAGCTTTGCCTCAGTATGCGCCGACCCTGGTTTTGCTTGTATTGACGCTAAGTGCTGATCTCAAAGTCTTTAACGCCTGGCCGACAAGAACGTCCAGGGGGCCTGGGTGTGATGGCCCACGGCCTCATTGCAGGTTCATTCGTATGTATGTTTTGGCCATTGAGCACGGAGGATCGAGTGAGGAAACAAAGAAAGGGCTAAGACCAAGTTAGGTTGGTTTTGCCCCGCATCGCTCCTTCCGTAAGACTGATTATGGAGGGAAAGAAGCCAAAATGGAACGACCGCCAATGAGGTACGCCTCTGTAGAGTACGGTGGAGTGGAGATGGACGGAAGCCGCACTTTGCAGGTCAACCTCATTCTGAATTTTGTCTGAACTTCGTCTGGCCTTGGACCTAAAGGCCACGACCACCACTCTTTCCTTGTACCACTAGCACTATCTTGCTCCCGGGCATGAACAGGATGCCATCCCTGGCGGGCCGGTTGTACTCTCGCTCTGACTTCGACGACCTCGCTGATGACAGCCTCACAGCCTCGAAGCTTGAGGCTGAGCTCCGTCGGCGCTTTAAACACTGGATCGTTTACCCTCCCCAGTCCGGCCTGAGCAATATCGATCCCCTCTCGAATGAGCGCTAGACTCGCGCTTGAGTTGAACGGCACTAACATCAGCCTTTGGCACTGAAAATTGCCGAGACAGGCTTACTTTTGCAGCAACATAGGATAGCCGGGTTTGAAGGTGCAACAAGACCATGTCCTCATCCGCCTACACAGCCGCCAATCAAGCGCCAGTATCAGAACTACATCAGAACCGATGCAGAGTATCAATTTATGAAATTAGTTTACTGGAAAATGATGTTGTCAAGCGCCGTTGAAAGCTTGCTCCCACGATTCTGCCTTCCGATGATGCGGCTGCGACGTCTCGTACGGTTTCATGACTATATCTCGCCGGACAAAGGACCCCATCTCTGGCGGTAAGCTCAGTATCCCACAATAATAGCTGCAACATGGCGCCTCTGCAAGTCTTGTGGGATGATAAATGGAGGTAGATGGTAAGTCCCATTTGAGCCCTTACTTCTCCATCAACACGGGTCCGAATACCCAACGCTACAGATTATTGAAAAGCCAACATCCGACGAAGACTGTCAATTCCGTTGAAACTACTGGACCCTTGGATCTCCATCTGCTACGTCGGAGATGGTACGAATCTTGTCCGTCCTCTCAATAGCGATGGGAACGCATGTGTTATCAGTCACAGCTGGCAATTGCATTTCAGATCAGTCCGAAGATGCGGAACCTGCTCCCGCTGGTCCACTATAACCCCGAAAGCCATGTCTGAATACACCGCCCATTGGGGAGCTTTGGGCTTGTGAAGACCCTAGTATCGACTTTCCAACTGTCGAATGTCTATTGGCCGACATCAAAACCTGTGGAATCATTGGCTCGGGCAACGCTCAGAGCCTCTTCTACTCGTTCGGCGTAGAAAAGGATGATATGGGTCCACTTCGTAATCGGCTCAGCCCACCGGGAAATATGTACAATGACATGCTGGACGACAATTACTGGCAAAGGGTTATGGTAGAGCGGCGCAAAGTTTTCCAGCTAAACTATAATCCTCGGATGCAAATTTTTATTGCCTGCTCTGCGGAAGCGTACGCCTTATCCTGCAGCGGCGAAGTCCTCGTGTATGTCGGGCAGCGACAAGGGGCAAAAGGCGGAATCGGTGCTTTCCAAACTCCTGTCCCTAAACCGACCGATCCGAACCCGGGTCCCAACATTCTACGCACTTATGAACTTCCAACTTTGCAACGCAACAATGCTGTCACGCGTGTTGTTAGCGTTGACGTCTCCAACAATTTTCAGGAAGACGTCGACTGGGAAAATGGACAATCGGCGCCGGGACTGGATAACCCTCTCCTACCCGAAAGTCCAGCAAGTGCCCTGCCCGTCCCAGATGTTCCTGACGGACTCCAAATATCAAGAAGAGACGTTAACGACACAGACGCCGATGTTCCATCCCTCTGTCCCATCGCAGCCGCCGCGGCAGATGCTACTCCTGGTTCCACGTCCTCTTCACCTGCATCCTCAACCACTTCTCCACCAGCCCTGCCCAAACCATCATGCGTCTTGCATGAGCAGGATCCGGATCAAGGCATAACACAAGCATTCTGCCTCTGTGACAGAACGGCGACTCTGTCCCCACTGTCTGTGCCCTTGACAGGTCATCAGACCGACAGCTGTGCTTACGCCACCATCCCGGCTACAGGCAAAGAAACTGTCGTAACATTTGCATCGACGTACACCAAGAACTGCCAGGGCTGCACTCAAGTTGGATTCAATGCTCCTACATGCACGAGTGTTCTTAAGTGTACTCCCACCAGTGCAGAGGTTACTGTCCAAGCAGGAAGCTCTCCATTACACGTAGGCACACTGACCGGCACAGCTCTTTACACATCTGTTTCTAGCGCCCTAGAAAAGCTGTGTCCGACAGTGACCCAGACTAAGAGCTCCACCGCCTGCGAGACAGGCAGCGTGATTGTCCGGGACATTGACTACGTCAACGCCGGCAGCCTCGACACCAACGGCGAACTAGTGATAAAAGTCGCCGCCAGTTCGTACAACTCGACCACCCTCCGCGACGCGATGATAAGGTCCGCGGCTCTGACCGCGCAGAAGGGCTCCGAGCAGCAAAGCTCGTGCTCCAACCAGACGTACACGACCATTTTCAAGCGCGGCGTGCTGCCCCCGCCTTCGCGGATCCACGGCAGACGGAGCAGCTTGTTTGCAGGCTATGCCCGGGACCGTCCCGAACCAGTCGTGGCAAAAGGCGTCTTTTGCAACACCGCGGCCTTTGCCGGCGTGGGATACTTTTCGGCCGAATGGCGAAAGGCCCAAAATCCGGGTGCGGAAGCATACATCGACGCCACGTGGGAGTTCCAAGCCGAGCCCGGCGGAGACTTTTTGTGCGACTTCATCGAGGATCTGGAGCTGGGGTTGGCAGTCGTGGCGCCAGAGTTCGCTGCAGGGGACGTTGCGTTGGCTCCGGAGGTACAAGCGTTTTGCGGCGGTGCCTTTGACCGGTGATCTGAGAAGACATTCCGAGGATGGGCAAGCAAGATTGTGTTGGCTAACGTCGAAGGTTCTAACGGGTGTTAGGTGTCCACGGTTGTCAAAAGTCCCTTGAGTGCTTGGAGGCCCGCGTTACTATCAAACACTAATTAAATGCCCTTATCCGTCCGTTCTTCGGCACCGCACTACCGTTGGGCCCCGTATTGTACATAGCAGAGAGTGCTTTTTTTGGTCTGACGCAGCCGCCTGCCGGGCTCTTGCGGCTGGGGCTAATTTCAAACCAATGTGATTGAAGTTTGGCAGCCCCAGGCGAATTGTGCTAAAGGGGTACTATAGCAGACGTACCCGGGTAGGTTATTATTGTATAATTACCGGGTACCGAGGCTTCAACAGCAGCGGAAAGGAAGCGTAAGGGAGATATCACGACTTTGCCAGCAGGGTACGAGTACGACACCAGGAGATATCTACCGATGTACGGAGCACTCGGGTGAGTTCTGCAGTACCTTCCACAAGAAGCGACGAGATCTTTTACAAGGGACAGTTAGTGATGGCGCAGCTTCGTTGTCAGATTTCATGATCGTGAATGGCAGAATCGAGAATGTGTCTGTAACCAACCAACAGATCAACCATACTTAGAGCAACAAGGAGAGTCCTGTGGATCATGACCAGATCACCACGGGATCCCCGGCGACTGTAGCTCTAGTGCGATCGAGGACATGCGCGTTCGGGCTGAAAATCGAGTCCGAGCTGATGTCGACGTTCCAGTCCGCGGTGAAGATCAAAGGGTCAGCTTGACCGCAAGGGAGGCACTTGATAAACGTGTGCAAGCGCACTTCCAGCTAGTCCATTCATAGGCGATCAAGATAGCCCCGGGGAGAATGAGCATGTGCGTGCTTCTATTTGTGGTACATCTAAGTACCACGACTTCTAGGGCAAGATCCAGTACCCAGACCGCCCAAAATAAACCAAACCACGCAAATATCATCAACCAACATCATGACATATGACAAGCGGACGTCGCCGGGTATTTTTGAGAAACGAAAAAAGACATTTTACATCAAGGTAGATTTTCCTTCACTTCATTGGCGTCAGAAAACGGCCCAGAGTCATGCTTGACGAGCTGTGGCCGAAGTGTCGGGCTTGTGACATTCATGTGCTGAGGGTCCCTTGCACGGTTGATCGAGTCCTCAATAAGAGCGCTCAGCGTAGCGCTGCCCGTGTGTCTATGTGTCGTCCCACTCGAAGGGCCCCTGGAGAAGTTCTCGAGTCCACTGACGGACGACGACCTTGCCGAGTGATTTGCCGCAAACGGCTGCCTTGGTATGACAAGAGGTGAAATCGGTGTCTCGTCAATAAATGTGCTGGGAGTGGTAGCAGCAGGTGTAACAACCACTTCTTTCTCGTCAACAAAGACTTGAACACTTTCTTTTGAGCTCATCCCGGTGCTGCTTTTGCGAGCAGCTTCTTTAGCCAGATTTGCGAGCGTTGGCACCCTGTTTGCGGAGTTGACCTTCTTGACCTCGATGGGTCGCGCAGTAACGTTTCTCGCGACGATCGAACTGCTACTGCTGCCCATTTTGGACACCTGTGGAATCTGTGGCGTCCTGGAACTGGGCGTCGACGACGTCCCTGGCGTGGTAGTCCCTGATTTGACGCTGACAACATTGGCCTGTGCTCGGAAAGCCTGCACTGCCGGTACGGGGGGTACAATGGCATCGCTACGATATATGGTGGTAGCCACGCTTGCCCGAGCCAGGCTGGGTGCGACGCTGAATCTTGGATCAATTGAAGAGGTGTCGGACCAAGTGGAATCTCTGAGATCCCTCGGCATAAAGAAATGTTGCTCAAGTTGTGGTGACGAGGCCGCAGAATTACCGGCAAGGCTTCCAGGGATAGCAGGTACTGGTGGAACATGAACGCCTGGAGAGTCGGGCGGTGTTCGAACGGTGACGCCGGGAATATAAGCGATCTGAATTACGTTCGAGGCACGGGTGAAAACTGTTGAAGCAATCGAATGCGCAGACCGAGTTGACTGACGGTCAGCGCGGTGCAAAGTCGATTGATCCCTCTTCTCCGGCGGATCCCATGCCGGAGCTCGCCGTTTCTTGCGGAAGAAGAATCGATAAACCACATAAGCAACGACAGCCAGGACAACAACAGCGGCCACCACACCTCCAACGATTGGGCCAACAGGTGTAGATTTCTTCGGCGCTGATTGTCCGGGTAAAGAGCCAATCTTAACACACGTGGTAGAGGCGCAGGAATCGCATGACTGTGCCGTCAGGGAGCATGTCTCGTCAAATGCACATGACGGGCAGATTGGAGGGTCTGGCGGACACTGAACGCATCGACGAAAAAGGGGATGTGGTGAGGAGTCAAGGGCCATGCTGTTACCCTGTGTTCTGAGGGGCTGGTAGATTGCGACGAGACCAGGCGTGAGCTGAATATGTGCACTCGTGTTTGGCTTTTCCCTTTCTTCCCGCCACAGGACGGACTGTGTCTGCCCGGAGTCTCTTGTTCTTTAGCGTCCAAATTTGATCGAGAGTAGCAGGACTCGATAGTGACAGACGTGGGTTGGTGCTCGAACAAGTGCGATGGCTAAATGTGAGGTGTCAAGAAGTGAAAGGAGCGCTGCGTGATCGTGGTTGACCGTGTGATGGGACCGTGCCCTAAAGAAGACAAAAGAATGTGGGACGGCGCAGCGTCGGGCAACAGCAAGGCGGCAAAATCGAAGTTCAGAAACGGTACAAAAGATCGAACGCGAGTTGGTTTGTTGAAGGATTGAAGTCAGCGGAACACAGAGGATGGAGGAGTGCAAGGGCGATCAGAGCTGGCGTCGGCCAGTAGATCTCTGGTTCTCGGCCCTTGAGAGCAGTTGGAGAGGATGGCAAGGTGGAGGTGAGCAGAAAAACGCCGTGAACAGAACCGACAAATGGCAGTGCAGGTTTCGGGTGGTCGAAGGCATGTGCGAGATGAAGGGGCGCTCGTACATGCCGCCCACAGCTGTGGTTGGTAGAGAAGCGAGAGCCCATTACCCAGTAAGGCAAAGCTGCGCCCTCGTTCAAACCAACATGCACCACGGGGGCGCCTCAACGGTCGTCTGCCCGTTCATAAAAGCAACGTACAACATGTCGCAGGGCAGACACGTCTCGAGTCCGTAATCACAGTAACTCAGCCAGTTAGCAGAGCAGCTGCGCAACCGGTGCCCAAATACATTCCTTGTTGAATTGCTCTGTTGCGCAAGCCAGACCATCGCTATTTCAGGAAGTAATGGGCCGCGGTACCTGCCAAGTGACCCAGCATCCAGTTCACACATTGATAGTTTCACCATGACCTCTCCTTTCAAGTCACCTGTGCATATTTCCAGCGAAGACCACCTCGAGTCGAGACTTCAAGGACCCCTTTGCGGACATGGCCTCATCATAGACTGCATGCGTGAAGGCAATGTTGACATTCATCTACACAGTAGTCGCTACCTTGGCTCTGCTGACACCAACAAAATCCAAGCACGAAATCCGGGTTCCACATTAGCAGGGCGAGAACGGTCCTCATGTGGTTGTCAGCAGCATCTATACATCCGACGAAAGTCGAATATCGCTGTCCCTACTAAATCAAGACGGTTGCGAGCGCCAAAAAGAATAGAATGGGGTTTCTCTCTCAAAGTGCAACAGTAGCAGCCGTCTTGTAAACCAGTCGCATGGAAAACGGAGATTGCCACACTGTGGCGCAACACCTGCACCGCACAGCCTCCCTCCCGCCAACAGTTCTAAAATTGGCGCAAGTCATTGCAAGAGAGCCTGCACCTGAGTGTTCACCACCTGCACAACCTGCATCACTGGCTTACGTACTCACTCTCTGGGCTACGCTTGCCGCATGTAGCCTTTCTTGCTGCACATGGAAAAGGCTAGTCGTACATAAGGTGCTCACTGCAGAGAGAGTACGTAGTGTTTGCGGCGTGGAATCAGCTGAAATGTTTTCTGTGAAGAGTCATCAAAGAGGGATGTCAACACATCAAAGATTCTGGTCATCGCCCACACGATAATTAACGATGGATAAGAGTACGTAGCCTGCGTTGAGGCCCCTGAGTTGAGTTGCGCTTACAGTTCCACTTGTCGCTGCGTCGAACTGCGGGGGAGGCTGCAGAGGAGCCGCGGCGTCTCGGGCATGCAAACCAAACCCTTGACTTTGGCGGATCAGTGGATTGCGGGTCTTTTTGCCAATGTTTCATGTTCTACGGGCGCTGTTTGAGATCTCAAGATCGATCTCTCGAATTGACTTGCTGGTACTCTGTGCAGCTGCCTTTGGATTAGACAGACAATTCCCCATGTCCAGATCCCTTGGGATATCGCTATCTTGTCTGTAGATACGGGTCTCACCAGCATGCGAGGGCTGAGCAGGCGGTCTGCGAGCGAAGCACAAGCAACGTGCTACGCTGCACAGCCTGGTCGGCAGGTTCCACAAGACCAGTCCAGCAAGCCGCCGCCCGCCTCCGCATGCCTGTCCGGTGTCGTCAGCGCTTGTTCCGGGCGCCCTGCATGAGCAGCCCGATTCGCTTCGTTCAGCTTTCAGGGGATCGCTTTTATTGAAAAAAGACCCAAGGAGTACAGAGTACTTGAGCAGGACATGTGAGTGGAAGAAGGTCAAGAAGACTGAAACACCGCTCTCTCTCCTCTTCCTTGTCCGCAAAGACCTGCAAATCCCTAATCCGAACGATATCTCGGGCCCTGACTCTTTGTCCTTGCGTCCGAAGTCCTAATTCACATTCTTTCTTTTTTTACCTTTCGTCTCCGCATTCGGTCGGCTTCTCACCTCAATTCCCCGTCACTCGCTCTGACGGTCGCATCACCAACCTCCCACCTCTGACGTGCCCTGGCGGCTGTCATCCTTCTCACTCCCACATCCCGTCACTCACGTCGTAATAGTCGAGCTTGACTGATTGCCTATTCAACAATCGAGACGTCTCCGGTGCCGAAGCCTCGCGCTTGAGCTTCCCACCATTGCGAGACAGTAGAATCCCAAGCCAGCAACACCATGGCGAACCAGTATCCTGGCAGCTACAACAACAGCCACCAACTCAATAACATCTCTCCCGGAAATGTACGTTACAGGATCGACTGACACAGGCTGAAGCGGTACTAATGCTTTTGCAGGGCTATAGACCATCCGGACACCACTCTGACGACGAGGCAGAACACTCTTTACTGCACCAAAATTCTGCATACCAGAGCCAGTATGAAGATCCTCATTCTCGACCCTTGACCCCAGGTCAAGAGTCGGTTTACACCCTGAGCGAGACATACGCAGGAGGGGATAAATCACAGGTTCCCGTAACGGAATACAACCCTCAACATACGCAGGTTTATGGGCAAGGTGGGGCATACGGATTGACAAATTCGCAAGCTGGATTTCCAGCCGGAGGATATGGTGACCCCGTCGAGAGGACCACTTCTACCGAGGCATGGCAGCAGCGACAAGCTCCCGGCTTCGGCACGGTCAAGCGCTATGCCACCAGGAAGGTCAAGGTGGTCAACAGTGTTCTCAGCATCGACTACCCAGTTCCTAGCGCCATTCAGAATGCAATCCAGTCAAAATATCGGAATGACCTCGAGGGCGGAAGCGAGGAGTTTACACACATGCGGTACACCGCAGCCACATGCGATCCCGACGATTTCACATTGAAGAATGGTTACAATCTGCGCCCGGCAATGTACAACCGTCATACCGAGCTTTTGATCGCAATCACGGCCTACAACGAGGACAAGGTTTTGACTGCTCGCACCTTGCACGGTGTCATGCAGAACATCCGGGACATTGTCAATCTGAAAAAGTCCGAATTTTGGAATAAAGGGGGCCCGGCCTGGCAGAAAATTGTTGTGTGCCTTGTTTTCGACGGTATTGATCCATGCGACAAAAACACCTTGGATGTGCTGGCGACCGTGGGCGTGTACCAGGATGGTGTCATGAAGAAGGACTTTGACGGCAAGGACACCGTGGTTCATGTCTTCGAATATACCACCCAGCTCTCCGTTACTGCCAACCAGCAGCTCATTCGACCAAACGACAACGACGCTACGTCCCTGCCTCCTGTACAGATGATGTTCTGTCTGAAGCAAAAGAACAGCAAGAAGATCAACTCTCATCGATGGCTCTTTAACGCCTTTGGTCGCATTCTGAACCCTGAGGTCTGTGTTTTGCTCGATGCCGGCACCAAACCGGGACCGAGGGCTATCGTGTCTCTCTGGGAAGCTTTCTACAACGACAAGGATCTTGGTGGTGCTTGTGGTGAGATTCACGCCATGTTGGGCCGCGGGGGAGTTTTCGGAAGGAAGTTGCTCAATCCCTTGGTTGCGGCACAAAACTTCGAGTACAAGATCAGCAATATCTTGGACAAGCCTCTGGAGAGTTCTTTCGGATATGTCAGTGTCTTGCCTGGTGCATTCTCGGCGTATCGGTTCCGAGCGATCATGGGCCGTCCGCTTGAACAGTACTTCCACGGTGACCACACCATGTCCGCGCGACTGGGCAAGAAGGGAATCGAAGGCATGAACATTTTCAAGAAGAACATGTTTTTGGCCGAGGACCGCATCCTGTGCTTCGAACTGGTCGCCAAAGCTGGATCCAAATGGCATCTCACCTACGTCAAGGCGTCCAAAGCAGAAACAGATGTGCCTGAAGGTGCTGCGGAGTTCATCGGACAACGTCGACGCTGGCTCAACGGCTCCTTTGCCGCCTCGATCTATTCTCTCATGCACTTCTCCCGCATGTACAAATCCGGCCACAACCTCATACGAATGTTCTTCTTCCACGTCCAAATGATCTACAACATCGCCTCGGTCATTCTTTCCTGGTTCTCGCTCGCAGCATTCTGGCTTACCACGAAGATTCTCATGGACCTGGTGGGACAACCCAGTGACAGCAACGACAACAAGGCATTTCCCTTTGGCGACAGCGCGACGCCCGTCATCAACACGATCATCCAGTATGTGTACCTGGCTTTTCTGTTACTGCAGTTCATCCTCGCCTTGGGCAATCGACCCAAGGGCTCGAAGCTCGCCTATACCATTTCCTTCTGCGTCTTTGCACTCATCCAACTGTATGTCATTGTCCTGTCAATGTACTTGGTGGTAAGGGCATTCACGTCAGAGGATGGCACCGATATCGTCACCAATGAAGGCGCCAATGAATTCATCAAGTCCTTCTTCGCCTCGACCGGACCCGGTATTGTCATCATTGCGCTTGCAGCTACGTTTGGACTGTACTTTGTGGCCTCGTTCATGTACCTGGATCCCTGGCATATGTTCACGTCTTTCTTCCAGTATCTGCTACTGATGCCGTCTTTTATCAACATCCTCATGATCTACGCCTTTAGCAATTGGCACGATGTATCATGGGGCACCAAAGGCTCAGACAAGGCCGATGTGCTGCCCTCGGCTCAAACCAAGAAAGACGAAAAGGGCAAAACGACCGTTATAGAAGAAGTCGACAGACCTCAAGCCGACATTGACAGTCAATTCGAAGCAACAGTTCGACGTGCCCTTGCGCCCTTTGTGCCGCCAGTGGAAAAGGAAGACAAAACCCTGGAGGATTCGTACAAGAACTTCCGAACTCGACTTGTGGCGACTTGGATCTTCTCGAATGCCTTGCTCGCTGTTGTCATTACTAGTGACAGTGTCGACCAATTTGGCTTTACTGTGAGTGTATCAACCTCTTTACTTAGACTGACTGGTGCTAACTGTCTGCAAGTCGAGAGCTACGAGTCGAAGCAGCCACTTTTTCCAAGCGCTGCTGTGGACGACGGCTGCCTTGTCTCTTGTCCGTTTTTCTGGGTGTTGTTGGTTCCTCGGGAGAACGGGTCTCTTGTGCTGTTTCAACAGAAGATGACCGGGCTCCCACTGTTCTGCATCGCAAGGTTGAATTGGGCCGGGCGTCATCGACGGGTTTCCAAGGTGCATTGCACCACGTGTCAAGTGGGCAAACAATTTTGCTGTAGACCTCCGGTTGGGAATGGACACCAAGGTCTACTGTGATAGAGGTGATAACAAAGCAAGTAAATGTACGATGTACGTTTTGGCCACATCGGCCCAGTCTCCGAACAGGCCGCGGCTGTCGCCTGCCAGTGGCGTCATGGGAAGCAGACATACATTTAATATGACTATGTATCACCAAACCGTGAATGAAGTAATTACAACCTCCGTTGTCACTTCTCAAGTACAATTCACCAGAACACCCAGCGCATTTCAAGTTGCCTAGAACTGCACGTCTGCTCAACTTGTTCGTCTTTGTCCGCGGCTCGGCTTTGATCCGCCCACCAGGAGCCTTACGGCGACCATCAGGCTGCGCCCTACTCCGTACTACGTCTGCACAACCCCAAGGACACGCACACGCCGACAACCAAACTGGGCCTTGCTAGACTTTCCAAGCGCCGCTATAACCGTAGCTTCCGCAAGCGACAGCGTCACCGGGGTGGTGACGAACTGTTGGCAAGATGATGAAAATATGGTCAATGGTAGGGGATTCGAGGCGTTTGTCAACCGATCAGCTTGCTAATCGCCGCGTGCAGAAACAACAGCAACAGAAGGATGAGCAGGCACAAGGGGCCACGCAGAAGAAAAAGAAGGTCACGGCGGCTCAGTTACGAGTGCAGAAAGGTGAGTAAGAATAAACAACACAGCTCACAGGAACCAGGGCATCTGACACGGCTCTCTCGCAGATCTCAGTGAACTCTCCCTCGGAAACACCATGAAGACCACGTTCCCCGACCCCGATGACATTCTCAACTTCCAGCTCACGATCGAACCCGATGAAGGCATGTACAAAGGCGGCAGTTTCGTCTTCAACTTCGCCATCAACCAGAACTTTCCCCACGATCCACCCAAAGTGAAGTGCACGCAAAAGATATACCACCCGAACATCGATTTGGAGGGAAATGTGTGCTTGAACATTTTGAGAGAAGATTGGAAGCCTGTGCTGAATTTGAATGCTGTTATAGTCGGCATGCAGGTATGGCATCACTAGGATCATCAGCGATCACGCGTGGAGTGATGGCATGCTGACGAAAGGGAACAGTTCCTCTTCCTGGAGCCTAATGCTTCTGACCCGCTCAACAAGGAGGCAGCCGAAGATCTAAGGAACAACAGAGAAGGCTTTCGCCGTAATGCACGAACAGCCATGGGTGGGGGTGCGGTGAAAGGCCAGACCTACGACCGAGTCTTGCGATGATCTACAGCTTCAAGCCCTCCTCAGAGCTTGAGCATGGCGTTTACGATCAGACGAAATTATGCCACTTCAAGACTTTCTATGGCACCGCGGACCATTGTTGGTAAGGCTAGAGGCGGCGCCGGGGGTCCTCTGACTGATATTACGGGAAAGAGCGCTTTATCAGGGCCACGCTTGAATATATGTTCTGACTCCTACAGAAACTGTCGAGGCGATACAATCCAGTGCCGCACTGACCGGACGACAAGAAGCTGCCTCAGGCCAACGTCGATGGAGTGACCTCTCCAGCGGACAAACAACACGTCTCCCTTCTCCTTTGACGTGTGCTCGCAATTCCGCCTTGGACTTGCTCCTACCTATCGGAACGCGAGCCTGGAAGCCCGCCCATCGACTCGCTGGCTTCCTTGACGAACGTGAAACGTCTGTCTGTGAAATGGAGCATCATCTTCTTTGTGACCTGGTTCATCCGCAGGTCGTCCTTCTCTGGAGTCTCGTCGTCGATCATAGCCTGGGGTTACTTCTCGAGAGTTTCTGCTACTCTCTCTGCCACCATACCTCGAGTGTAGTCTCCGCCTATATGTGGAATCCTCTCTTCCATCTTCGCTCAGGCTTTCTTCGCGGTCATCTGGCAGGCGCCTGCTGGGGCGGCCTCTGGAGCTTCCTCTTGAATTGTCGCTTCTCAAGTTCCCATGGTCCAAGTCATCTAATATCTCCACGTAGGTCTGACTCGACACGCTTGATCCCGAAGACCGGCGATGAGTCCTTTCTGTTCTGGGAGGCCTGAAGCTGACGGGTGGTAGCGCTTTCCTCTCCAATTCCTCGAGCTGTTTCCTTTTCCAGTCCCTCTCTCTTTCCACTCCAGCTACGTGCCTTCTCAAACTTTCGTAATCCTTCTTGCGAGCATCCGTCGCTGCTGTCAACCTTGCACATCTTTCCTTCAGTCCTTGCAATTCTACACCCTGAGCCTCGTGTTGTCGTCTAATGTCGGCAATGTCTGCCTGCAGTCTCGACATGACAGCAGTGTTAGCTCGATCTTGCCGTTCTCTAGCCCTGTGCAGTTTTTCATGTTCTGCCAGGAGGCGGGCGATTGTCTTTGCGTCCTCCTGATAGCCCTTTTTGTACTGAATCAATTCGTGTTCAAGCCGACTGATTTGCTGTTGATGTTCGGCGTTAATTCTCTGGAGGTCACGAATTACTCTTATACTCTCACTGTCCTGGTTTCCCCTCCTGGGCTGCCGCGATTCAGGTGTCGTCCAGTGGTCCGCGAGGATATCTAAAGGACTTTTGTGCCCATCCGGCTGCGAGGGCACAGCAGGGATCCAGCAAGTCGCTGCAACAGGCCAGCCTTCGGGCCTCTGCTCCAAGCCCTGGACAGTCCGTTTTGCTCTGTGGACATCACGGAGCAAAGCATCTTCGATGTTGAATTGTCGTGGCTGATCACGTCCAAAGTCGCGGGTTTGCGCGTGCCTGCCGACCATGTTAGGGGACGGAGCAAGAAGGGGAAAAGGCTCGCCCACTGTACGACAGCGTTCACAAGGTTGAGGATACTTGTTGCATATCTGACCTGGCTACGTTGAAGCACGATCCTGCGCCGCTGCAAGAATCTTTGAAGCCGCTTGCGGCGTTCATTTTCTGGGCTGGAGATAATCCTGAAGAGTTTGATCCCAATCACCTTTTCGTCGCGGCCCATGTCGTCGCGAAACCGGTCGAGAGCATATCGCAGGCCGCCCAGAATGACAAGGATGTCTCTCGTAATCCGGTGCAGAGGCCTCAAGATATGCTCTGAGAAGACGCACCAGGGACCTTCGAGAAGCGGACGCAACGTCGCATAGTAGTGCCCAAGCTGATTGAGGTCGCGACTGAATGTCTCATACTCACTGCCAGCCTCAGCGGACATGCCTTGCCATAGTTCGAATACCACCTGGCCTACGCTGTAGGCGTTGTTCGCGGCGTCTTGGGCCGCTCTGGCTATACTCACAGGGTCCATGCCATGGTTGCGGCAGCGGGGAGCTGATAATCAGTGCCACAACCCAAGGCCAGAGGTACGAGGTACGCGAGAGCTGTAGCCCAGAGCCATCTTTAAGGAGCTCCGTTCCTCTGTGCTGCGGGTCATTGTCTCACGACCTGCATGGCTATCTGACGACAGGATTGGTTCGACGCCAAAATCGCGAGGTGAGCAAGCGGTGGTGCCCTATCCCAGGAGGTATCAGTGGTCCGCAATCCAGGTGGCGGGCGATATACAGCAAAGTCGGGCGCAGGGGGACGTCCCGTCTTCTCGTATTCTCAGCCTAGCATCGCTGCTCGCTCGGGCGAAGCAGCCTATGCCGGCAAGCTACATGGATTTCTGCAGGTCGACGAATCTGCCTTTCCGAATTGCCTGTCTCGTGGACCGTACAGGGTTCACCCAGGCACCTGTGGTCATTGATTCAAGGCGCTAGATTCGTCCCTAGGAACGGATCCGCACGGCGCGTGCCGATAGATGTGAAGCAAGGTGCTCGTCAAGACGCGGCTGGAATAAGCGAGTGGGAGATCGTATCTATGTATCTGACCGTCCGGTGCGTGCTCTTATGCAATCCGGGCCTCGCAAGCCCGATCGGCGGCAAAATACGGCATCTAGATTCAGGAAGCGGCTCTAATCACATGCTCCGACCTCGTACTTGACTGCGTACAACTGTCACTCTGGTCTCCTTATGCTGCCTTCCGCAACACAGCCACGGAACGCTCCATCACGACACCTGGGCACCGACAAGCTTCGAGTCAATACCGCAGCCACCATTAGCGTTCACAGCGCCTATGGGTGTCTTTTCTAGTCAGTGGTACGCAGTGTACATCGGTGTATCCCTGGGGCGCTCTCGAAACGTACAAGGTCGCCTTGGGACTGGGGTCCCGCAAACAGCGATTGCAGTACCAGTGAACAGTCCTTAGGCTCCTATTGGCTCAATCCGAGGTTTTTCGCGCCAGAATTGCAGTCTGTACTTCGCACGGAGATCTTAGGCACCTTGAAAGAGACCGCGTCGGGGAAGGGGTGAATCCCTTCGGTTCGCCTTCCACGTACCCGACGCGGACCACGCGCTGGGAGTTGGGAAACTCGTTGGGTCTTGCTGATCGTGTACAGGCGCAGTTGTATGGGTATGTGTACTCCGTACATATCACTCGCACTTGCTCACGGGTGAGGTTCTATCACGGCACTTGTATGTATGGGTGCACTTCGTCCTCCGTGCCACTGATATGTCCAGGACTTCGTCTCCCGTTGTCTGGTTTGGCGGTCTTGAGCGCGATATAGCAGGTATATCAGCCTGGTTTGCAGGTGTGGAGTTTGACCCCGATCACTGCACAGCAATCAGTTCCATCTCCAACGTAACGCCCGCAGGCAACCTCTTCGCCTCGATGGCGCTCCTCGCCGGCTTTTGCGGGAAATACTGCGCATAAACATCGTTGAACTCCTTAAAGTCGTCCAAATCCGCGAAGAAAACCTGCATTTGCGTTTCCTTAGCTGCTCTTTGCACTACTTGCACTTCATCTTCAGCTCACCAGACCAACATAGACTTACCGTGACTTTCACCGCCTTCTCCAAACTCGATCCCGCTGCTTCCAAAACAATTGAAGCATTGCGACACAGGACATGAGCCTTTTCTGCGACGCTGCCTTCCGTCAATTTGAGCTTGCCGTCTTCGAAAGTCGCGGGCATTTGGCCGGACACGAAAATGAACCCGTTGGCTTTGACGGCTTGGGACTTTGGTCACAGTCATTTCTCGGCGCGATAGGTCATGCAATGAGGCCTGTGAGGACGTACATATGGTCCAATGGCTGAGTGGTCGTGGTGGTAGTCGTTAGATCAGTCATGGTCAGGTCAGCACTTATTTGAGTGGGCACGAACGCGGTATGCCTTTGTCTGTGAAGACGCTTCCTATGTTCGCCATTGCTGTTGAAGAACGCCTTGCCTTCAGATCTTACCGAGCTGGCCGAGATATGAAGGCTGTGTCTTGGTGGGCGATTGGAGATGGACGAAAGTATGCCGAAGGGTGCAACTACCTGAAGGCTAGACTGCAGAGCGCCGTGGTTGTGGCTCGTACATGATCTGTCCCGTAGATGATGAGATGGAGTTCAAATGGATCAGTCAACTACGAGTCAGTCACGAGATGGGGGCGAGTCGATCTTAGCAGAGATGAGTAAGCGGATCACGTGTGACCCGCTGGGGTTCGGCTCCCTGTTGCTACTGCGGCAACGAGCCCCTGTAATTTGGGGTGGGGGCGTGACGAACGACGTACACAGTGGCTTCTTAAACGCGTTGTCCACCTTCGACCACGTTTCTTCTCCCCAATCCGTCGGCCCCTCGCCCTCCATCATGTAGGCGAACCACTCCCAGCCTGGGGCAGTCTGCAAGAGGCTCTAACATGCCACTGCATCTTGTTTAAGTGGCTCGCTATCGCACTCGAGTTTTATGTCAAATGGGCAAGGTGAGGAGACAAGGCCAGCTGAAGCCAGCGCATCAACCACCAGCCCGTCATGCCATCTGCTACAGTAAGTCGTGAATGTCTCTTCTCCTGCGAATCCCTTGAGCTTTGGCACTGTCCAATGTTGGCTTCCTGATGATACTGCAATATGGACCACTGTCCGCTCCCTCCCGGGAAGGGACATATCAAAGTCCGGAACTTCACAGTCACGCCCTATACCGCGGATTCCAAAGGCTTTTTAGGCTATCCTGCGAGGCGAGGCTGGTCGTCCGACGACCTCAACTCCCGAGACTTTCAGCAGCTTCGGCCTGTGGCCGAAGTGCGCGACTTCTTCCAGGGATGGCTCTTCTTCGGCTGCGTGATCGAGTTTCTCGCCATTTGCGGCATATCTGCTCAACACGGCGACTTTCTGACTCCCGACGGTCAGTCTGTGACCACGAAGCGCCTCACGCAGATGCTCCAGGAATGGAAGCAGATTGCACGAAAGAGACAGGTCGTTGATAGCATGAGGATACCTACAACCATACAGGCCGCATTGATTCTCGGGACCGTGAGGGACTTTCTTGATGACTATTGCTTGCCCAGAGGTGGTGGACAAGGCTTGCAAGCTGATATGCGTGCCCGGCTCGTCGCGAAGTCCCCCTTGCCCCAAAGAGTATGGATGTCCATCATCGCCCTCGGACATGCACTCACATCGGCAATGATCAGTGGGTGTGATATCCGGCGCACTGGTAGTCGTTGGGGAGGGTCGATGGTGCTCGAACAGCGAATGTTGGCCAAAAGATGGTGTCCACAGGATGTCCACCGAATGCTTTCCGACTACGGTGGGACCGTCTACGAGCAGTATTACCTGGCCAAGATGACAAATGCCGAGATTACCGGCTCCCAAGACGATAGAGACAGGGCCATATCCCATGAAGAATGTACCGAGTTTGAATGCCGTGGACGCAACATCGACCAGAAAACGTACCGTCAGTTCCACGCACGCAGTTGTGATGGCGAGTGCGGTGGCTTTCGAAGTGCAGATCTCGAAAAGTTGACGACGATCATCAAGGCTGGCGACATCCCCGTGTTCAAATGGAACCTTGAAACCAAGAAGCTCGAACTGGAGGCTGCCAAAGTCAACGGAAAGAAAGTCGGAGAGCCCCCCTTCATGGCCATCTCCCATATGTGAGTTATCACCTCCGAAGTGGGCATAGTTGCTCTGACGGTCTTCCCAGATGGAGTGACGGCCTTGGGAACCAGGATGACAATGCAATCTATGTATGTCAGCTAGAGGCGTTGCAACACTCGGTCGAGACGGCCGGCCAAAACCACAAGATGCCGGTGAGAAATCCGTCACACTTCTGGATCGACACCCTCTGCGTTCCAGTCCAGAAGGAGAATAAAGACCTGCGCAAGAAGTGCATCCGGGACATGTGGAGAATCTACGAGAGCTCTTGCTCTGTGCTTGTTCTTTGTTCCTTGCGCAAGACTGCGGCGACCGCGAAAGGGCCCGAACGACGAATAGCGGAGCACCTCAACAACTGGGACCGCCGACTGTGGACGTACCAGGAATGCATCATGGCTCGTAAACGTCTGATTCAATACGCGGACAAAACAGTCGATCACGTTAGCATCGAGGCTGACTTCTACCGGGATAAGCTGTGGGCCCCTTGGTCCGTGGCAGATCCTCTCGCACCCTTGGCATCAAAGATAGCAGCCCGATCCACGTCCAAGAAGAGCGACGAGATGCTTTGTCTGGCCACTATCATGCGCCTTGACATAGAGCCGTTTCTGAACGCAGAGACGCTCTTGAAGAAGGAGAAGGGCCTCGGCGAGAAAGAGGAGGTCAGTGACGTCGAACTTGCAGACAGACGAACGGAGATATTCTGGCAAACCATCCGTGAATGCCAGTGGGGAGTGCTTTTCAATTCTCATCGGCGGTTAACCATCGAAGGACTCCGGTGGGCTCCAGCCACGTTCCTGGGATGCCCGTCGGGTGGCTTTGTGAAGCAAGTGGACCAAGGATATTGCAGACTCGATGACGAAGGTCGCGGTCTGTCATTTACTGCTCCCGCAATTGTCATTGAAACCCCGTCGACATGGAGCGCAACATCATCCGCCCTGATCATCGAAGTGTCGGATCCCGCGGTCGGAAGGGTCTGCGTCGAGGTCACACTAAGAGACCTGAGCTTCCCCTCACAGACCTTTACTTGGAGCCCTGCCACCAAATATGCCATCCTGCTGGAGAAACCGCTTTCACTTCACGTCGCAAGTACGGCCGGTGGTCCAATGGCCAAACTCCCCCGGACGCGACCGGAACTGGAGACCTGGCTTGAAGAGACCTTCCAGCCTGGGAGGGTGAACAAGTTGGCCATAGATGCCATCGTCACAACGGTGAGAAACCCCACTATTGGCGGTGGCTCTCAGATCCGCCACGAGTGTATTGCGGTCGCCAAAATCGTCGATTCCCCTGTCCTCGATAAACTCGAGGAAGAAAAATACACGATCTGGGACGAACCGTCCAGGCACCTTTTAGCCTCGGCTCTTCAGATGGAACGGATTCTGTGAGTCTCCTCTATCCTGAGGCTCCGGTTCATGTACTGACATTTGAGATTAGTAGTAGTCCTGATAATAATACTGCAGACGACGAGGACGAGGACGACTCTAGCGGCGGCAGCGACAGCGACGACGAGGATGATAATGACGACGACGGCGGCGACGATGATGGTATTGATAATGACGATGATAACGATCAGTGGGAAGATGATGACAGTGATGACATTAATAACTCCGATAGTAACGACGACGACGACGACGACGACGATGGTGCCTCCCACGAGGAGACTAATTATTACGACGACCTCGAATCGAACGCAAATTCAGCAGACGAGAACGAAAGCCTATATCTGCAACTCGACAATGATGCCCTGGATTCTGGATCGGAATCTGCAGATGAACATCCCTATCGGGTCTTTGGCGAGGAGCAATCGCATCCGATCCCGCCTGCTCGAATCGAAGGGACGCGAAGCCCTGACGATACTCGGTGGTTTCTCTTGTAGAGTTGACTTGCCCTATATGTCAGGTGTTAATGAACCTTCGTCATTATTCAGATTATGCTTCTTCGAAATGGACATGAAGGGTTGCGACTTCTCATGGGATGGATATCTTTGTTCGGATAGCCACGAAGCTTACTGTACGTTACAGTAATTACCTTGTATCAATCCTCCATGAGGCATGCAAGCCTCAAATCATTTCAGCGGTGTGTCATGGAATCCCGTTGAGTCCTTCCCTACCCCTGTCCTCCGTGTCGGTGTCGGGCGTATCTCCAAAGCAATGAACGAAGCAACGAATATGGACCAGATGTGAGGCGTACACAGTAGTAATGGGAGTCGGAGGGTGTCACGACTAAACACACTCCCACCAGGACTTCTGTAATTCGTGACTTGCGGAATCAGGTAAAGAACAGGGAAGAAAAACTCTGGACTGCGGGGCGGGGAGGCTTGTCCGACTCCGAACAGCTTTGCCAGCCTCGCCGCTGTCGGAGCAAGCTGTCAGCCAATCACAGGGACAGTAAGCTTTGCTGGGAGAGTGCGAGAGTGAGCAGTCAGAAAATTTCCCCAGATTTCACAAGACTCTCTTTTGACTAGAATATCTCACCACGCTCCTCTCTTCTCCCCTGACTGCAAACATACGAATAGACAAGATGGCCTCCAAGACTTTCGCGAGAACCCTGCGCACCGCGTCCAAGCAGAAAATCGGCGCTCCTTCGGTGCAGAAGCGCTCCATTGCGTCGGCCCTTGCGACCAGACCTGTGACTGCCGCAGTGCAGAGACCGGCCTTCACAGCTCCGTCACAGCAGCAGACACGCGGACTCAAGACAATCGACTTCGCCGGCACAAAGGAGACCGTCTTTGGTGTGTATATCCATGTTTTGTCGATCTTTCCAGATTGTTAACACTCTACCACAGAACGAGAAGACTGGCCACGGGAGAAGCTTCTTGTATGCGCAATCTTGCCCTGAGACTGAACTCAGCTCCCTAACCACCCTATAGGACTACTTCAAGAACGACACACTCGCCCTCATTGGCTACGGCTCCCAAGGTCATGGTCAAGGCCTCAACCTCCGAGACAATGGCCTGAATGTCATCATCGGTGTGCGCAAGGACGGTGCTTCGTGGAAAGAAGCCGAGCAAGATGGCTGGATCCCGGGCAAGAACCTGTTCGAAGTGGATGAGGCTATCTCCAAGGGTACAATCATCATGAATTTGCTGAGCGATGCTGCTCAGAGCGAGACATGGCCCGCGATTAAGCCTCAATTGACCAAGGGCAAGGTAAGACAACCTCGAAGAACTCTTGAAGTTGTTACTAAGATATATGTTCTCCAATAGACCCTCTACTTCTCGCACGGTTTCTCCCCGGTCTTCAAGGACCTCACCAAGGTCGACGTCCCCGAGGACATCGATGTCATTCTTGTCGCGCCCAAGGGCTCTGGCCGCACCGTCCGAAGTCTGTTCCGCGAAGGCCGCGGCATCAACTCGTCCGTCGCTGTCTACCAGGATGTGACTGGCAAAGCTGAAGAGAAGGCCGTTGCCCTCGGTGTCGCAATCGGAAGCGGCTACCTCTACAAGACGACATTCGAGAAGGAGGTCTACTCCGACCTGTACGGTGAACGTGGCTGTCTCATGGGTGGTATCCACGGCATGTTCCTCGCCCAATACGAGGTCCTCCGCGAACGTGGCCACTCCCCGTCCGAAGCATTCAACGAGACCGTCGAGGAAGCCACTCAGTCGCTGTACCCACTCATCGGTGCCAACGGCATGGACTACATGTATGCCGCTTGCTCGACCACTGCCCGTCGCGGTGCCATCGACTGGTCCAAGAAGTTCAAGGACACATTGAAGCCCGTGTTCAACGAGCTGTACGACAGCGTGAAGGATGGCAGGGAAACCAAACGTAGCTTGGAATACAACGGTGCTCCAGATTACCGCGAGAAATTCGAGAAGGAGATGGAGGAAATCCGGGGCCTCGAGATCTGGCGTGCCGGAAAGGCTGTTCGGTAAGACACAAGCCGCTGCTCCTGCCTGCTTTTTGGGACTGCTTGCTAACCTTTGCCTAGCTCCCTCCGACCTGAGAACCAGTAGAAAGATTATCGTCCAGCTTGTGACTCTATCTTGGCAAGGCGTTCTCTGACCAAAAGTTGAGTGTGTATCAAGGCGGCGAGGTCACTTCTTGGTAGATAGGACATTTTGCAATAACACTGCCCCGTCGATATTTCGACACCTCAGATGTTGCCGATCTCGGTTGACCATGAGATGATTCGGATATCCCCACGCTTACCTAATGCTTGCGTGTGTTGGTGGTGTCGCAACGGAGTACTGTGGATACATTGTTCCACAATATTCGTCCCGATAGTCCATGAGTGTTTCTCGTACCGAAGCCATGTATTTCCTCCCTCCGCCGTGCCCTACCTAGTATCGTTGTAGCCCCTTCCGGCTCCATCTTCCCCGGCTTCTCAAACCACTGTCTAAAGACACAGCTCGCGACAAATCCTGCAGACCAGAACGGCGAATCATCCTGACCCAGCACATCAATGACTCCACCTTAGGTACCTAGAGACATCAAGGAGATAGATACTACCTGCCTGGTCCCCTACCCACAATTCGATCCGACAACATTTCCCCGAAATGGCCGACCCATCAACCTGCCCCCCTCTCACACCCTCATCCATCCATTCCGCATACCACAAGATAAAGCGGTACATCCACCGAACGCCGCTCCAAACGAGCACATCCCTCGACGCCATCGCCTCGTCGCCCGACCCGACCGTCTACCTGTCTGATTCGCCGCCTTCGTTTTTTCGATCCGCCGACGGACGTGGACCTGGTGCCGGTTCTGGCGCTGGCACTGCTGTTGGTGTTGGTGGTGAGTCTGCTTCTGGTGCCAGTGGACGTGATGCCGATTCGGGTGTCGACTCTGGTTCTCGTTCCGGCAGCGTGGCCCCAAAGTTCCGATTATGGTTCAAGTGCGAGAATTTCCAGAAGATTGGGGCGTTCAAGGCACGGGGCGCGTTTCATGCGGTCACGAGGTTGGTTGAGGAGTTGGGTCTTGAGGAGGTGAGGCGGAGGGGTGTCGTCACGCATAGTAGTGGTGAGTTCTGAGTTTCGTTTTTCGTGCTTCGAAGGTCGTGTTTTGTCTGGATATCGGCAGAGTCTGAGGTCCGAGGTTGAGGTGAGGTTCAGGTATGTGGTGAACTCTGCGTCGTGAGCTGTGCGTCGTGAGCGGCAACCTTGTCCACAGGACGAGATGTGTGTGTTGCGAGTCACGGTGTCCGCGCAGCATGACATGTCCCTCAGTCTCCCAACCTGGAACTTGCTTGCCCTCAAGGTACTGAATCGATTGACTGCATCTCAACTATTACTTGCCCACCCATCGACTTACCCACCTACCTACTTCTTGGTTCCTTACTCGTTCACTTCTTGCTTCCTTACTCACCTACCTACCTACTTCTTGGTTCCTTACTCGCTCACTTCTTGCTTCCTCACTCACCTACTCACCCACTCCTGCGTCCTTACTCGATGCCGATCTCCCCACATACTGTATTTACTCACCCCCGTCTCAAGGAAACCACGCCCAGGCCCTCGCGCTCGCGGCCCACACGTTCTCCATCCCCAGCTACATCGTCATGCCGACGATCAGCACGGCCTCGAAAATCGCAGGCACAAGACTCTACACGCCCAACGTCATCTTCAGCGGGTCAACCTCGCAAGAACGCGAGGCCGTGGTCGCCGACGTTATCCGGGACAAAGGCGCCATTTTGGTGCCGCCGTACGACCACCCGGATATCATCCTGGGCCAGGGCACTGCGGGGTTGGAGATGGAGGAGCAGTTCCGAGAGGCCAGCGGGACAGGGACGGACGCGAACGCATCTGGGGCTGCGACCGCTCCCGCGCCCGCACTCGACGCCGTCATTGCACCCCTCGGCGGCGGCGGCCTCCTAGGCGGCACGGCCACTTATTTCTCCGACAAGCCCGGCACGCTGGTCTTCGGTGCGGAACCGTCGTTCCAGGGCGGGGACGACGGCCGCCGCGGTTTATTGACAGGCAAGCGCGTCGAGCACGTCAAGACGCTGACGATTGCGGATGGGTTGCGCACACCCGTCGGCATCACGAACTGGTCGATCATCAGCGACAAGCGCAAGGTCGAGGGCCTGTACGCCGTGACTGAGGACGAGATCAAGATGGCCATGCGGCTCGTGTACGAGAGGATGAAGGTCGTGGTGGAGCCGAGCGGCTGCGTGGGACTTGCCGTGGTGTTGTTCAACGCCGAGTTTCGGGAGATGGTGGTCCAAAAGCAGAAGCAGGGCAAGGAGGATGTGTGGGACGTCGGCATCGTGTTTAGCGGTGGGAATACCACGATGAAAGCGTTGAGTAAGTTGTTTGCCGACGACGACGTGCAGGGTGGGGAACCTGAAGTCGCGAAGGAGAGGGAGGAGGGCACAGTTGCCATGGATGGAACGAGGGATGTTGAGGATGTCGCTGGGTAGGAGGGCGTCTATGAGATCGCTCTAACGCCTGACATTGCAAAGATAGAAACATACAAAGCGTACTGGCAAAGCATAGGCGGGTCGAGGTCTTTAGCGACTTGGCTTCCGCGGCTGACCTCATATAGTACTTCCTTGTTCGCCTGGGCTTGTTATGTCCACGAGTAAATGAACTGGCTGGTCAGATGGCGGAACGCCCAACCGTCTCCGCTGTGGACTTCCCACCATATGGCTTCTCGGCGACTTCCTAGCCATAGTCTAGGCCATCACTCTTTATCACTGTTTCTCCGTGTCATGATCTGGTTTCTGCCTGTGAGGGCGGCCCCCTCATTCTTACGCCGTTCACCTGCTTGGCGTCCCCGTGACCATGACACACATCGGCGCCAAAGCAATACCAAGCCTCGAGCACGTAGTGTGCCGCGGCGCCGTCACCCTGGACACGGGGCCAGCCTGATTTTGGTCCCTGCCTCGGCATAGCAGGCGACCATGGTACTCTCGACTCTCCTGGGATATCACGGTTGCAGAACATGTTCGTCCGCCAACAAGGATCGGTCATCTTCCGAAGCGGAGCGAGGCGATCAACTGGTATAGCAGTAACTCGATGATGCTGAAGACGATGGCGTGCGGTCGTGATGTAACCACATTGGCATCAGCGTTTGTCGTCGGACCGTGGCCGAGAGCATCACAGAGGCTCGAGCCCTGGTATCGTTGCCACTTATATTGTGGCCGACATCAAAGCGGTATACCGGACATATTGTAGTTGTTGGCAACGAGGTTTCTGGACGTCTGTGCCACGAAGTCAAGGATGAGCTAATGAGTGACAAATGCACCTACCTCCGCGACGGCGGTCAGCTGCCAACACGACTGGGAAGCACACCCCAGATCAGGGGTTTTGCAGAGAACGGTCATGGCCCTACCGACTTTGAAGTTTCCCGCTCGTCCTGCGTACGAAGGAGTGAGTCGACTCGGCGTAACGGATGATTGGACATTTTTGGAGGTCTAATTAGAGCAAAAGGGTGGTGGGCAGGCAAGGAAGCATAGGGGCCAATTGCACCGTGTTTCGCCGTGCTGTATGAATTGTCAATCACGGAGCTCACCATGTAAATGACCACAACGTGAACAACAAAGCAGCGGGGAGTTTCCAAAGGGTCGTATGTTTGGGAAGAGGCTGGCAGGGTAAGGAGACGCCTTGAGCTATTCTATGCAGGCTAAATAGGCGCTAATGGACCTCCACTCGTTAACGCCCGCATTGGCGTCGGATTGGCCAGCCACCACTCAGAACTCCAAAACGCCGAAGCACTGACACCACTAATGTTATTCTAGCTGTCATCGAGGCAAGGGCTTCACTGTGCGTCCGGTAGCCTGATCCATTGGCATGCAGAGGTGGCGCGTTGAGGAGGCCAGTTTCTCTGTCTCGGGCTTCCTCGCACCCCGACCACCTGTCAGTGGTTTAAGGTGTCGTTGCCGATTGATCTCCCAGCAAAGTCGCGGTTGATACTGCGATCAAATAGACAGGCAGGATTGACTGCGCCGTCCTGAACTCGGCAATCCTGCGCACCGTTGATCCTGCAGCAGACACTCCGGTTGGGTGACGATTGGAAGATGCTTTTCGGTACGAACTGCTTCTCAAGTTCACGCTGTGACGCCTTTTCTTTTCCAAACGTGACATGCCATGCCTGGGCGCCGTATACGTGGTCGAAAGCAGCGATGAACTGCCTGTTTGGCGCGGGGACAGAGCGAAGGGGTCATTCTTCTGCATGACACCAGGCAATATAAATTCAGGCATACAGGTGAACGTGCGAAACGAGCGTGAGTGTGATCAAAGTCGACCGGACGGACGACGGTGAGTTCGGGTGGCTCACTGAAACCGCCCACACCAGTCACATATGCGCATCGGGGCAGTACCGGTGGTTGATCTCCTTCATCTCAAGGGAGACTTGCTGCGCTCGAACGGTTCGCTCGTGCGACTGACCATTGGAGAGATCACCAGAGACATCAATGGTCATGTTGTCGCTTGAGACGGTGGCAGGGTGGCGTGCCTCAGAGCCGAAAATCAGTGACAGCCTCCGCAGGCTAGCTAGCTTCAGTCGAGACACATCAGTGTTGGGCACTGGCCGTCAACATGGGAATAGCTGAACGCGGCATGAAACGTTACAGCCATCCAGCCAGAACACACTACGCTTCGATCTGCAACATGTCGTTCGCGAGCCCTCGGAGAATGGACTTCCTACTTCCAAGTTTCGAGCTATGCCCCCAGACCTCTTGACGCTCAAGTAATGCTACAGTCTGATCGAGCACATTCGGCCGGCCGGCCGGCCGGACAGCGGAGTGACCGCGTCCCGATATGCTCACGCAGACTCCCGCCATTGGGGACCCTCTGGAGGTACCGTTTAGCGACGGTGTTGTCTCCTTAAGCAAGCTGGTCAATCCGCGGTGGTGGGCTATGGCTTGAGTGAAGGCAGCCACCAGCACGTAGCCAACAAGGCGGCAACATAAGAAAACACCACTCTTGCGTGGAAAAACGGGGTACGACCTCGGTGGCATGCCATCGTGGCCAGGCCCAGGATCTGTGCGCTGTGGTAGTTAAGCGACTTCCCGGTGTCCTCTGAGCGTCTTCGCGTCCCAATTGTCTTATGAGATGTGCTGTGTTTTCGGCCTCCGTCCTTGCCGGTTGCGCAAGTAGAGTACAGCCAATTCATGAAGTCGTCTGCTCCCCAGATGTGCGCGAGATTGATACAATCGTGTGCGGTGCACCAGACGGTCGATTCCCGTCCTGGTATGATTCTGGAGAAGGCCACGATAGGCACAGACATTGCTTCCGGGACGCGTAAACAGGCTGGTGCGTCCATCCTCGAAGGAGGACCGGAGTGATAATTAAGGTCGTTGAGAGGCGATGAGCTGCCCTCTTCGGAATGACCACAGCACCCTGACCAGCGCGAGGACGACCAGGAACCGGTGTCCTTCGTCGAGACTCCCCGTGTCATCACAGGAGAAAGAGACGGACATGTCGTCCTGTCGGGGGATAACCACAGCCAACGTGCGGTGCTCCCCAAAAGAGCACGCTGTGCATCTTGTACTTAATTACCTATGTTGAAACCACCGGGTTGAGCTCACATGTGCTCTGTACTCTATACTCTGCACGTCTCCATGATCACTCTGGGCTACATAGTTGAACACCACACTCGAGACACTCCCATCATGCACCACCCAAAAAGAAATTAAAAACAAAAAAAGAACAACATCTGAGAGGAGTGGGGTTCGAACCCACGCTTCCAACGGAAAGCAGAGAATAGGTCTTTAGTCTGGTGTGAGGTGTAGGACTTAAATCTGCCGCCTTAAACCACTCGGCCATCCTCCCTTGATGATTCAGTTCATGTGTGTGTCCCGAAAATCTGTGTGATTTTGGAGCACAAAATTGTAGACAATCTGTTGTATTGTGTTCATATACCATCGCATTTTTGGGCGGCTGCGGGGTGAGCCCCGGGGCGGAGGATGGGGCACCTCCCACTGAACCGCTCAAGGGTCACGGTAGTGCACTCCGTCCTATGTATGTAAATGGTGGGCTAGCGAAGTTTCGAGGTTCATACTCCCTCGACTCCGTACCTCGTCTCCATACGCAGCTGTGCCACACCACGAGAGCCAATAAGTACCTACATAGTGCTGGTGCGTTATAATTACTGTCCTTCGCGTGACGAGACGATCTGGTCATCCCATTGAGAAGGGTTTGCGGCTTCTAGAAAGTCCGCGGCGTGTTCTTCTTTTCTTCAGAGGATAGCATCACTCAACATAAATGCTTCGCTACGCTTCGCAGGACATACCATTCCGCTGAGTCCACGTCGCTTCCAGATCATTTCGAAACCGCTCAAGCTGGGAAAACCTCATCAGATTCCACCTCCGGCGCATGTCGTCGCGAACAAGCTGGATATCCTCCGGCGTGGCCACGAAGAAACCGAGCGTATAAACCGGCCAATTACCGATATAGCACCTCGCCCAATCGACGTCGTGCTCGTGGTTCTGTAGGATAATCATTGCTTTTTCGATCTGCCAGCAACCCGGAGGTACTGGCCCTGGAGGGCCGATGCCGATCCCCTCGGCATGCCCTCCACCTTCACACAGTTGCAGTTGCTGCACCAGCAACGACGCAACCAGGACGTACAAGGCTGTGGCGTCCCTGTAGATCTCGTAGTTACTGTCTGAAGGAGATTGTGGAGGCCCAAGGATTGTCCTTTCCCACTCCTCCAGCTCGGTCCTCAGCTCGTCCAGCGTCTCCGCGTCAAGTTGTCCAAATGGACTCTCCCACAGCCGCTTGATTGAGAGGACGAGCTTGAAGAGGTCCAACGGCACGCCCAGCACGGGACTGTTGGTCGAGATGGACGTGCTGGGGATCCGGAACAACATCGACTGGGCGAGCAAGTTCTCGGCGCGCAGCCAGAAGGCCGCGTCGAACGTGTACGCCACACGCTCCAAGCGGCCACCACACCAGGACCCCATCGTGACGAGGAAGACTTGGTATAACACACTTTCCACCGCCAGACGGTCGAAAGGCCGGGAGATGCTGGTGCTCAGGGGCCGCTCCATGAGGCGGAGCTTCAGTATGCGGATCGCGGCGTTGACGTGGCGCGGGATGTCGTTGTAGGTGCCTCTTCCCATGCACTGCGGAGTCAGCCAGGTTCGAGCGTCAGCATCTCCCTGTATCAGGTGGACGTACCCCGTGCAGATAGAGCAGGATGATCGACATCAACAGCCCGTTGTGGTTCTCCAGCTGCGACGACGCCCTCGCAAGCACCTCAGAGAGTCCTCTGATGGCCGCGGAATAGTACGTAAGCGAGAGTTCCTGCATTTGTGGAGAAGCGTCCACGAAATGCAGATGAGAGGCCGCGCACGCCAACACCGACGACCGTAGGCACTTGTGCTGGAGCATGAGTTCCTGGATCTCATTGATCCAGCCGTGGTAGTACTCCGGATGGCAGCTGGGTAGGAGTAGCAGGGCGTAATACCGGTCCACGAAGTGGCGGGCGAGCACGGACTCGAGATCATGGCACAAGAGCTGGTGGGCTGCTGCTTCCGAGGACCGCGAGACCGTTGCGTCGGTCACGGAGTTGTCGCTGTATTGGTCCTTCCTAGAAATGGAAAGTTGCTGTGTGTCGTTCGACTCGGCAGTAGCAGTCGAAGGTGCCGGCGAGGTCGACTTTCGACGCGCCGGGTGCGATGAATAGCGTCGATCGATCAGGTCGTCGGTTGTCGGCCATTGGCATGTATATCCAGAGTACCGGCACCGATGACAAGCGGGACGTTCTTCATCGCATTTCTTTCTCCTGTTCTTACCTGTGGCAGCGTCGTGTGAGCGCACAAGGCTATGAATGGTCGGTGTGCGTCGAGGAAGAAAAGACACTTACATGTGAGGCAGCCGGTCTTTGTGCGCAATCGTGGACGTTGAGCCGGCCCACTCATTTCGGCCTGATATGGCATGTTGAATGGTAAAGCCTCGGTGCTGCCCTAGCAAGATGATCCAATCGTACAGGGCAGTGTCGTCCCAGTAAGGTGATCGGCTGGTAGTCTCCCGGGGTCGTCCCAAACAGTGAGTCGAATCGGACACCCACAGACGCCCGCTTTCAAAGCACATGCAACTGCTGAGATGGATTTGTAGTCCTGGAAGTCACAAGAGGCAGCACTCGTCGGAGGAAAGAATGGGTCCGCGGATATCAATTGCGGGGGGCCACAGGGGCCTCGACTCGTGCGCCACCATCTCCCCACGATCGATGACTGGTGATTGGACTTTGCGGTCGGCGACTGATAAGGAGCTTGTTTGCGGCCTCTTTCCCGCATGCTAGTTATTGTACTCTTAGGCGACAACAGCACGTCCGGATACGCAAGGACGTAGGTGTGCTTGGTAGGCATGCCGTCCCCTTCCTGACCCTACCATGTGAGGGAGGCATGGCCGAGGACAGCATACGACATCATGTATAGTCATAGCTGAAGGTACTAGCCTTCGCATACAAAATGAGACTTGCTTCACACGACGCGATCCCTACTGCGGCACGATGCGATGCCCTACAACCGCAGAGATCAAATCGCATGGAATCATCGACCGGAGTTAGGTTCCTATCTAGCGCGGCAGGTATGACTAAGGTCTTGCCGATACATGCCTCTGTTCAACACTTGGCGGTATCAGTGCTCACCATACTTTGCCTTGTCCGCAGCGACCAATCTCCAGTACTTCGCGGCACTCCCAACGCGGAACCTCTTGCCAAACATGATCATTACGAAGAAGACGGACGAGGCCGCCATGCCGACAAACGCTGCAGAGATGAAGCAGTTCTGGTAGCCAAGGTCCGTCAACCAGGGGGTAATGCTATACTCCCGTCAGTCAAATGCGTCTCATGACGAACAGAACTCTTGGCTTCTTACCCATAGCTGATTGCAAACGACATGGTGTTCCGGACGAGAATGACGGTGGTCATCGCATCGCCCGAAATCTCGTGGTAGCTATCAATCATATAGTTGATGCTGAGGGTGACGCCGAACGTCGTGGCAAAGGCCAACGTGCCCATTGCGAAGATGAGGCCGAACCAGTGAACGCCGTGAGCTGCCCCCACTCCCCAAAGGATGAGCGAACCCGGAACGAAAATGACGCAGAGCAAGAATGGCCATAGACGGTGCTCGGCTTCCATGATCCCCTTGTTGCGCCGGGCAAGCTTGATGGTCAGCCAGTCGCTCAGTCGGCCGGAAATAAGACAACCTAGAATCACGCCGAGAGTGCAGGAAAGATACGACAGGCCGACCATTGACGGCGAGAAGTTGTAAGGGGGTCCACCGAGGATAATTGACGCCGTGGCATTCAAGACATTGAACCAGATCAGATAAGACCCGTAGGAGAAGCCAGAATAGAAGATGACGGGCCACGCTAGGTATTTCAAGCTGCGGATCGCGCGCTGGACCATCGGCTGGCCGGGCTCAGGTTTCCAGATTGACAGCTTTTGGACGAAGGTTTTTGGAGGTGCGTACGCTGTCGCAGGGGTCGAAAGCACGGCAGCCGGGTTCTTCTCCGAGTCTTTCTCCATTGCAGGCTCCGACGGGGGCGTCTCGATTTCTGCGACCAGACCAACGGTCTTCCTGCTGTAATTGGTTTCTTCCATGAAGAAGAAGAGGAAGACAAAGACAAAGGCGAGGAAGATCGCAGGCCAATAGAAGACCCAGCGCCATCCCTGGCCATCAGCAATAAAACCGCACAGCACGGGAGTGAAGTAGTTGCTGCCGGCGAGCGTGAAAGCGTAGATGCCCATGTAGGTGCCGCGCTGGTGCGTAAAATACTATGCAAAAGGTTAGACGTGACTGGTCTCGGCGACGCTCGGATTGCACATACCACATCGGTGACGGAGACTTCGGGAAGAGCCTCGATTGGGGCATTGAAGAAACCTTGAACGATGCATTTGGCAATCCATTCACCATTGCTTGTAACATAGGCGCTAAGCTTTGTCAGTGCGACAGCAAGTTTTACCGCCTTGGTGTGACTGACCTCCAGATAACAGTACCCTGACAACAAGTCAGTAAGGACGACACGCACAGCGAAAAGTTCTCGGTCACTTACAAGTGATCCAAGAACAGAGATCAGATATGCTAAGCGCTTCTGCAATGTTCGTTAGTCGATGCCGTTCTTGACAGAACAAAATCATTCTCGATCATTGAGCATTGCCGTACCCCGTAGCGCAGAGCGAATGGTTGCCAGAAAAGCAACCCCCAGCCCAAGAACAGGAACATGTAGCCAGTTCCCTGATTCAAGGCCGAAACAGAGACTCCACTCGCCTGCGAGAGAGGGACGAGCACGCTGTAGACAGTTGAGACAGCCATTCCTGAGAACCATGTATAACTGAGGTATGTTAGCTCTGCTAATGATGGGCGCAAGACCCGCTTACGTGTTCGAGCAGATACTTGAAAGCATCTTCCGTCGAGGTGACCAGTTCAGGGGATCGTTGGGGTCGTTCGAGGGCGTAGGCACGAGCACAATATCACCGAGACCAGCGTCTGCATGCCGTGTCCGCATCGTATGGTCCAAGTCGACCAAGTGGACCGTGCCGGGAATCGACTCCGGCGTCATCTCCGTGGTGATGGTCATGATGGCTCTGAGAGCAAAGGCTGTCTGTCTACGGCTGGTGCCAACAGAACTTGCACTGAAGGCGGAGCCGACGCAGGGGAACAGGGAGGTACTTATGCCTTGCGCAATAGCGTAGGAGATTTTGGTATGCTCTAGACTGATCATCCAGCCTTAACGATATCAACTTACCCGTGGTCCTACTTCACATCGAGTGACCCTGCGACCAAGTGGAGATGTCCACCAGGGGCTGATAAAGCCGGAGATTCTTTCTCCCATGTTGGCCATGCCGGTCTAGCTCTGGATTGTTTTGTCTACTAAGGGCTGGGATCGAACTTCGGGCCATGTTTCTACAGCCACATGGAACGCGGAAATATCGTCGACTCGATAAGTCTAGACACAGGGAAGGCGTTGATGCTGGCCTTCACAATAACAGGTAACATGTCTGATAAAGGCGGATGTGGCGCTTTGCAGACAAGCTCCGATTGGTGCACGGATATTGATAAAGGCCTCCTTTATCGCTCGCTTTCCGCTGGGGCTTGAAAGAGGCTGGGCCTAACCGGTGTCGAACGAATGGTCGTCCTGGACACACTTCGGGTTCGCGATAAAGACTGCTCGAACTGCATGAGCTAAATGCTCAGCGTGGCCGCCAACATCCATGCTCTCGGACGGCCATCGCACGCGCAAATGAACGTGACTGGCTGGGTGCAGACGCCAACACAACGATCGTCTCCTCCTGTTAGAACAATGCGGGGATACTCCATGCGACCCCTGCCAACGACGTGATGGGGTCGGTCTATTGCAAGCCAGAACCCTTCCATCGGTAATGGATACTCGACAGTCCTATCAGTCTCAGGCTTAGCAAGCCATGCAAGCGGTTCGGGTACAGTATCAATGGACCAGAAGGCAGCTTTTGCGCTGCGGAGATCAACGATCAACATCCCTTCCAAACTTCAATTCTGCATGAACGAGCCTGCCGAGACGGATGGATTGCTGGAGGACATCTTGAAAAGCTCGCAAAACACTTCGACGCCCTCCGTGCTATCGCTCCAGAACATCGGCGTCCGAGACACGACAATCCTCGTCAGTGCGGGACGCAAGCTATAGCATTCGAGCCAGCATCCCGTAAATTCAGTCGAAAGCCCAGCAGTATCGTCAAAATGGTCGTCCGCCCCTTCAAGGTAGTACAAACGAAAGACGTGCCTCGAGGCACACCAGAGTTCGAAGAGAAGCGCGCCGCTTTACTTCGTGCCTTCGCGGACAAAATCCCCCAAGAATACTACATCCCAGAGGATGTGGCCAACAATCCACCTCAGGACGTCTCAGGACTGGCAACCCAGTTCGGCATCCTGACGCCCAAAGAGGTCGAGATCACGGAGAATTACGACGCGACGGGCCTCGCCGAAGCCATAGCCAGCAAAAAACATTCTGCGGTCGAAGTGGTCACAGCATTTGCCAAGCGGGCCATTATCGCTCATCAACTTACATGCTGCTTGACGCAATGGTTCATGGACGAGGCGATCGAGCAAGCCAAGAAGCTCGATGAGTATCTGGAGAAGAACGGAAAGACCATTGGTCCGCTGCACGGCGTCCCCGTCAGCATTAAAGACCACATGCCCATCGCCGGCACATACTCTTCGTACGGTTATTTCGGTAGCATTCAGCACGATGAAAAGGACAGCCAGTTCATCGGGATCCTGCGCTCCATGGGAGCAGTTTTTTACTGCAAAACCAATCAGCCACAGTCGTTGATGCATCTGGAGTCGGACTCGCACTGGGGCCGAGTGTTGAATCCATACAACATCCAACTCTCCGCTGGAGGCTCAACTGGAGGAGAAGCGGCCCTGGTTGCAATGAAGGGGTCCGTTTTGGGCGTCGGTACCGACATCGGAGGGAGTATTCGTGGCCCGGCGGCATTCTGCGGCATTTACGGCTTCAAACCGACCTCGTACACATTGCCCATGAAACACATGATAGCTGCTCCGTTTCCCGCCGAGCTCAATGTACTGTGCTCGATTGGTCCGATGGGCCGCAGTCTTCGAGACATGGACCTCATGACAAAAGGTATCCTCGCAGCGAAACCGCATCTCGAAGACCCGCGCCTCGTGCCGACGAAGTGGACAGGCTTCGAAACGCCTGTCACCAAGCCGCTGAAGATCGGTATCATCAGTAATGACGGCTTCATCGATCCTCAACCACCGGTAAAACGTGCCATCGCCTGGGCGAAAGAGAAACTCTCGGACCCCAAGTTCAAAGACCTCGTGGAAGTCAAGGACTTTACACCATACAATGCGGCTGAAGCGTGGTCGAAAATCCGCCTCCAGTATTGGCCCGAAGGCGGCAAAGCCGTTGTTGACCACATCGAAGAAACTGGCGAACCAGTCCACCCTCTCTCCGCCTGGATCTGGAAGGACGCCGAAGTACACGGCATGCGTACCGGCCTCGACGTAAGCACCATGCGCGGTGAGCGGGACGAATACCGCATCAAATTCGCCCAGCACTGGAACTCGCAGGATGTGGACTTCGTGATCGGACCTTGCTTTGTGGGACCGGCTTCGCAGCACGACACTGCGTTTTACTGGACGTACACTTCGTTGTACAACTTTGTGGATTATCCAGGTATTGTGGTTCCGACGCCGATCAAGGCAGAGAAGGGCGAGCAGTATGCCGAGGATTATAAGCCACTGAGTGATGCTTGCGGGCATGTGAAACAGTTGTGGGAGGAAGGAAACTTCGAGAAGGCGCCTATCAATTTGCAAATCAATGCCAGAAAGTACCATGACAACGAGCTGTTCGGCGCGCTGTCTGTGTTGAAGGATATTCTGGAGTTAGTATGATTGGCAGCTTCAAGATCCAAGGATGCTGGTTGTGATGGCCGGGACCAACAGCTTCCTTGCCACTCCTGAGTCGGAAATAGTAGGGTCGGACTTGATTCTTAGGATCTGCAACGAGGGAGGACTCATTTGTCTGAGTATTCGATCCGAATATTCCGAAAACAGATGATTCCTTGGAATGATGGCCCTCATCTACAGATGATGGTGACGTCGCCCATCTCTCTATTCTTCAGTCTCTCTACGAGATCCTGTTCATTAATCCCTAGTTCCGTGCAGATCTCGTCAAAGCAATGCGTCCCGTCTAGGTACTGCATGATCTGAGCATTCAAGCTCGAGCCGGTCTTACTGGTCTTGCCAGTTGCGTGATGTTTCTTCTTAGTACTTGACGAAGATTGTTCGGTGAGGTGATGTTCGCTGGACATGCTTCGTGTAAGAGTCCGATACTGGAAATCTTCCCCATCTCCATCATCCACGACCGCTGCTGCTTTCGGGGTGTAGATGGCATATCGATGGACGCGGTATAGAAAACCCTTGATAACCCCGAAAGTTGCGAATCGGCGTAGGTCTATATTAGCAAGCAAATTGGCGTTCTGTGCATACCATTCTCGTATGGTAAGCCCTTGGCGCAGATTGGCGAATAGTTGGACCATGGTAACGCCGTCGACTGGGTCGCCTTTGCCTGTCAGGGGCCAGATCTCATCATCATGCAGGGTGGTCACATTCGTCAAGCCGCTTGTCCGTCGTTCGGCGGCACCGTCTATAATGGCTTCCTCCTGGGCGCCCGGTGTAAATGCTGTGTTGACGTACCTGGCACATTCCTTTTGCATCTCCGTGTCTTTGGCGATCATATTGGCAAATTCAGCGGTTGGGGCGTAAATGGCGTTGAAGCTGAATATGTCAAGCAGGAGGACGCAGCCATAGTAGAGCAAATGTTTCACGCACTTCTTCGTAAGCTTCAGGTCTGCGTCTGCCAGAATGGCGATTCTTTTGACACTGTTCACGCCATTGAGGAACGGGATGATCCGAAGCATTGTGAGATCCCAATTCTCATCTACCATGGTCTCGATTCTTACTGTGAAGAGCGGCACGTGCCACGGTTTGACACTGGCAGGGTTTGGCAAAGTTGGGAAGAGCTTGATGTTGAGGGTATTCAGCTCATCGATGGGAATCATGCATTCGCAGTAGTTGTTCAGGTCTTCCATCAACATCTCACACAAACTGTAGATCTTGCCAGAATTTGGGGGCGCATTATCCTCACTCAAGAACCGAGATTGTTCTTCTAGACTGCGCATTAGGTGTGCCAGCTTCTTCACCACAGACTTGTATGAGGGGACGTCGATGGTTGAAGGCTCGCCCAAGACCAGCGCGAAGTTGAAGATGAACTCATTGCGGGGGTACTGAGGGGAGGTCAAACAGATAGGGTACGATAGGACCAACGTTGGAGGTGTGCTCGGGGTGAGAGGCGGTGGTGACAGGGAGATGAGATTGCCACAAAGCGACTGACGAGGGATTAGGAAGCGCGAGATGGTCGAGAAGGACAGCAACGGTGCAGTTGACGAAGTCGGAGACGGGCCGATCACGGAGGCAGACAGGTCGCTCGTCGTCGAGATCGAGTCCTCGGGCACCTGATGCACGATCTTGGGCCCTGGATACTCATGAGAAGCAGTCGCAGTATCACATCGAATAGTGGCTTGCCTTCTTGCGGGTCGAACTTGCTGTAGAAGATGGCTCTGATCGACATCTTTTACTTCCCGGTCAGGCGCAGGAGGACCATGTGTTGCTTGTGGACTTGCATGGCCTCAGACCATCATCACGACAAGCTTGTCTGTGTCTGACGGCTTGCGCGCATGCAGACACGAGGAGAAATGCCCGTGCGAAGGAATGGGTAAGAAGTCCCAAAATAACTCATCGATTAATGGAGCGAAGATATCACACGACGCGGTCCTCCCACAGAAACCAGAACGCGACTGGGAGCTCCACCCGGAACTCCGACGTCTCTTACTGTACTTTGTCTGCGCATCTACGGGTTCTCGCAGATGTTGCCATCGTTTTTGAGGCTATGTGCCACCATACAGTACGGGAGTGACATCGTATGCTGGGATACCTACTGTAGTCATCTCTGCGGCCTGTCCGGCCAGCTAGCCACGGTGCCACATGTCAATTTACCGTGTAAGTAAGTAGTCGGACGGTTTATGCTGCTCGCTGGGTGGCTGCCTATGAAGTATCCAAATCTCCATTCGTGAACATTTAGTCATGCAATACTATTGATCAATGCATCGCCATACAATGAGCTCCAGAAGAAAATGCAAACGCCAAAACGCAGATGCCCCAGGCCAAACTACCCCGGTGACCCCGAACCTGAACCTTGAACGCAATGCAGCGATGATTCCTCCCAAGACCGTGCCCTGCCCATGCCAATGCTGAAGCCGATGCCATGCTCATCTTGCAAACAAAATTGCAACCGTGTCGTAGTCATTCCGCTGGCGTGTCATTTCTTGCACACCAATGTGTATCACGTCTGTACCACCAGCTGAGTCGAACGTTTAACCTCCTCACTGTCAAAATAGCCAGAAGAATGTGGTGTGGTCCGTGCCGAGGCCGGGAGAATTGAAATTCGTTACTCTGAAGTACGAGGGAATCACTGCCCCATTTTCCACATCACCGTGTGTAAAGCTTTCGCTCCTCGTCCCTGATTTGGGCTTCCACTTGTGCGAGCAACTCCAAGGACAAGGCCTGCGTTGAGGGACCCAACTCAGGGAACTCATCCACGGGTTTGACGTCCCAGGGATAGCGATGTCTTTTCACTGCTTTAGGCCAAGGGGCAGGCGTGGGAGGTGGTCCAGGAGGGCACAGCTGCGGATGTGAAGGTGAGATACTCTGGTTATGTGCGGGATGTTTGGTCTCTACCCAGCTCGCAGTCGAACCTCTCGCTCGCGGAGTGAGAACACTAGCTTGACCATTGCTGCCCATAGCGCCGGAATTCGTGCCAGTCGCTCGGGCACTCGTCCAGCTCGCCCTTCCATTTGGCTCTGTTGCTCGGGTATCAGATGGACTGGATACTGAGACCCTTTGGTTCCGTGGCATTGTATATGCTCGCGAGGGATTCGGAATTGCCTTCAGCTTCACTGATTCCTCTACAGGATTCTGCGGTTTTGGCGTCCGAGCTTTCGCCTCTTGGTTGAGGGCCCCTTGCCTCGTGATTATCCGTCTTCCACGCGGCGCGACAAACTGTGGCTTCGGCTTTTCGCGTGCCCTCAGTGGTTGCTGCTGCGGTAGAGGTGTTGGCCTCGCTCGCTCGCTCTTTATCGCTGGTGCTTCTGTCGGTCTTTGTTTTGTTGTAGCTTGCTCGGCCTCGACTTCTTCAACGAGAGCGAGGAGGTCTTCGTCATCGATCTCGTTAAATTCCGAGTTGAAGCTTTCCGACAATTCTTTCGTTGACTCGTTTGTGGCCTGTGTGGTTCTGCTGTTTTTTGTTACAGGTTCTGCCCTTGAGCTTTCCTCGGGCGATGGACAGATTCGCGTGTCGGCGGCGGAGGTTGGGGATGTCAGAGTCTCACCCGGGCGCGTTGAGGGAGCGACTAGGATGGGCTCTTGTGTCGCACATAGCATGAGAAATGTTTCGTCGTCGATACCATCCGTGAAATCATCGTTTTCGTCCACGTCGACAGTTGAACGTGGAGGCTTCGCTCCTGCCGTCGCGGATTTGCTGAACCCTTCCCGTTCGGGTGTAAAATGCCCTAGCCTATGTCCTTTGTGCTCGCCCTTTTCCCTGCCTGCATCGATTTCTACTCTCGCAGGAAGTAGTACCGTCGGAGAGCCCGAAGAGCCCGCTGAAAGAGCATTACTCCCCACTGATCGTGGCGGATCACAGAAAGACTTTCCTATAGCTCTGGGTGATACTGCGGGACCTAACGAAACAGGTAGGCTACTTTGTGTAAGCTCGGCACAACTCGATAATGTTTCGCACTGTGGTTTGTGGGCAGTCCCTGCCGGTGCTGATGAGCGGGCGTTGGCTAGTGAAGAACTGAGCACTCTTAGTACTGGGGGTCGATCGCGGCCCGAAGAAGACGTTCTTGCTTGGCCGGGTTGGCTTTTGTGTGCAGAAGTCAGTGTCGGGTCTGTCGTCCTAGGACGAGGAGGGTGAACAGCTTCTGACACGATTGTTGGTATTTCCTCCTGCACAGCATCCTGATGCCCGTGTGACTTGTCATCGGCGACGATATCCTCTGTCACAGCAGACTCATGTTGCGCGCTGATGAGATCCCCTTGGTCGCCCTTCACTGACGCGGCGACGGCCTTTTGCCCGAAGAACGTGTTCAACCTAGGTTGGCTTGCGGTAACCTTGCCCCAAGTATCCTCAATGCCAATCCTGCCCTCCTCCAGCATCTTCTGCCTTACTCTTCGTTCTCTGTCCGCTTTCTCCTCCCGCTTACGCTTGTTCTCAACTCTTTGTCTTTCTTTTTCTAGTTCTTTCTTGCGCTTCTCTTCCCGGGCATCGATCCTGTCGGCGCGGGCCATTTGTGACGCGGTGTATCGGAGGGTCGCGCCATCTCGCTTGTATGCCCGCTTGGCCTCCTTGAGGGTCATAGGAGGCTTCGCGGGCCATGGCATGGTTGAGACAGGAGGGGAGACGGATGGGTTCGTTTGGGGTGAGGCACCGTATTGTTTAGCGAGACTGATCCTGGTCACGGCGTGCGGATGTTTACCGGTCAACAAGCACGTCACTATCACGTGTCGCGGAAGCCCCACCGCATGCCAGGTCGGATAAGTATCGTGCTGTGTAGTAAAGCTGGACTGCATACGGAGTACGAGGTAGTGGCTGATGAGCAGACTGACTGTTGGCTGACCATTTAGAAGTTGTTGCGGTTCTGGAGTGAAGCTATGATTCCTCACTCCCACCCTCCCCGGAATCTTCACCGTCCGACTCAATATCGTCAATGGGAAACGTCAAGATGGCAGCAATGCCTCCAAGCCCTTCCAACCTTTTTCCACTTTCGTGATCACTACTGAGCACCCTGACTTCTCCGCCTTCGACTTCCCTCACTCTGTCCACAAGCCTGACCCATCTTCGCCTCGTAGCTACATCTTGGCTGCGGAAGAGAGCATTGCTGATGAGGAGGACACCTCCACCACGTCCTACTGCACCCTTGTCTACACACGCCTCGACCTCTTTTGGTCCGTACCAAGCGCGCCCATCGTCCTTCCGCAACAGCGCAAAGAAGTCGTCCATCAAGGACGTCTCTCTGGCGTATTTCGTATCCTTCAGCCTTACCAAAACCTCGGGGCTTTTGAGCATCTCGTTCAGACTGTGGAGATGACCCGAGCTGCTGTGGATGACAATGAAGGCTTTCCGTTTCACCAGATCTTGGAGCAATTTGTCACCCTTCGTAGAGGCGGTCTCGGTGATGTGTTTGAGGAAGCCTGCAGCCGTGAAGCCAGGGCTTGCTAACAGGATTGGAAAATTCGAGCTGCTGTCTTTATTCTCCATCAGGCCCTGAAGTTGTCGTATTAAAGTGTCCAGCAGTGTACTAAAGAACTTCTGCAATCCCTTGTCATGGTCGGCCGACCTTCCAGCTCCCGTACGTTTCCGTGGTACTGAGACCTCGACCTTTTGTCTCAGGACAGTTTGAAACTGTGTAATGAAACATATGTTGGCCAGGCCCTCTTGCATGACTACCGCCGCTGCTTCTGTGCCTCGGGTCTGGTCGATGGCTTCTTCTAGTTGTGCACGTGCCACACTGTCCCAGCCTTCGCCGCCATTGTCACCTTCAACTTGCTTCTCGAGGGTGAAGTTGCGGTTTAGTTCTAGGTCGAGAGTATGGAATTGTCCAATCTTGGTATATCTATTCTCTCGTGCGATCTGGCCGGAGACATGGAGTTGGCCGGCTTGTGGATCGAAATCCGTCGACTTGACTCGTATTGTTAGATTGGTGTGTACTCGTTGCGAGGCGGTAGAGCCAGTGGAGGATGATTCGGTGGTCACCCGCCGTATCGCAGATGCGGTGAGAAGGTCTGTAGGACGAATGAGGTTGTAAGCATGCCACTGTTCTACTCCTCAGAATGCCTTCTACATATTGGAAGAAGTGCGACTTACCATGTCCTCGGGTTCTTCGGGGCACAGTGTGACGCTCCCGCTTGCGTCATTGTCGATATGTCGTTTGACGAGGCGCATCCTGGTGGGAGTACGAGGAGCGATTTTTGAATGAACCTGGAGGAGGCCGTGGGCAACTAAACAGAAATTCGGCGACGGGTGCCACAAGGAAAAGATTCATGGATGTCCTTCACTGCTCTCGCTGCTGCGACGAGGACTCCAACAGGAAGAGGGGGAAATTGGTGTTAGAGGGGCGTTGATTGGCTTGTATGACGCTGTCACGGTCAACGGCCGTTGCAGAGCCCTTCAAGCTCGTGACTTGCAGCTGGGCTAGGTGGCTAGGCCCGCCCAATGCCGCCCCTGGAGACGCCTACCAAAGTAGCTGTCAGTAGCATCGCCCCAGCCTCCCACCTTGTTGCAGGCCGACTCCACCCATGCCATCATATTATCTTATTCTTGCCGTACCACAACTCTTCGTTCTGCTTCTCTAGCATTTCTGCGTCGCGGTTACCTGTTGCCTGTTTTATCCATCTCTCACATCATCAATTTTCCGCGCTTTTGTGCCCCTGCAGTGCGTTCGGAACCCATCTGCAGCATGGGTAGCTTCCTCTTCAAATGGTACGTCAGTGCGCACTGGGTCGCCCCCTGAGCATTTGTGCGCTCTGCCCCAACAGTAGCTGATTCCCATGCGCAGGCCCCATCCAGAGGCCAACGACGTCCACGTTACGGGCACCTTCGACGACTGGGGCAAGAGCGTGCAACTAGATAAGGTCGGCGAGATCTGGCAGAAAGACGTTGAGCTGCCAAAGGCCGACGAGAAGATTCTGTACAAGTTCGTGGTTAATGACCAGTGGATTATTGATCCGGAAGCTCCTCAGGAGGATGATGGTCACGGCAACATCAACAATGTCCTACACCCAGAGCAGATCAAGCCTAAGGCGTCCGCCGTGCCAGAGGCCTTCACCACCTCCAGCGCAGCGCCAGAGAGCACTACCGCTGCCTTGGCTGGCGAGGTACCTCTAGAGCCAAAGAGGGAGGCGACTGAAGGTAGGCATTCCTACCATAAGCGGGAGAAACGGCACTAACTTCGACTGATTTAGTAACACCAGCCTCGGACTCCCATTTACACGGTGCTCCCGGCGCATTTCCAGAGACTCCAGTAACTGAACCAGACTCTTTTGGCGTCAATCCTTTGCCACCAAGCGAGGGTGCAAGCAATCCCGTCAATGTACCAGCAGGAGAGAAGATGCCTCCTTTGAGTGAAGTCACTTCCAACTCGATCCACTCCGCTGTAACCACCTCGCAAGAAGCCTACGAGAAAGGGGGCACGGGCATGCTTGGGGGTGCATTGGCTGCACTAGGACTGGGTGGCACGGCAGCCAAGAAGGAAAATCTGATTCCGGAGTCGTCTCTGCCGATGGGCGAGAATGCAGACAAATCGCTGGATGCCAGTCCGTTCATCAGCTCTTCTGGCCCGAGCACGACTACCGCCGACTTGGCCGCCAAGGTGCCTTTAGAAGACACTAAAGCTCAAGCAACAACGTCCGCAGTTCCCGAAACAGTCAAAGAGTCGATTGCGGAGGCGCAAGCCGAACCCGAAGCTACTACTTCATCGGAAGCCGTAAAGGAGAAGGCCGAAGTTGAACAAGAATTACTGAAGAAGGTGCCTGAGAATGAGGCAACCGGAGAACATGCGCCAAATATTGCCGCCGCGGCCACCGGCGCTGCCGCAGACGCCGCTGCAACTCCAGCATCTGGCGTTCCCGAGCAAGTCAAGGAGTCAATCGCCGAGGCACATGCTGAGCCTGAAGCTGCCACATCTGCCGAAGCCGTAAAAGAGAAGTCCGAGGTAGAACAGGAGCTACTGAAGAAAGTGCCGGAGCATGACGAAGCTGGAGAGCCTGCGCCTACGATTGCTGCGGCCACTTCTGCCACTGCGCCAGCTCCGACTGGAGAGACATCAAGCACTCCCGCTCCCGGACAGCTACCCACCGCGGCAGCAGCAGTGGCTGACGGCACTGACGGGACCGCTGAGCTAAGCGAAGCACCGAAGACCACGGTCGTTCCCGAGGAGACAGAGGGCGACAACACTGAATATGCCCCACCTCACGCTCCTTCTGCTGCTCCAGGTGTTTCTAACTCTGCTGCTGCTGCAGTCTCTGATGGTGCAGAGGACCCCACGCTGCTAGACGAGCCTGCGGTACAACTTGGCATCAAGAATGACACGGAACACACCACCGCCCCATCAACCGAGCCGGCGGCGGCCCACGACGCTACCACGATCGACCCTCGAAAAGAGGCGGTTGCGGCTGTGCCAGCAGCCAAGGAGGCAGAGACTAAGGCTGCAGCCCCCGCTATAGCGACTGCTCCGACGAGCAACGCAACCACAACACCCGCGAAACCCGCGTCCACTACCCCATCTAGCACTCCGGGGTCGGCCAAGGATAAGAAGAAAAAGCATAGGGTAAGCTCGTTCTTTAAGAAGATCTTTGATTAGTTCTCAAAGGCAGCTCCGTGTCGCTGTTTGGGGAGACGTGGAAAGGGTAAAGTGGTAGAGCAGCAGGTGGCCAGGGAGCCAGTCCCTGCATGATGTTTTGTTCGATGCCAGCGGCCTGCTGGACCGGGAATTGAGGCATCCTCACGTGTGGAATGCAGATGCTCCTCATGAGATGGTCTCAAGGCTTTCAGCTTGTGTATGACGGTGGCCGGGACGCAGTGCTATGAGGAGGGGTTGATGCTGGATCAAAGTGCTCCAGGTGCATCGCTTGTATGGCGCATGGTGGGTTTGGATCCTGTTTTTCTCTTGTAGATATCCCCACTGCGTTGTGCTTGTACCTGGAGATAATTAATACAGCAGACGGGTTTGTGTTGTCGGCGTGGTTGATGCTCTCACAACACAGGAAATGTTCTCGTCGTTTTCTAGAAGCGCCAGAAGCCTGAGGGCGTCGGATCGCTGCACGCGCAATGCACCATCAAGGCCAATCAGCGAGTCGGGCCTGCGGTGCTTGCAGTTGACCGCTTGAACTACGTCAGCAGGCCAGATGCTTTGTCTTTTGGTGCTGGGAGCTTCTGGTGCGTCGAAGCTCTTTTCCCCGCTACCCGCTAACTGCCAGCTCCTTTGGGTTATTCTTGCCCTGTTTTCGAGAGGTGGCCTGCATAGATGAACAGCTCTCAGCTATCTTGCTCGTACAAATCGTGCGGATTCGCTCTGATTCAGGCAACATTCCAGACAGCTCGTGTCAATCCATAACATAGTCTTTCGTGCTGTCCTGCCGCGCCTGCTTACCCCTCGCCTGTTCGACGCTTGCTGCTTCCCCTCCCCCCTCGGTCTCGTCTTGTTTATATCAGCTGTGTTTGCCTGTGAGTCTGCATACTTGCTACTCGCTTGCTACCCAATCTCTATCGGTAAATCAGAACACACCTGGCATCTTGCACCGGTCCTCGGCTGCCCCTCCGCTGCGTCATCTGCGATTCAGACTTGCTCATTGCCCCACCTCACGGCTCGAAGAGTCCACCAGTGCTTGAACAGCGCTGGTTCGCACTGCAGGAGGACGGCCGGAAAGCTCTCTGGTGCGTTCGGTCCCCTGCGAGAGTTCCATTCGTCAATTGACAGTGAACAGAAGCATCGGAGACAGACACTGCCTTCCCTAATACGGCATTGCGCCATCGCCCATCCCTGTCTTCTTCCTCGCAACCGCAATCCGCAAGCCGCGGTCTGTGGTCCGCCAGTCTCACGGACCACCTCAGTGACAGGCCACCCTAGCAGAGAGGGTCCTCTATTATTCCTCTAAGCACCAGAAGACATCCAGTTGGGTCGGTCCACAAGGGATCCTCACTTGAGTTTGAGCCAACGACAAGCAGCTGCCATCTGGGGTCTCATACCCACCCACTGCAACCTCCCCGCCTCTCAAACCTCATCGCCAATGTCTACGTCTCTTCCTGCTTCTCACCAAGCTATCATTGATACCCTGGTCAAAGACCTGCTACAAGCTAAACCGGAAGACCCTCTCCAGTATTGTGCGAATTACTTTAACCGTCAGCTCGAATTCGAGCGGGCTTCCCACAAATCAGCCAAGTCGCCCTCGAACGTGAGCACGAACGGCAAGATGGCAGACACTGCTGGGCCTTTCGACAGCCGCAGCCCTTTCGCAGCCAAGAACAGCATACAAGAGGAAGAAGAAGAACGTGATACCTTTGGTTCCCCTACCGATGCCACCTTCAAGAATCGCGACTCGGGTCGTTCACCCTTTGGGGGTTCGGGTTTTGGCGCCGCGGCTGGTGGTGCTGCTGGTGGCAGCTTGTTTGGCAACTGGCTAGGCAATCAGGCCACTGAGGACACCTCACAGCAAGCCCAACCACTACCCAACAACTATGCTGCTGGTCGCCGAACCTCTGTCTCCGCCGAATCCATGCAACCAGATTCCGATTCCGGTAACTGGAAACCACCCAAACACTCCAAGACAGCCGAGCAATTGGAGAGACTCAGAGCCGCTGTGTCGGGTAACTTTTTATTTTCCAGCCTGGATGAGGACTCCTTCCAATTGGTGCTCGACGCACTCATGGAGAAAAGCATTCCCGCACCAAACATCAAGGTTATCACACAGGGTGACGAAGGGGATTTCTTCTACGTGATCGAGTCTGGCGACTTCGATATCTACATCAACCCAAGCGGATCAGTTGAAGCTGGCCCTGACGGTATGGGAAACAAAGTTGCTACGATTGGACCCGGTGGAAGCTTTGGTGAACTCGCCTTGATGTACAACGCTCCTCGTGCTGCTACAGTTGTCAGTGCATCCAAAGGTGGTTTGCTGTGGGCCTTGGATCGTGTCACATTCCGACGAATCCTGATGAATAATGCCTTCCAGAAACGAGAAATGTACGAAGGTTTCCTCGGAGAAGTGCCGTTGCTTTCGTCCCTCAAACCGTACGAACGAGCCAAGATCGCCGATGCATTGGAAACTGTCAAGTTCGAACCGGGTCAGAATATTATCACCGAGGGCGAGCCCGGCGACGCCTTCTATCTTCTGGAGTCAGGCCATGCTGTGGCATACAAACATGGAGTGGACCACGCTGTCAAAGAATACGGCCGAGGCGACTTTTTTGGTGAACTCGCTTTGTTGGATGACAAGCCTCGAGCTGCGAGCGTGATTGCGAAGGATAATGTCACCGTTGCCAAGCTCGGCAGAGATGGATTCAAGCGCCTTCTTGGACCAGTAGAGGGTATCATGAGACGCGAAGAGTACGAAGGCACCGAAGACCTAGACCCCCTAAGCCACCAGAAGACGGTGACTTAGGTACAAGCTTAAGACTCAGGTACCAGGCCGAGCATGGCGGACGGACTGGGAGTTGCTAGGTCTGTCGCCGGAAAAAGATCGAATACGGAAACGAGATACGGAACAACAGGGTGGTCAGTACGCTTATGGCATGGTCTTATTACGAGCAGGCGGCGTCTGCGTGTCCAAGGGTGGCACAACTTCGTGATGGAACGTTGATTATCAACTGAGGTTGTAGTGATCGACCAAGGTCCAAGCTGAGTCAAGCACCCATGGGGCAATGCGATACCGAGGACGGTCGTCAGACAATGAAGTTATGTTTATCTAATCATTCCACTGCCTGTTTACCATAAGGAGCCCCGATTAGCAGCTCTGTGATAGGCGGCAAAGGTGGTCCGTTCCCATGTGTCTCCGGTGTGCGTCCCAGAGGCGCTAGACCCGATAAGGCTGGATTATATCAGCACTCGTTCAACCTTCTAGATCCTGATCAGCCTGGCTAGAACCCGCCTATGATTCGCTGCCCAGGTCTCCACTCGCTGCTCCTTCCGTTTATGCATCACAATATCAGAACGCCCTGACTGCTTCCAGAAGTCTTTTAAAGGTGTCGTATCCATCCTCGTCTTACATCGCTCTCTCCGTCTCTTCTTCCACCATCTTGAATGTCTTGTACCTCCAGAGTGCAATGTACAGCCAGCGGCGTCTTGGTCGGCACCGTATCCGACAAGCTCTATGCGCCCCAGGTCGCTCAAACTATTCGAGATTACTGATCGTGTATTGCCATGCTCGGTTGGCCTCTGCCGGGAGCCGGCAAAGCAGCCACAGCATGCGCACCAATGATATGACTACGGTAGCCCTGCTGTTCACTTCTGGTGTCCGTGTCATGCCGTTTCAACCTCTCCTTATCCATCTGGCGCCCTTCCCTTGACGGAGGCGGCACTACCGGCATCCACAGAGCTCGTTCTCCGAGGCATCTCCTCTGCAAATCCTGAGATGTTCACTAACCAGATATTGGATTTCCTTTTGACGTTTCGATCATGGAGTCCCCTTTCCACTCCTTTCACTCTCCGACGGTGGCTCTGTTGTGAAACGGGCTGTTTATTCACAAATTTTTAATGCGAAGAACGAGGCTCCGTTGAGTTGCTGATCAAGTTTCTCTTTGTGAGGCGTGACCTCACGGCCGAAACAGCGTTTCTCAAAAGCCAGTCCTGGCCAGCTTTTTCCATGATTCACCGTGATGCTCCCTTCGATATACACTCTGATGGCAGTTGAAGTGCGTTGAAGCTGTTTCCCCAGAATCTGCTCCAGTTCAAGCAGGTACCCGCGAGTGGATGTGTTCAAGAGCTTCTACTCAAGAACCCTACGCTTCCCTCCATGGCAGACCACTGTGTCTCTACCGCCGAGACCAAAAACATGACTGGGCCAGAGTCCGCCAAGTCCTCACTCGAATCAATACCTGGTCCTCCGATAACCACAGACCTGGACCTCGAAAAGGTCAGCACCAAGCATTCACATAGAACGACCAAAAGTGCGAGATCCGGCCATGTGCCTCAAACGGCGCAGGACTGGGATGGTGAAGACGATCCAGGTATGGGTTTGCACTCCTTCGTCATTTCCCAACCAATGATCTGACAAGGATGACATAGATGATCCGAGGAATTGGTCCTTGGCTTCGAAGATATACCACGTTCTAGTTCCAGCATTGCAATGTTTCACCATGTACGCAGTCGGAGGAAAGTCAGTACGTCTGGGAAGAGGCTGACCGCGGAAATAGCACTTTTGGTTCCTCTGTATACACGCCCAGTAACAGCAGTCATCCCGGTTCCCCCTCTTTCCTGCTTCTAACGGTGTCCTAGGTGTGCGTGAAGTCTCTCGGCATTTTGGCGTCAGTCAAACGGCTGCGCTTGCCCCACTCACAGTCTATGTCCTGGGACTGGGTCTGGGCCCTGTCGTGAGCGCTCCGCTCTCGGAGAGTTATGGACGGCGTGCTGTATACCTTATATTTTTTCCGCCCTCACTTTTGATGACCTTGGGCGCGGGCCTGTCGAAGTCGTATACCTCCCTTGTCATCTGCCGTCTCTTCGCCGGTGTTCTCGGCTCTGGATGTCTCGCGGTCGGAGCCGGAACCAATGGAGATCTGTTCGTGCCATTGCATAGGGCGATTGCAAGTGCGCTGTTCCTGGCGGCACCATTCTTGGGGCCTGCCTTGGGTAAGCTTAGCCAAAGGTATCGATGCGTCGAGTTTCAATTACTGACATGTGTGTCTCAAAGGACCAGCCATAGGCGGCTACGTCGCCATGAAGAAGGGATGGCGATGGACACAATGGCTGATCCTCTTCTGGGGCGTCCTTGCCTATGCCGTCTCGCTGCCCCAGAAAGAGACGTACAAGAAGATCATCCTGAAGAACCGGGCGAAGAAACTTGGCCTTCCACCTGCCCCCGATCCGCTGCCGTCGGGGATGTCCAAGTTCCGATTCATCCTGATCGTGACACTGATGAGACCGATGAGGATGTTGTTCACGGAATCCATCGTCGCCTTCTTCAGCATCTACACGGCCTTCAACTTCAGCATCTTGTTCGGCTTCTTCGCGGCGTTTCCCATCGTCTTCGAGTCGCCCTTCCCGGAGATTCAAATCTACTACTTCAATACCGGCGAAGAGGGCCTCGTCTTCCTGGCCCTTGGCCTCGGCGTGGCAGTCGCGACGATGCTGTTCATCCTGGTCAACAACTTGATCTACAAGAAGAAGACCATGCAGAGGCAAATGCGGGGCGACTTGTCGCCCTTGCCGCCAGAAGAACGACTCCACTGTGCGATGATCGGATCCTTTCTTCTGCCCCTGGGACTCTTCTGGTTCGCGTGGAGCGCCAGAAGCGAGATCCATTGGATATCGCCGGTATTGGCTACAATCCCGTTCGCGATCGGGAATATGCTCGTCTTTGGGTCGTGCGTGCTGTACCTGATTGACACGTACGGGCCCTTGGCGGGCGCGAGCGCTGCGGCGGCCAACGGGTTCTTGAGGTATTGTGTAGGGGCCGTCTTTCCGCTTTTTACGGTGCAGATGTAAGTTGAGGTGTTTGAGAATTTCAAAGTGGAACGAACGTCTGCTGACAGTGTCTGTGTATTCCAGGTACCGTGGCTTGGGTGTAGCCTGGGCTACGAGTCTACTCGGCTTTGTCACCCTCGCGCTGCTACCGATACCCTGGGTGCTATACCGGTACGGGCCGAAAATCAGACGGCGCAGCGCCTACACATGAAAGTGGCCAAACGGTCTCCAGGGGAAGTGAGAGACTGATTGTACATCCCTGAGACTGGATGTTGCTGTGTACGACACACAGAGGCTATGAGTGGATAGAGGGGGCATAGAGGGCGTCGTCCTGACTCGAGGAATGGAGTAATGTAGGGAGAGCATACAAGGCTACAAGCATCTCAAGGCGGGGAGCTGGGTATAAAACTGGGGTATATAAATACACGGTGTATACATCCCGCGAAGGGGCAGGTGATTGCGGTGCACCCCTGGTTGTGGAATGTGGAAGAGTCCAGTGGTTATCTATGGATTCCTCGAGATGAGGGTGATGTAGAGTCAGCGGAAGCCGTCGTAGCTAGGTACTATTACTATTACTATTGCTGCTCTGCTGATGCTGCTGAAACGTTAGGTTGGCCTGCTACAGTACGAGATGGAGGACTGGAGTCCTCGCGAGGTCACTTCGATTCAACTCATTTGGTGTCGTTTCGGTCGATTCAATCAACTCAGTTGGGTCAAATCAGTCCAACTCAATCCCACCGAGTTCGAGTCCATTCGGTCCAATTCAGTTCGATGCTTCGCTTCGCTCTGCTTTGCGCTACTGCGATATACTTATTGCTCTACGCAATACACGCGCATCCCGGAGATTGCAATCACGACTTTTTCCTTCCCCCACCCGTCCTCCCCTTGAAACTCCCTTCAAAGCCCGGCCTTTTGACCTTCTTGCCCTTGCCCGCTCGCTTCTCCTCCTTCCTCTTGGCCAGATTCTCCGTCCTCTTCTTTTGCTTCGTCTCCTGCGCCTTCTTCACGCCCTCCACCCGCTCCGTCCATTCCTTCTCGCTCTTCTTCTTCTGGCCCTGCTGTCTCTTCAGCGCCTTCTTCAACAGCGAACTATCGTCGCGCACGTGCTCGCCATGGGCCCGCCTCTTCGCGTTCAGCCACATATCTTTCTGCTCGATATCGGTGCGCTTCTCTTCGTCCAGCCCGGCGAGTCGCGCCTTCTTTGCCTGTGCGAGCTGGAGCTGCGAGGCCACATCTCGGGGCCCTTTCTTTTTGTGCGAGTCCACGACATCCGAGGTAGAAGGGTCAAGGCTCGTGCCGTCCGAGAAGGCGATGCGGCCGAATGTGAAGTTGTTGGAGCTGTTGTTGTCACCGATGATGGGGGATCGAGGCGACGCCAGGAGTGAGCCGGAACCACCCGGCGAGAAGCGTCGAGCGATCTCTTCGTCCTGGCGACGGGCCTCTTCCTCCTTCTCGCGGGCTCTTTGTTCCTTTTTGGCGACTTTTCGAGCTTCTTCCTTTCGGCGCCGCTGGTCGAGGAGTTCTTGTCTGTTTTTGGGTGGGCGGCCGTCGGTGCCATCGGCTTTTCGTTCGGCGCGGAACTGAGAAAGAGCTTCTTGGAGGCGTTGGCGTGGGTCCTTGGACGTGTCGACTTGATTTATTGACGTGGTTGGTGGCGGAAGTAAGGTGGTTTGTTCCTCTGGTTTTATGGTTTCGTCGATCGAGGCTGGTTGAATGGATGATGTGGAGGATACGCCAGACTCATGCTGTGGTGAGAAGACTTCTTCTGGCTCTTCTTCATCGTCTGACGAAGCTGTGGATGGTGATGCTGCTCGATGAGCACGAGCGTCTTGAGTAGCTTCCTCTGCCCGTCCCACCGAGGTCGTCAAATCAACTGGAGTCTGTAGTTGTAGCTCCTTTGCTACCTCCTTCGGTTTCGCCGGGGTTTCGTCATCATTGGTTGTATTCAATTGACCTTGTGCCGCCCTTTTCTTTGCCTTTTGTCGCTCCGCCTTTTCTTTTGCTTTGGCCTTTTTCTCCTTCTTTCGGTCCCGCTTTGCCGCTCGTTCCTCGGCTCTCCGGCGTTGCCTGTCCTCAGCGGTCTCTGTCTCGGTCTTGGGTTTGATATCGACCTTCCGCTTTTTTTGTTTCGGCTGCTGTGCGTCGAGTACAGCTTTTGGTTGTTCTAGGTCATCACGATCCTCCACGTTGGGACTTTCGACGGCTTCATCTTCGTCTTCTCCGGCTTCCCGCTTTCTTTTCAGGGCGGCCTCGGCGGCTCGTTCGTCCATGATGTCCTTTGCGCTCTTCCAGTTGTCGGGGTCCAGCTTCGCCATTTTTGCCGCCCGTTTCTCCTCCGGTGTCTGCTTTTTCCGTTTCCATTGATCCTGCATATGTAATGAGCAACACGGTCTCCCTTAGATGAGACATCCGTTGAGGAACGTACGCTGACATCTCCGCTGTAGTAGAGCTTTGCTGGGATGAGAGACAAGAGGCTGTCGAAGGAACGTGCATGGCTTTTGAGCCGTTGCTGCCGCAGATCAGTCAGCGTGTGATGAACGGGTGGGAGAATGGAGCAATGTCATATACCGTTAGTTCGTCGTCCATTGCGAAGATGGACGCTCCAAATATGCTTCTCTCTTGAATCTTCTGAGTGACTGAGGTTCTCTCTCAATATGAATTCTGCAAGTCGGTCGAACTTTTGCCTGACCGCCTGCCGCAGGTGGGGAAATCGCGGCTGCTGGCACGAAATCTTGGCACGGTGCGAGTCGTCAGAGGCTGACCAATCACTGGCAGGCCTGCAAATGCTCCGCCGTAGGAGGCCCTGGGTAGTCTAGTCCAGAACGGACTGCTTCTTCACCAACGATTCATGGTGCCCTTGTCTCATCCACAGGTCGGTGAAAGTCAGAAAGTGATCTCCGGTGAAGACTTTATGAGTGACGACGTCCAATGTTGGTATCTCCGGGGCCTTAGACCTTCGAGCACTGATCTACTAGAGAACGCCCAAGGGAGAGGGAGACAGGAAGAGTTGGCAGGCAACCCTCGTGGCTTCATGGGCTTCCTTCCATAAGAACAGGCCACTCGCGTACATTGTAAGGTGCCTGCCTCTTCAGACTCGGTGTGCTTCTCACCACTACACTGGGAACGCCTACCTCGACTCCACGAGATTCTTTCCGCGGTTCGTTGTTCTCTCGGACTACTTGGCACATACCCACTACCGCCTCTGCGTTCCGAACCATAGCAGGGCCACATGAAAGCAAAGACTGTCGAACAAGAAGATGTCAGTTCCGGTTGGCAAGCTCCTCACGTCACTGATATCTGTGCTATCGATCTCGATCGTAACAAATATCCTTAAGCAGCTATTCTATCGAGATCCGCACAGACCGCCAGTCGTATGGCACTGGATTCCCTTGATTGGGAGCACCGTAGAATACGGACAGGATCCGTACAGGTTCTTCTTCAGGTGCAGGGAGAAATACGGTGATGTCTTCACATTTGGGCTGCTTGGAATGAAAGTCACGGTCTACCTGGGAGCCAAAGGAAACAATTTCATCCTCAACGGCAAGCTGAAGGATCTCAACGCGGAGGAAGTCTACGGGCCACTGACGGTACCTGTCTTCGGCGCGGGTGTCGTCTACGATGTCGATAACGCGCGCTTCATGGACCAGAAGCGGTTGCTGAAAGAAGGCTTCACAAGCCCGAGTCTCCGTGCTTACGTGCCGCAATTTGTGAGAGAAGTCGAGCAGTACGTCGACAGCAACCCGGCTTTCCAAGGCGAGGGTGGCATATGCGATATCTCTACAGTGATTTCCGAGATGTCCTTGTACGCCGCGGCAGGCTCCTTGCAAGGTAGAGAGGTCAGGGACGCGTTCGATTCATCGTTCGCCACATACTACCGTCATCTCGATGACGGCTTCGCACCTGTCAACTTCATGTTTCCGTGGTTGCCAACACCAGTCAACCGGCGACGGGATCGTGCTCAGAAGACGATGGCGAAGCTGTACGTGGACATTATCCGAAAGCGACGATCGAATGGCAACCAGGATAAGAACGAAGACATGCTTTGGGCACTGATGGACGCCCGATACAAGAACGGTACCCAGATTCCCGACGGGGAAATCGCGAATCTGATGATAGCGTTGCTTATGGGTGGCCAGCATAATACCGCAGCATCAGGAACTTGGATTATGCTCCACCTGGCTCACCGCCCTCATCTCATCGAGGAGTTATACCAGGAACAGCTGAAAACACTCGGCGGGAAGGCGCCGACTCACGAGACCTTGCAACAAATGACACTCCACAACAATGTCATCAAGGAGACGCTCCGTCTTCATAGCCCAATTCACTCGATCATGCGCAAGGTCAAACAACCGATGCAGATTCCAGAGACAGACATCGTTGTTCCGGCGGAACATATTCTCCTCGCAGCCCCTGGCGTTCCTGCTCGCAGCGAAGAGTTTTTTCCGAATGCAATGGCATGGGATCCCCATCGCTGGAACAAACCTTCGACTGAAAGCCCGCAAGGAGAGGACGAAACGACCGACTACGGGTATGGAGCCGTGTCGTCCAAGGCCGTGTACAGCCCATACCTACCGTTTGGTGCAGGTCGTCACCGGTGCGTCGGAGAGACCTTTGCGTATGCGCAGCTGGGAGCGATTCTTGCTACTCTGGTGAGGCTTTTGCAATGGGAACAAGTCGATCCGAAGGCGCCTGTGCCTGCAACCGACTATTCTGTGAGTCCTTCTCAACCTTGACTGAGGCTAAAACGTGCACTGAGTCACTGCCTCTAATGGAGCCCGTTTGCTTGGCGGTATGATATACTAACGTCTAACGTTCGGGCAGTCAATGTTCTCACGGCCAATGCATCCTGCAACCATCAGGTGGAGACGTAGACGGTGAGCGCTGGAACGCAGGTTTCCGTCGTGCGGAAAATGCGCTGAAGATGAAGATTAAGTAGAGGTTGGATGGGATGTTCGCTGTCCGTGACCGTCGCAACCCGAAAGCGCTGTAGCTGGCCCGCGTTCTGCGGCCCCGAGATCCCGAGTCGGTGATGAGATGCCAGAACTGGGCCTGGATGAGCTGGCTAAGGAGGCGGAAACCCACATTCAGCTGCGCATGATCTTCCTTTAGATGGTGAGTCTTGGAGATCTGCAACTGGTACACCGCAGACCAACAGTAGCCAGACAGTGACTCGCAAGCGAGACTGAGAGTGATACGACTACAATACTGTATGCTGATGGATTTTAACTCCGCTGCCTGGAGCTGCGCTCCATGCTGCAATTACACTTAAGTGCGAAGGTGCATAGGGCAGCCCACTTCCTCTGTTAGGGGGCCCTAAGCGGCACGTGGGGCTGCCTGGGCGGGTCAATCTCCCCTGAGAGGTCTGTGCGTGCAGCGTTGCATACATCGTGAATCGTGTCCGTATTCGCATTTCGCTCTCAACTCTCACGCCCCTGCAAGTGCCATTTGACGTCTACACGAGTCGCGGCTTGGTTGGCTCTCGCAAAGGCTCTATGGGGCATGGGATCCGGCCGGCCAAGCAGATGTGCTGGATTTCAACTTCCTTGGCTCGCTTGCTTCTTTTTGCAGGCAACCGCGTATCATGATCTTCCACTGTACACAATGGCCTCAAGGGCTTTTGGTCTCCTTCATTTCTACGGCGAGTACTCCGTACTCCGTAGATCATACCTCATTCGTTCGAAAGCGGCTTGGAAATCTCGTGCATGACCCGCCTCGTATGCTAACCGATGGCTCACGAGGACCTGGAAACCCTTGAGCGAAGTAAATAGGTACCCGCCACATCGCGACGCAAAATGTCACTCCAACTATTCCGCAGTATTTGAGCTGCCTCTTATACTAGGACCCTCGTACTCTCGCAGCAGACTATTATCATCTGAAACCCTTGGAGCTATCAGCATGCGTCTTCGGGGAGAAAAGGCACCCATAGCGAAGGCCGAAGCCGTCGGCCCTGCAGTGGTCGAAGCGGCACCCATTGCCGTCAAAGAAGATGGGAAATCTGACAAGCCGGCCACGGCCACTTTCTCAGACTATTGGGTTCGCATTCCTGCCTCACGAAGAGCTTCCCAATGCTCACGACTCACAGAGAGTACTATCCTACCGATCCAGAAGAGATGGGTATGCGCTCCTGGTCAGCTCTGTCTGCGCCCTCGCGTCCGGCGCGGTACGTTGTCACCAACGCCTTGATTTTCGGAGGCTGATCATCTGTGCCAGGTATTCCCGCTGATGAACATTATCTTTGGCCACCTCGCCCAAAACTTCAACGATTATTTCCTCCCAAATTCTACGACGAAGGAGAGTAGCTTCAAAGCAGCTGTGAACAAATTTTCGTGAGTAGCTAGGCTGTCCATGCTTCCACCTCTGACTGGGCGTATCAGGCTCTATTTCTTTCTTCTGTTCATCGGAAGATTTGTTCTGACATACATTTCGACGGTGAGGACTTGGACACCCTGACTCGGCATCAAATCCCACCTGTTGCACGGTTCTGACAGGAACAGTTTGGCTTTCGAATAACCGGCCTTCGTATCTCCGCCAGACTGCGTCTTTCCTACTTCGAATCACTCTTCTCGCAACCGATAGCGGCAGTCGATGAAATCTCTTCTGGGGCGGTCGCAACTACCATCACGGATGCGGCCAACACCATCCAGATGAGCATCTCGGACAAGCTCTACTTTCTTTTCTATGCTATAGCCCTGGTTATCTCGGCCTATACCATTGCCTTTCGCTATTCATGGTCGGTCACGCTTGTGGCGAGCTGTTCGCTGTTGTTCGTTGTCGTGGTCTACAGCATAACTACACCCTTTATTCTCAAAAAACAGACGAGAGTTCTGGAGGCGAACAAGAAGGCGTCTTCGACAGCCGGGGAAGTTTTCGGTTCCATCCGAGCTGTCTTTTCTTTGGGGGCCCAAAAGAACCTGACCAACAAGTATTTCGCCGCGGTGGAGGATGCGCGGAAATGTGGGCTTGCGGTGTCTATCCCATACGGCATCCAACTAGCTCCCATCTTCTTTTCCATGTATGCGAGCTTCGGGCTCGTGTTCTGGTTTGGGATCAAGCAATATCGGGCTGGCCATATCGATAGTATCGGCACACTTGTCACGTAAGTCGTCCGCTCACGGACCCAGGACTCCTTCTCAAGTTTGGCAGGGTCTTCTTTTCCGTGCTCATCGTGGTGATGCTTCTCGGCATCCTCGCTGCCCCGGTGATTGCAATTCAGAAAGCCATCCCTGCCGCAGGTCAATTCTTCTCAACGATTGACGCGCCAAGGATTTCGTACGGGGGACTGTCTGATCCCGACGTCTCGTCTCAAGAGGATATCGAACTCGACGACGTGACATTTGCGTACCCTACTCGGCCTGATGTCCAGGTCTTGAAAGGGTTCACTGCCCGCTTCCTCAAAGGCAAGACGACGGCGCTGGTCGGTCCTTCAGGCTCAGGAAAGAGCACCATCGTGGCGTTGTTGGAACGCTGGTACGAATTGGATCCGACGGATCAAGAGGATGATGTCGGTGCTTCCGATGCCGAAAGGTCAGACGTAGAAAAGGGAAAGAAGCAAAGAAATCGCGGTGAGATCCGCATGGGCATATCTGCCATCCGCAGCATTAATCTTAAATGGTGGAGATCGCAGATTGGCCTTGTTCAACAGGAGCCGTTCCTATTCAACGACACCATCTTCAATAACGTCGCCTTCGGGCTCAACGGAACCCAATGGGAAGAAGCCGATACTTCCAAAAAGCATGACTTGGTGCGGAAAGCCTGCGAGGAAGCTTTTGCGGACGAGTTCATCCGCAAACTCCCCGATGTGAGTGAAGCGTTACGCTGAAACGACCAATGCTGACAAAGGCAGGGGTATGAGACCGAAGTCGGAGAAAGCGGCATCAAACTCAGCGGTGGACAACGGCAACGGCTTGCGATTGCGCGCAGCATCATTCGAGATCCAGCGATCCTGATCTTGGATGAAGCCACCAGCTCCATCGACGTCCGGGGAGAGAGAATCGTGCAAAAGGCCCTGGATCGAGTGTCTCGGGATCGAACAACCATTGTGATAGCCCACAGACTGTCGACCATTCGGAAGGCCGATAACATCATCGTCATGCGCGAGGGGAGGAAGATGGAAGAAGGGACTCATGAACACCTTCTCTCTGTTCCCAACGGGCTTTATGCAGGTCTCGTACACGCACAGCAGCTAGAAGCGGAATCGGCACCGGCCGTACCTAGAGAAGACGAGGTTGCCTTGGATGATCTCGAGCGTAAATTCACCACCAAGTCGGCCGACGGACCTGGAAACGAGACGAAAGTTCAAAAGAAGAGAGGCTTCGCTGCGTCGGTGGGCTGCTTGCTGTACGAACAGCGCAGGTACTGGATGCTCTACACGGTCATCCTGATTGCTGCCATGGCGACCGGCTGTAAGTTCAAGTGGTTCCAAGAAAGAGGCACCACCAGCTGACTATTGCGTCCAGCTGCGGCCTCGCTCCAAAGTTGGTTTTTCGCCAACGTGATGGTAGTGTTCACCTACACTGGTCAGAAGCTAGAAGACCGAGGAAACTTCTGGGCCCTGATGTTCTTCGTACTCAGCCTGGCGCTCGCTCTGACTTACTTCTTGCTTGGCTCCTTCGCGAATCATCTCTCGGTGGTAGGTGCAGAAGCCCGGGCGGTGGTCAGCAATGCTAACATAGGGACAGCTGGTCATGGCCGTGTATCAGCGCGAACATTTCCAAAACCTCTTGCGTTTCCCAGTCTCCTACTTCGATGCCAAGGAGAATGCCACTGGCTCCTTGATGGCCCGCCTGGCCTCGGACTTCAAAATCCTCGGCGAGCTAATTGGCATCAACGGGGTCTTTCCGCTCATCGCACTCTTCAATCTCACCGGCTGCATCATTATTGGTTTCGTCTTCGGCTGGAAGTTGACTTTGGTGATCTTCTGCTCCGCCATGCCGGTTATGCTGGTCTCTTCCTTCATCCGCATCAAATACGAGCTTCAATTTGTGGAGTGGAACTCGAATGTCTTTGCTCAGAGCTCTCAATTTGCAACCGAAGCTGTCGGCGCCTTCCGCACGGTTACATCCTTGACTATGGAAGAGTTCATCCTCAACAAATACTCGACGTTGCTCCAGCGTCAGATCAGAGATGCGACGAGGCAGGGGACGCATGCCTGCCTCATCTTTGCACTTTGTGATACTGTCGATCTTTGTGCCATGGCACTGACCTTCTGGTAAGTCGCCATCACACAAAGACACGCCCATCAGAGCGTACTGATCCCATTCAGGTATGGTGGGCAGCTGCTTGCCTCACGCGAATATGACATCCTCCAGTTCTACCTCATCTACATTGCGATCGTCCAGGGCGCCCAAGGAGCTGGGCCCTTTCTGAGCTTCGCGCCTAACATCGCTCAAGCCACCGCAGCTGCAAACAGAATCTTGGATTCGCGAGTCAGTGGGAACGAGGCAACACTGGCTTCCGTGCCAATATCACTGCCGCAGAGGGAGGAGAAAATGGGCGCAAGGGTGGAGTTGAAAGAAGTCTCCTTCAAGTATCCAACCCGAGACACGCTCATCTATCGTAACCTCGACCTTGTCGTGCAAAGCAGTCAGTTTGTCGCTTTCGTGGGGCCTTCCGGCTGCGGCAAAACGACCATTGTATCGTTGCTTGAGCGCTTCTACGAGCCGGTGTCCGGCACAATCAAATTCGACGATCACGACCTGAAAGACATCGAGTTGACTTCGTATCGCCGGGCTCTGTCTCTCGTCGCCCAAGAACCCAAGCTCTTCGACGGAACCATTCGCGAGAATCTCATCCTCGGCGTTGACGACGAAGACATTCCCGAGGAACGAATCATTCAAGCTTGCAGAGACGCCGAAATCCACGATTTTGTGATTTCTCTCCCCGGGGGCTACGATACCCCATTGGGCATCAACACGCAGACCTCGCTTAGCGGCGGCCAAAAGCAACGTCTTTGTCTCGCGCGCGCCCTCCTCCGCCAGCCGTCCCTCCTGCTCCTCGATGAGGCAACTTCGAGTCTGGATTCACAATCGGAGAAGCTGGTGCAAGCAGCCATTGAGAAGCTCGTTGCTCAGCGAAGTATGACTGTCATCGCAGTTGCTCACCGGCTGGCCACGATTCAGAAGGCCGACGTCATTTTCGTGTTCGGTGAGAGCGAAGCCGGCAGAGGGTCAAGAATCCTGGAGAAAGGCACGCACAGCGAGCTGTTGGGAAGGAGAGGAGCGTACTGGTCCATGTGTCAAGAACAGGCACTTGACCGGTAGATGTCGTTCCTGATCGTTTTGTTGGCGCATTGGATTCAATCCCCGATCATGAGATGCTTGAATCCAGGAGTTCCTGACGGTATGTGTGTGAGCGGAAGGGAAGGGGAAGGATTGTACAGCACCGCCTCCCACCTCGTTCGTCGTTGTATGATTAGCGCTCTGCTCGTTCTACCGCATCAAGGGGATACACAGTCGATGAATTGTAACTTGACTTGCACTTTGCCTGCCGCAACGCACAAATGTGTGTGTGTGTGTGTCTCTCTCTCTCTCTCTCTCTCTGACTGAACTCGGTTCCGCGTCTTGCACAGTATCCCTCATAAGTAGAAACATACCCCGTACGGAGTGTAGCATGGTTGTAGGCGAACTAGGTGTAACCTGAGTGCCAGAGAGGAGGGACCAGCAGCAAGTGTAGAGAGCAAGTAGAGTCGCAAGCAAGTAGGAAGCAGACAACAGGTACCCGGTACAAAGTCACAAGTTACATGTATTAGGTCACATGAGCAGTACAGTAGCAGGTAATAGGTACCCTGTACCAGGTAGGAGGTAGGGAGGTAGCGAGCAGTACAGTAGTCCACGGCTTAGGGTAGGGCCAGAGGTACTCCGTACATACATAGTGGTGGCTTTCGACCCTAACTGTAAACTGTGCGTAGGGTTTCAAGCCACATGCTGCCTTTCCTACCAGGAATCCAACGGTTGTGATGAAAGCCCCCCAAACAGGTCACAGATAATCCACAAGTACTGTAAACCTGCGGCTTGATTATCTTCCTGTAAAGTCAAGATTGCTCACTCTAGTGTTCAGGCAGTTACCCGCGATCTACCGTCTATGTCTCCCATGTACTCCGTACAAATCACCCGTATATCCTGTAGCGCCAATAGAGCGACGATCTACTGGTTAATGTATGTAGTTGAGCCGTCGGGTCTGGAACCTCGCTTGTCAGTCGCACCTCTACTGAGTACTCACGCACGTGGTCTCCTTCCCTCTCCGTCCGTTCTCCGTATCTGCATCTGCATCTGCATTTCATCTTCATGTCCATGTCCACGTTGGGTGCCTGGCCTACACCGGTAAGAGGAAGGCGATGAGGGTGGTGGAACGTTTTACCGGGGAACCTTCGGGTACGGGTCGGGAGACGTTGGGTTAGCGAGGTTAGGCGCGCTCGCAGGCTAGCGCATGTCGGGGGATGCGTGGGAGGGGCACAGTCCGAATCGGGGCCCGCTTCAGAGTTGAGACATGGCTGGGTTGGAAGCTGGTCTTAACGTCTTGGTTGACCACGCGGGATGTACCCAGCATAGGAATTTGCCGATCTCCTGGATCTAGATTCGTCCCCGAACAATGGCAATTGTGAGCGGAAGGTGCTGAAGCGTTCTCTCGATTTCGCCATCTAGACCGAACACGAGAATTCGGCATGTATCCGAAGATGGACCGAGGATGTCGCCGAGGGTGCAATTTCCTTAGCAGTTAGCGGGCTTGGAATAGGCCGGCTGTGTCGACACCGTGCCTCGGGAGCAACAGGTGCTTTTTGGAAGCAAGTCCTGAGATCAAGACGTAGCGGGGCGTTCCGTTCTCGATTGGGACTTCGGAATCGATGCTCTTGGCTGTGCTTGGCTTTTTGAGGGGCGGCTCGCTGGCTCGCTGGCTGTACTAGGTACGGGTCGACAATTCAGGCCGTAGCTGGACACCCCCAGGCCCCAGGCACATGCATCAGCTATGTATGAAGTGGGAGTGGTGGACCTCTCAGTCGCTCTTCTCTCACAGATGCGTGTCATCGAAAGTACGGCGGCGGTGGGGTCCTCGCTGAGGCGCGCTGGGGTCGTGCCTGCAAGGGTGTTTGCCCTAACGGACCGAGCAGCTCAAAGAGGGCGTCTTCCTCGTCAGTCTCCGAGGCAGACTCTGAATAGTCAAGGAATGCTTCACCGAGGAGTGCATCATCTGCTTTGGAACCAAAGGAAGAAACCGCCAATGGTAGGCTGACGTTGACGCTGTAGTTGGGCGCGCCCTGCACGCCACGAAACTGCAGAGACAACTGCAGCGTGTATGTCCTTGACAGATACATCCAGTCGAGCGAGGGCTGGGAGACAGCATCTGGGACGGACAATTCGAGTTGTGATGTTGCGATGAATGGGGTCGTGGGCCTGTGTTTGATCGATTTGACCTCGCTGTTGTCGTATTGCGGCAACGGACGGAACAATATGGTTGATTTCTGGGTCGATGCCGTCGAGGTCTTGCGCACAATCTCGTTGGGCGGTATTCTGCTGGAGAATTTGCAACTGGCTCGGGTCGAGAAGCGTGTGGTCACCAGCCACTTCACTTCCACGGCGCAAGTCATGGATTGGCGGGAATGCACAGGAAAAGCGTGCGATGCGTTCATGGCCACAGCCAGGGGCAGCGTAACGCATCGCTTTCCCGTAGCATGGTCGCGTTCCACTACTATTGCCGAGTCGGATAGAGTGAGCGAGAGATCGGGACATTTCTGGAACCGACATCGGGTGAACAGGTCGGGTTTGGCGCGGATGGTCAAGGGGGTGGCTCTCGTCAGCGACGCTCGTAGCCGCGGATAGAGCGATCGGATCTGAATGTGTTGATGCAGAAACCCAACCTGCGTCCCGGCGCGGCGAAACTTGGCCTCGATCCAGTAGGAAACCTCACATTCACCTGGGATGGAACAACTTTGGTTCAGGGGATGATTCTGGTTCAAGTCGACGGCGCCCTTGAATGTCCCGGACAAGGGGAGCGGACGATACGTGCCGTCGCTGGCCGACGTACTAGTAGGCAATTCGAAATAGAAGTCCACGTGCCGACCGCTCTGACTGTCGTCTGCCCTCGTGGGAGATGTCGACTCGAACTCTGAAGGTGTCTTTATATCGGTCAGGGTGATCACGTCTTCGAGGACCCTTTTGTACCCGACACTGGACATGATGATACCTGTCGATGCACGGCGTAAGCTCTCCTCTTCTTAAGAGACTAGTGGTGTCTTCACATACCTCTCAGGCATAGTTGCACGGTGTCAAATGCATGACGAGTGATTGAATCGTCGAGAACAGAAAGTCGACCGTTGATTCGAAACGGTGCACTGTAAGGACTGGAAGAATTGCCGTTGCCGCTAACTAAAGGGGTGGCAGCCTTGTCTGCGACGGTTTCTGCCACTTGTAGACGGGCGTAGATCCTGTTCGTCCCCATCGCGATGGACAGGATTTCTCCAGCAGGTAGACGTACTCCACAACGCAGGGAGCATCGTGGAGTTCGCCAGAGTATATAGGGACTCTGCGTACACTTGGAAGGGGAAGACGGCCGCCAGCCTCAAGTGGGTGGGTCCTGCTGCAGTATCATGGTAGACTTCCCTTCTTGGTATTCGAGCTAACGGGTCGAGACTCGGGCTTGGTAGTCGAGGGTTGTGTGGGCTTATCGCAGAGCCAAACCGGGCAGTGAGCTGGCTTCCGAAGCCCCACGTGCCACGCAGCTGGGTCATTCCGTTCAGGGTCCAAGTGTGCGACGGCGCCGGAATGCGTTTAACGAGATAAAGAGCAAGATCCTTGGCCTAGATGTTGGAGGTCGCGTCCGGGATAAGCGAGGGCTGATGGCCGGAGTAACCCGCTTTGTTTTGGACAGGAGTGCTTTCTGCCAGGGTCCGGAAGTATGTATGATTGGTATCCTCCGTGAATAGATCTACTGCAGCGTTTGCGAGCCTCGCATGGCGACCTGAGATTGCGACCATGGGCCTGCGGTCAGCATATGCGGCCTTGACCACTTGCTGGATTAGTCGCATGGAGCAATCTATGTGCACTTTTGCAGACCATCATTGACGGTGACAGTAGCAGATTAGCGCCACGCGACACCATCAGCTAGCCACGGATTGGTGCTACCCGACCATTGTCGTGACCAATGTGAAGTGAACGACCTCGGAACAATCAGGTCAGGAGTCAGCGTCGAACGATTCAGCCAGCGTCTGGAGCGCGAAGTCCCTCTGCTGAGCCACCAGTCGAGAGCGCGGGATGCAGTGGTGAATTCGATGGGTCGGGCTTACAAGAAGAGAAGGAGTTGGCAAAAGTCGGGGTGGCAGAAGCCGCTCCTTGCCTTGGATAAGCTCGAGTCATTGGTTCAGGAAGGCGGTGCGATGTCTCAGTGCCTGGGGAGGGGAGACCACTGCTCTTTCTCGGTTAGCCCCTCGACAACAGCAGGAGGCCGTCTTCGTTCCCCGCCGATGCTTCTCCAGTGTGCTATACCAGCTAGGAAATCAAGTCCCAGGGACTAGTGCCGTTGCCAGCGTGAGAGCCATCACATCGTCTCCGGCCAGACATTCTTCCACCAAACACCTCGGCCAACTTGCGATGAGCCAAGTCGATGAAATCCCCTAGCGTTGTGGTGTCGGAAAGTCTACGTGCCCTCCTTCTCCAAGAATCTTGGGCCGTGGGGTCGCTGCTTGCTTGGTCTTGATCCTTCGTGGGGTATGGAGTAATATGAGTAAGAAGCGTGAATCTCCAGTTTGCGCGAGGCTGTTGTCCCCAACGAAGAGATCCTGTGAGGCTGTAGTGAGTAAGTATCGAGATGCGTGTCAATGTGGCGTCTCGAAAGAAGATGGCTTATGTTTTGTCAAGATTAATGCAATGGAAGCATCACCAGGATCTCACTCCTCAACCCACTCGTGCCTTGGTGGCAGCAAAATGCACTGCCGAGTCACATGCTTCACCGCAAAGATACGGTGCGTCGCTATCCACTTATAGCACTTTTGACTCCACGGGATTCTTCCGACCACGAGGCCAAACACAACTTGGCGATTGTGCATTTTTAGTCAGCTCGAGTTTCGTCAGCAATCATCTGGCAATCCAGGTGAAAAGCTCACCCTCTACCGTGTACTAACTACTGCTGCTTCCCTGGTGTCTCTTGCGGGCTTTAGCTTCGACCTTCCCCGCCTACGATGTGTCCGCAACAAGCATAGCCTGCAGCAGTAAGATACCGTGGGCAGAATCAAACCTCATTCACTCACCACTCACCGGTCTGTCGACCAAAACAGCACCACGATTTGTCAATTCAATGATTGTGCATTCCGGCCGCCGGGCTACTGAGCTCGTATGACGCCCAACATGGCAGAGGAAGATGCGCATTCTCCGCTACTCGAGCCGCGACGAGCGTGCCAGGAGTGCAACCGCAAGAAAACAAAATGTGACATGCGTCGCCCCGTCTGCGGGCTCTGCTTACGAACCGGCAATTCTTGCACGTTCCCCTCGAAAAGGAAGAAGCCAACTCAGCGCAAGCCGCAAATGAAGGCCCAGTCGCGGAAGATCAGCGACAGCATCTCGAGACTAGTGCAGGTGCTCGAAGCAGCCTCTCGAGCTGGAGAGAGCTCCGGTGGCCCGGACGGCTGTCGCGAGATTCCCCAGATCCTGCTACGGGATTCTCTCAGAAGCCTTCTCGCCGAGATCAAAGAGACTGATCAGCAAAGTGCAGACAACCCCGACAAAGCAGCGGATCAGCGAAACCATAGCGGGGCATCGGACGCAGATGACGCCGAAGACGAAAGCCATGAAGCGAACGAGCGAGAATACCAGCAGGTACCTGCCCGCAGCTCAACCGAACCAAGTACGAAAGTACCAACGCCAACAATGACCAGTGCATCTGAAAGCAGGATAACTTGCTCGGTCGCCGTTGACTTGCTCAATCTATTCTTCGACAAAGTCCAGGCATGGGTGCCAATCCTCCATAGACCGCGTTTCCAAGCCAAGTACGAACGGCAATTACTGGTCGACGGGGATGTCATGCAGGGTTTGTCGGTGGACGAGTCGCTTCTGTTCTACAGCATGTTTGCCATGTCCGCCAGATTTTCTACCCACCCACGATTTGCCGGCGTGCCGCCGAACAAGCGAGGATATGAATTTGCCCATCTAGCGAGAGAGTACTACTCCAAAGCTCGATCTCTGCGGAATCCGTCCTTGACCTACCTGCAGGGCTGCATCCTGCTCGCGAACTGTAAGTTGTTCACCTGTGTTGCGAAGACCAGATACGTGCCTGGTAGAGACCGGTTCTCTACTCTCTCCGTTTCCTACGCCTTGGTTTTCCAGTTGTGCCTGCAAAGGGATTCGTTTAACATCTTCCAGACTTCTACACGTCGGGCCCGACCCATCAGGGCTGGATCCTTATCGGTGTCTGCGTGAGGCTAGCATATGACTTGGGTCTTTCAGAAGTGGACGACGAGGACTTGAGGCCGCCCGCACCAATTGGACATGTAGAAAAGGAGGAAATGAGGCGTGCCTGGTGGGCCGTATGGGAGCTCGATACTTTTGCCTCGACGGTCTCCCGGAATCCATATTCCATTGATCGCAAGAGAATGGCGGTTTCGTTGCCCATCTCCGATGAGGCGTGGTTTGCTGAAGTCGACGTCCCGTCGGCGCAACTCAACATGCTTCCCGGTCAATCGTGGAGGTCACTCCGAGGCTGCAGCAACCAAGACGAAAGGGCATGGTTTCTCGTCGCCAACCATTTCATGGCCACTGTTCACGACCGTCTACACCAGAAGCAGGATATATCACCAGACGAGAAGTTGACTTTGGAGAACGAGATATGCTGTTTCAAGCTGGCGCTTCCCTCCTCGCTGCGTCTCGACGCGGAGACGCTGGCATTCACGCCCGCGACATTTGCTCGGTGTAACTGGGTTATCGGCACGCACCTCATGTTGATGGCCGCATCATTCATGGTCTCTGGGATTTCAAGTGCTGAGCCCGATGATCGCAGTGTGTCGAGTGTCGGAGCGGGGCTATCGTCACCACTCCGGCAACGTGCCATTGACTTGTCAAGGATTATCAGCCTCTGGGACTCGAGATATATAGCCGCGGCACATCCCTTCTTCACCTGCATGATGCTCCCGCCATATTATGTCGACGGCGATATTTTGAGGACCCAACCCCTCATTGCCTCTAGCCACGACCTAGGAAAGCTTGTTCTGGCACATTTTAGTGAGAGGTGGAAGCTGGGATCGGTTGTCTCAGGTATGGCCATCTAAGGTGAGCTAAGGTCATGCTAACAATATCTTAGAACTTGCCAGGATGGTAGAGAGAGGAGGCACGTTGAATGCCGAAGAGAGGCAGCTAGCGAAACGATACGCGGTCTTCTTCCGCATGCCACGTCTGGGTGGCAATACTCCGCCTGACCTCAATAGGCGGGATGGGAACAGCTCGATTGTCAGCGACCATGCATCATACTCAGGTCCACCCGAGGTACCACAGCAACAGCCACCACCAATGCAGGAAAGCTACTCGGCACCGGTTGACACGTCTACACTCGGGGAGCTTACGGAGTACGATCCCTCGATGTTTGACCCTCAGAACTTCCCACAACTACCGCAGGAATTCTACGATGGGAGCAATGATATTGACTTTGGGTTCTCGGATTTCTTCGGTGGCTACAAAGGTAGCTTGGGATATCTGCCTACCTGAGCCATGTTCGACAACATACATCGACTCCCAAGAGCCTTTTACGGGGCATGCTAAAGCCTGACCGGTATGCACACATGTGGATGCTCTGGACGAGTCACGGCCTGGTACTGGATATGCAAGCCATGAATATCCGCGTCACGTGGTCGGCCCCCGGGCAACACCGTGCTTGACCGTCCCTGAACCTGTGGGATCCTCTAAGATCCAAGATAGGCATCCCGCTGCGAAATCAAACAGCGGGACCGCAAGAGCGTCCCCAGGCTCCTCAATCCGGACCGAGCTGATGTTATATGGCTGTCTTGGTCAAAGTTCCGTGCCCAGGGCTTCGTCATACCTCCAGCGAAGGTTCGCCTCAAACCATACAACCAGTGGCCGATACCACGTACACCAGTCCTGCACGACAGCCATCTCAAACAGTTCACCGGTACCAAAAATGGCGATAAAGCAGGTTCGAGTTGTTCGGCTCGCGCATGTGGTGTACCAGCATCCGGATCTGGAACGAGCATTGTCCTTTCTCCTTGATTTCGGCTTTGTGGAAGAGCATCGTACGCCGGAACGAATCTACCTCCGCGGGTATGGTATTCAACCATACATATACGTTGCGGAGGAATCGCCAGATGCGAAGCGACATTTCAAGGGGGCATACTGGGTTGTTGATACTCTAGCAGATTTGGAAGCAGCTGCGGCTCACCCCAGTGCTTCTGCGGTGAAAGATAGCGACGCACCAGGCGGTGGAAAGGTTGTCACTGTTGAGGATCCCAACGGCTTTCCTGTCGGCTTTGTCTTTGGCCAGAAGCTCAGAGAGAGTGACGGGCCTGCGCCACCTTTGGAGAAGACCGATCCCATTCCTAATTTTGCACTTGAGAAGCCCAGAAAAGGGACATTTCGACGCTTCAAGACTGGGCCATCCGCCGTTCACAAGCTCGGCCATTATGGGTTTATCGTCCCCGCCAGCAAATTCGATAGCACGCTTTCCTTCTACCAAAGTCTAATCAATATCAAACCCACGGACGCGGTGTTCAATCCCGGCACTGGAAAAGACGAGACATGTTTCTGTCACATAGACCTCGGGCCGGAGTATACAGACCACCACGTAAGTCTGATGCTAGTCCTCCGGGATCGCCGAATAACACAATCCACAGAGCTTCTTCTTGGCCGCGGCCCCAGAAGGACGACCACCAGTCGTCCATCACTCGAGCTACGAAGTTAATGACTTCGACACGCAGACGCTCGGCCATGACTGGCTCCGATCCAAAGGATGGACCAACTGCTGGGGGATTGGCCGACACGTCCTCGGAAGTCAGATCTTTGACTACTGGTAAGTTCACCGTCTCAGCCGTTCCGTTAGGATCATTCTGCTGAAACCTATCTGCTTGCTAGGTTCGACGGTTCAGGGAATATCGTGGAGCATTATTCCGACAGTGATTTGGTCAACGAAGACACACCGTTTGGCCGAGAGCCCGCCGCACCGGATTCTCTACATGTCTGGGGTCCGAATATCCCTTTGGCATTCTTGTCTGGGAAGATCGAAGACGCAGGCAGGGAGCTGCCGGTGCCCCCAGACGCACTGGAGGCGACGCCAGCCCAGTATGATTTGCCGGCAGTAGCTGTTTGATCAGACTTGGCGGCATGAGTGCAGGGGATCAACTCGAACACGGTCGTTAGTACGTATGATACTCGAACATGTAGATGTATCCGTCAGTGATATCGAACATCCTCCTACTCCTGCCTTTACAGGGATTTCTGCCATCTGCCTCTTCCGCTGGTATTGAACGATGGATTAGGTAAGAATCCCGTAAGGCATGCGCAAGGTGCGTCTCATTCTGTCCAGGATGTCAGCAATACAAGGGCATCTATCCCTAGGTGCTCCCCGCGGTTCCCCTTCCTTTTCCCGGCGGCATTCCAGCGGCCAGGCACGGCCTTGAAGGACACCGCCCCGACAAGCACAAGCGCACCATGTGGACCCCGGGGTAGCCCGCACTTCGGATCAGCATCGAACCCTTTTCCCGCGCCGATAGCACGGGGACGTCGGCCGAAAGATGCATCACGAGATACTAGGTAAGCGGCGGGGTTGGGCGATACGCACTAACTTGCGGAGCTGCGACCGTTAGCTAGCTGGATGCTCGGTGATCTGACCTCGCAATTTCCCCGGATACATTGATTACCTCGAACCGAAGTTGACCACATGCTGTAAAGTGGTATTGGTCCATCATAATGGTACAGTAGTGGAACCCACTGCTCCCTCATACCTCTACCCCGGCACGCGGTGTCGCGTGGTCTAATATGAAGGGGGTGCTCGTCTCATCTCGTCTCGTCTCGCATGATATATACATTAATTACATGCTTCGCTCATTCAGACGCCTTCGCACTCGACAAATCCATCATACGACAACGCTCTAGCACTCGCACTCGCACTCGACACACCGCGGGCTGAATGCTGAGATCTTCGTGGTCCCAACATCCAAGATGGTGAGCGAGGCAAGTAGCTCTGTACATGTACCACCCAGACAAGCACCGCAGCCAACATTCGACATGCATACTTACATCTCCTCGCTTCGTGATCGACCCCAATCGACTGACCTCGACGCAGACGATTCACCACCACGAGACGCCCGTGCTCATCGTCGGCGCCGGTCCCGCGGGCCTGATCGCCGCGCTTCAACTCGCCGAGCATGGCACCCCGTGCATGCTCGTCGAACGCAATCTCGACACGACAAAGTGGCCGAAGATGGACATTACGAATTGTCGGAGCATGGAGCTGCTTAGGCGGTTGGGGATTGACCGTGGGTTGAGGGAAGTAGGTACGTACGTGAGTGCGCGCCGGGGGAAAGTCTGTCCACCCCGCGTACGGAAGTTTTGAACTTGGTGAATTGTCGCGACGGCTGGTGATTCGAAAAAAGGCAAAACCTACTTATCGCCCGGTGGGCAGGAGGGGCTCATTCCGTACTCTCACATCTAGGCGTCCCGCAGCATTATTCGTTCAATGTCAATTTCAGCACGGGCCTGTCCGAGGGAGGCGAGCTCATCACAAAATGGGTATGTGTGGTTGCTTTTTTTTGTTGTCCAGTAGTTACACGACAGAGAAGAGCAGAGCAGAGCATGTGGAACGCACACGCAGTGCACTGCTGTCCTTGCTTGCGTGGTAACTGCGTTACCTTGTCCTCGGTCGCCCTGCTTACTTCTCCCCAGGACCTCCCCTCGCCCGAGTGGTGGCGCGCGCATATCAAAGAGACCAACGACGGATCGATGCCACGGGAACCCTACCAGCGTTGTTCGCAGGCGATTTTTGAGGCATGGCTGAAACCGCGGATCCAGAACGAACCGCTCATCGACTCGTACTTTGGCATGAAGTTCGAATCCCTCGCCGAGACGGACGCCGGCGTGGACTGCGAACTCACAGACACTGTGAGAGGCGAGACGCACCGCGTCAAGGCCCAGTATGTGGTTGGGTGTGACGGGGGAGGCAGCCGCGTGCGCAAGGCCATCGGGGTGGATCTGGTCGGGGGTCCCGTGTGAGTCACAGCCCACTGCCGCTCGTACTGTAGAGGTACCGACGTCGGTTGTGCCAAGAGAACGTACGGAGAACGGGGGCGCTTCACTTCGACTAACACGTCCGCTCGCAGCCCGGCAAAGCTCTACCTCGTGCACTTCAAGTCGCCCGACCTGACGCGGCTGCACCGCCAAGGCCAGTTCTGGCACATCTTCTTCACGAGCGGGCACGTCATCATCTCGCAGGACGAGGTCGACACGTGGACCGCGCACACGCCGCTGCCGTTGGACTTTGACACGTCGACCCTCGATCCCAAAGACACCATATACCGCGTGCTTGGCGGGTCGGGCCCGCCGTGCCACATCGACATCGACGAGATCCTCGTGACCAGCACGTGGAGGCCCAACATCTGCATAGCGGAGCGGTACATCTCGCGTGGCGGGAAGGGCCGGGTTTTCCTCTCCGGCGACGCCGCGCACCAGAACATCCCGACGGGCGGGTACGGCATGAACACGGCGGTCGGGGACAGCTTCGACATTGGCTGGAAGCTGGCCGCCGTGCTGGCCGGCCACGGGGGCGTTTCGCTGCTGCGATCGTACGAGACCGAGCGTCGCCCCGTTGCAGCCCGCAACATCGAGCGCTCGGGCGTGCACTGGGCGGTGCACTCTTTCTACAAAGACCTAGTGGCGAAGACTGGGGACGCCGTAAGGTCCGAGACCGCGGACGGGAATGACATTCGCGAGCAGATCACGCGCCACTTACAACACCACGACGGCGAGAACAAAGACCTGGGCGTCGAGCTCGGGTACCGCTACAATGGATCCCCCGTTGTTGTGCCGGACGGGGTGGCAAAAGAACCGCCCTGGAATTATACGTCGTATGTCCCCTCGACGTGGCCTGGGGCGCGGGCGCCGCACGTGTTCCTCAAGGACTCAGCCGGCGAAACCAGCGTGTTCGACCTCTTTGGCCGAGGGCCCGAATATACGCTCGTCGACTTCACGGCCCAGGGCGAGTATATCGCCCTATTTGAGCCCGAGGCGAAGAAGCTGGCCATCCCGTTGAAGGGAGTGCATCTCCCAGACGAAACGGACGTGAGGACCGTCTGGGAGCGGGACGCTGTGCTCGTCAGGCCGGACGACCACGTCGCGTGGAGGGCGGCGCGCGGCGGCGGTGGTGGTGGCGCTAAGGGCGCTAAGGGCGCCAAGGGCGCGGACAGCGTGGATGTTACAAAGGTGTTATTGACTGTCGTGGGCAAGGACGAGGTGTCCGATGCTGACGCGAATGAGGGCGCGGGAGTCGGAGCGGAGATGATGGCGGACGTCAAGGACAGGGGCTTCACGGGGACGATTGGCAATGTGGACCAGGAGAGTGTGCAGCATTTGGCTGCCTTTCAGCGGTAGGCCCTAGGGGATTAAATCAATGTCTTCTTTGGCGACGTAGGTCGGACCCTACCTACCTACAGTATATTCCAGAGGGATTCACTGCTACTGCGAGGCGAGGTGGTCCTTTCGAGGCGTCTCCACTAGATTGTTCCCGTCCGCTGGCCCGTCCGTCCGTCCGTCGTCTGAGTCCTGGAAGCGAGGAGGCAATCCAACATTAGTAGAGTGGGCCATACATGGTTTTCTCTTCGATGAGCACGGCACGTTGGACATCTAGGCTCGCTGGACGAGAGGATGTCATGGTGGGTGGGTAAGATAACACCCTCCTGAAGTGTGAGAGGAGGAATCGAACCAAGCGGGTGGCCATCCATGGTTACTGAAGGTTGCTTGGACTGAGAAAAAAGTTCTGCGACAGAGGATACCGTCGTCATTCGTTGCGTTTACTTATATGCTGTGGTCGAAGTAGGCGCAGCGTCCTGGACAGGCAAAGGGCCTTGCATGTCAGCCGACACACCCACCTGTGCGAAAGCGTCTATTAGGCTCGACATGTATAATGATGTGATCGACTCCATAGGTCGTGCCAGATAGCAGGCCTATAGAGACATCTAACTTGCGGTGAAGCCAAGAACCACGCAGGACCTGCCGTTGATATGCATCTCTATACCGATTTGCGGCAGGACTGGGAGCAACGGGGCCCCACAGGTTGCCTGTTCTGGAACACCTTTCGAAGCCCAGGCCAATCACAGATAGCAAGAGCCAATGAGCAACAATGCTGTGTGTGTCAATACGTAGTAATGCATGGAAGCACTATAAAGATGGACCAGGGGGACTACTAAACGATACGGCGTGGGAGAAGGTGTTGAAGCTGAGCCGTCTTTGGATTTTCACAGGTGACCTCGACCAACGGCAGTTTCCCTGCCTCGAAAGTAAGCAAGGAAACGAGCGAAGAAGCCCGTCCACTGAGAAGCTGATGCTGCGTTGGCCGTGGGGAGGACAGTAGCGACCAAGTGTCTGTCATGCAGACCTGCTGCGACGTTGTTGAGCAGGCAGCCTTGGAAGTCTCGGGGCAGGACGCCTGAAGGCGAGGCTGATATATCATCGACGCTGACCAGATGGCAGAAGGGTGCGTTCCGCGTGAGGTTTCGATGGGTACATGTTGCGAGTCCGTCGTCCTTCCGCGGGGTACTAGCGGCGCGAGTCACTAATAAGCGCGTCCTTCCTGGTAGCATCTCCATAATCCGCAATGATACGGTGCAACCTACTCGTAGGTGGTTACAGTGCAAACTTATGCTCGGGTCATGAAGGAGACTGATGCGACTGGGTTGGCAGTTACGGGAGCTGAGCGGGGCTCAGGCTACGGGGAAGTACACCTCCCGCAGATAGTAGAATCTTCGGAGAAGCATAAGATATCCTCCGTCCCGCTCACGCCGCTCCAGATTCGAGCATCATGTTTGCTATTCCTTTACGCACGCTGCAATTAACCGCGCTTCGGCTGGCAGTCTCTAGAAACTACTCCTTCTCCACTCCGACCAACGCTACTGTGTCACAAGATGGCTCTCCCCAACCTCCGCCGCCTCTTTGTGGAAGCGCGAACAGAAGCTGAAGAGAACGAATACTCTCGAAACGCCGTAAGACTCCTTTTCCGAAATGCCCTGATGGCCATCGGACTTCAGAGTCGGGTAGACTGATGCTTTCCATGTGCAGTTCTATAATCTGGTTCTGTTCATTTCATCGGTCGCTGTCTTCAGCCTCGTTGCACAGCGCATGAGCGGGAACAAAGCTATCAAATGAAGCACAGCTTCTGCTTGGCATGCCGATATCGTACAGCGTGGACGCCGACGCCACTGATAATTACCACCCCAGTCGGACTTGCACATGACTAGACAATACCGGAAAAGATCAGGTCCTGAAGGGCAAAGGATGCCATCCAACGCAAACCAGCCGGCGTTGGCCATCGACCACGATCAGTCCGTCTCTTCGCCATCACTGCTCAGAAAGTCGTAGTTCCGCGCGCCTCGGACTAACCTCCTCGCACCGGGTTGTGGCTTGGAATCGGCGTCTTTATCACCTCGATTACCCTCCTCATCCTCTGCAGCTCCCCATCGTTCCGCCCCCTCTTGCACTGCTTCGATATCGGCTGCCAGTTCTCTCGCCTCCTTGATCTGGTTGGCCTTTTCGAGTGAATATCGACCAGTCATGCCAACGTCGGCGAGCATGCCTTTCAGATGCTTGATCTTGGCTTTGGGAGTTTCGTAGGGCTTGAGCTCTTTACCCCAAAGTTTTCTGATGCCACATTTCACCAGCCAGCCTTGCAGGCGCTTGATTTCGACTTGGTCGGGATCGTCTGCCTCAGATTTAGCCTTTGTGGAGGATTTGGTCGTGGTCTTGTTGGGTTTCGAGCCGGACGAGTCTTTCTGTCTGCGCTTCTTGGGCGGAGGCATGTCGTCTATTAGCACTGACAGTTCGCTGTCCGAGGCGTCAGTAATAGCGGGTTTGCTAGCCGATTTTGTCTCTTCTGCAGATTCAGTCGAATCTGCTTCGGTAGCACCATTTTCCTCTTTCTCCTCGTCGTCTTCGTCGTCCGCGGATACTGTAGCCTTTATATTCCTGCCCTTCACAGGCTTCGACTTGGCCGCGCGAGCCTTCGCGGGAGCTTTGCCTTGCTTCTTCTTGGGCTCCTCTTCATCTCCCTCCTCAAGCTCTGAACCAAGGTCGCTTCGAGGTGACGACAAATCTTCAGAAACATCTTGGTCAGCGGTTTGCTTCGCGGTCTTCTGCCTCTTCTTCGGCGCAGGTTCTCTCTCGGCAGATTTGCGCTTTACAGACTTCTTTCTCGGTTCTGCAGCCTTCGACTTCGGAGGTGGGCTCTGTGACGCTGGTTCGCTTTCCTAATCTCGGTCAACAGCGTGCACATGGTCGTGCGTCAACGGTGCACTTTGTACCATCTGCTCCTCAATGACCTGTTTACTGAGTTGATTCCACTTCTCGTGGCTCTTGAAGAAACCGGGCGTCAAGCCTAACTCCCCTTCCGCCGCTGTGCGTATATACTTGTAAGAGAAGTCAACTTCATCTTTCTGCGCCTTAATGACTGCGCGTCTGAGGGCGTCCTCGAGTTCATGGTCCGGAGGTGTAGGACTTTTGGACGCTTCCGACAGTTCAGACTCGGACACAGACATGCCCAATTCGGAACGCGAGGAGCAGCAGCTGAAACAGATAATGAAAGACGCGTGTATGAGCGCTGTATGGGTGTCGCACCGGCGCAGTCGATCAATGGTTCGATTCGGTGTTGTGATTGTCGAGGTTCCCCGCATAAACAGAGCAGACACGTGAAGGAGCTAATGACGGCTCCATACGTAAGCTGGAAGTTACACGACCTTGGCGTGTCCACGGTGCCTTGCATCGCGCATCACGTGTTAAGCGTCGGATATTTCGGCATTCACAAGGCTGCGCTTCTAATGTGCAAGCAGGACCCTCAGCACTCCGTACGTACTTACCAATTATCGAACAAAACGCCGCCGTGGTCGCAGGAGGAAGGTGCGCGGAAGCCTGCAGTGTTTGCAGGAGATGTCGTTTCCGTTCCTGTCGGGTAAGGCATCTGCATCTGGCTCCCAGGAGTCACGTTCCAGCAATGAAGACACTCCGCAGCAGAAAGTCGCCCCGGGGGTTGTTCTGGACAAGGACGGGAAGCCGTAAGTCGATGATGCCCAGCGCAGTCGAGAATGGCGCACTTATGCAAGTTCAGATGTCGCACGTGTACCTCGTCCGCTGCATGGCTTGCCATGATGAAGTCCAGTGGCAAGAAGCCCAAGGCCGCCGCCGCCGCAGCGCCAGTTGCTCCGCGATCAGACTGTCCTCCCGACGTCGATGAACTCGGCCGCTCCACCTGGACGCTCCTCCACAGCATGGCTGCCACGTACCCTGAAGTCGCGCCGCCCGAGACACAATCCATCATGAAGCAGTTCATCTCCACGTTCTCCCAGCTCTACCCGTGTTATGTCTGCGCGGAGGATTTTCAAGACTGGTTGGTCCAGCCTGGGAATGAGCCCCGGGTCAAAGGCCAAGGTGAACTGGGCATGTGGGCTTGTCGTGCGCACAATGCCGTCAATGTCAAATTGGGAAAGCCCGAATTTGATTGCAGTCTCTGGAAGGAGAGATGGAAAGATGGCTGGAAGGACGGGCGATGTGATTGATGAGTGTATGAACAGGAGGACTCCACCAGAACCCTCTACATGTACCATATTATGGATAGATCTTGAGCATTAGCGACGGCGCAACTCCTCTCATCGTGATAGCTACGGGCCAGCGGACACTGTGCAAGCCAGCTTGTGTGGAAAGTTTCACTGGTCCTCAAGCCTGCGTAGAATCTGCCAAGACATTTATTTACCTTGGTCTACCACTCCTACTCCGTACTGAGTACCTGAATATGTACCTGCTCCGTACCCCAGACCACAATTTCTCGAGCTCGCATTCTGGCCCGAAGCAGCAGTAGCTACTAGAGACAGAGCCAGGGTGCGACATTGGCATGGGACGACGCATGCTTGTCGTATCCACAGCTGAGACACACAGCAATCCTTTTTCCCATTCGTCAGCAGGCGAGCGATCATCCCTTTTTACGTTGCCGCAATGCACGAACAGGTTCTCATCACGTTCCTCGATTCTGTTCTTACTTGTTTGGCGTCTTCCTCCCATTCTGATCGTCAGCCTGGAGCGGAGCGGTGACAGTGACTTTCATCTGTTTGCATGATACGTATCTGGTTCATATTTGTTTCTTGGTCCAGTCCGGACTTCGGACTCTGCCCGTTTGGGTCGCATTCTTCAGCCTGACACGCCTCGAGGGATTTTTGAGCCCGGTGTACATGAACAATACCTAAAAGCATGAAAACAGGGTAATGGTAATGAGACTGAGACTGGGAATGACTTCGATTTGATATCTGTACACGTATCGCTTTCGACCATGATCTTTCTCCGAAAGTCATCCACTCTGTCTCTGGCCCTCGGAGCCCTGACAATAATCTATCTATTCACGCACTTCCACCCCTTCTCTTCGGAGCGGCCATACCTGTACGGCCAGACTGACGCCTCGTCACTCTACGATGCCCGGTTCTTCACGCCCGGCACCGCCAAGCCCGCCGGGGCGAACTACACGCGCGTGCTGGTCATGGGCCGGCTCTCCAAGGAGGACATCTCCTGGCTGGACGCCGACCTGCCCAACCTGCCCAAGAAGATCTACACGGTCGACGACTCCCCCAGCCGGTCCGGCCTGCCCGCCAACAAGGGCCACGAGGCCATGGTCTACCTGACGTACATTGTCGACCACTACGACTCGCTGCCGGACGTGGTCTTATTCTTCCACCCGCACAAAATCACCTGGCACAACAACGTGCTGCTGGACGTGTCATCGGCCACGACCATCAAGCTGCTCTCGGACGCCCACGTCGTGCGCCAGGGCTACTTCAACACGCGCTGCCACCTGGACCCCGGCTGCCCGGACTGGCTGCACGTGGACCAGTCGCGGTGGAAGTACGATCTCCACCATAAACCCGAGGAACCGGCGCTCACGTCGCAACTGTTCCACGACCTGTTTGGCGACGAGGTCCCCGTCCCGGACAGCCTCTCGCAACCCTGCTGTGCTCAGTTCGCCGTCAGTGGGCAGCGCATCCGCCAGCGCGCCCGGGCAGACTACATCCGCTACCGCGACTGGCTGCTGCACACGCCCCTGGATGACAAGACCTCCGGCCGCATCATGGAATACTCGTGGCAGTATATCTTTTCGGGCCGGTTCTCATTCTGCCCCTCGCAGCATAAATGCTACTGCGACGGGTATGGCATCTGCTTCGAGGGCGGGGACGAAGGCCTGAAGGCCTGGTTGAACCTGCTGAGGCAGAAAGAACTCGTGGACCAGAAACTGATCAAGTTGTGGGACAAGGGCGTGGCATCGCGCGACAGCGAGCAGTATAAGAAACTGAGACACCAGAGCGGGGTCATGGGGAAGCAACTGGACGATTTGCGCGAGAACGCGGTGCGCAGGGGCTTTGATCCCCAGACCAGGGCGAGAGCGTGTGGAAGGGAGTGGCATGAGGGCGATGGGTTCTGACGTGCCGTTGAGCAGTAACTCAGAGCTCGGGGATCTTTTGGAAACACGATGCCTCTTGACTCTCGGGCAAGATGACGGTCTGCAAGATCTTTCGGAGATCCGATCTTCCCCCCGACTCTGAAGTGAGAGGACGGCCAGCCACGGTGTTGACCCGACAGCTTGAACAACGGCACCCGGGATCAAGCACAGCTGGCCAACGGAACATGTCTTGATCTCTCCAGGAACCGCGCCTTCGCCTCGAGGGAATGTACCAGCAAAGCCGCCGGGACAGACCCACCGCTCGTAGCCTCCACTACGCCTCGCAAGTCAAGCCTGGTCAGCCTCATCAAGCGCACACAGCGGCACGATTACCCCCATCTGAACCGGTCAAGAAACAAAAAGGTCCTAAGGAAAGAGCACGGCAACACTACGGAGTACTACGACGTCGTTCATCCTCGCTCACTGGGGAGTCAAATCTCGTACCCACTCGCGGTCGAAGAGAGAGAGATTGGAGATCCCGTCGTAGCACATTTTTATCACGATCCAAAGGTCTCGGACATTCCATCACATCGCAGCAGCACATTGATCACGGTCGAACAGCCGTGGCACATCACGTCACAGCACATCTACCACGACAAATGCCACCGTCTTCTCGTGGCGGAAAGGGTTCTACTCGCAGCAACTGCATCAAAAGGTCATTGGACATCCACAGCACAGCACAGCACAGCACATTCATCACGAACAAAAGCAATCGTATTCTCATCCACGGCGAAAATCATTCTCCTCGCGACAACTGCATCTGCGTCGAAAAGTTACTTTCATCGTCCTATCATAACACAACAAAAGCATCATATCATCTGCCATACACGTATGGCAATGCGGTATCTATTCTATTTCCACATTGAAGCAATTAGGTGGGGACGGCAAGGCAAACCAGTCATTTATTGATTGAAGCGAGTACCTACTTAATGCGCGGCAATGCATGAATCTTGGATACGGAGTAAAAGGGTCGGATACCTTAGGTACATAGAGCTTCTCCCTCGCTTTGTGGAGGGGAAAGGAAAATATGGTTCGGGAAAAAGTCACAGTCAATGCTCTATCTGCATACATCATAGCAACCTTTCACGTGTGCACGATGATGGCTTTGTGGGAGGGGACGGAGGAACGAAAAGGTGAAGTGTATTTACCTGCCTTAGGTAGGTAGGTAGGTAGGTAACGCACGGAAAAGAATAGAGCAACAAGGTACAGTGGAACAACAGTGCTGCTCTCCACTTTCGTCATCATATTCGGTGTAGTAGACAAGTACAATGCTGATCAGCTCGTTGATAGTCGATAGTGTACATTCCTTGGTAGACAGAAGCCGTTTGGTCTAACTCTACCAACCTGCGTAGTAATGCATTTCAAGCCCGTCTGCACTTCGCTGAGTGCTGGGTCTCGCATGAATTTCTGTGTATCATGACAGTGATGGTGCGTCAGCACTTGAAGACCACGCCTCAAACGCAAACTGCAGTTGCCGACACACTGTCCATAGTACACCTTAGTGAATCCCATGCATGATCGTGCAGCCCATTCAACGCCTTGCTGCCCAATCGTTATTGTGAATTGACCGATGTGGACATCCATGTCCGTATGATACGCCGTGACAAGTGCCAGTACACCCATTTCTACACATAGTTGACGATCATTGCTCAGCTCAACCCACGAGTCGAAAACTACACCCCTCAAAATCTCACAAGACTCTGGTCAAACCGATGCTAATAGTTCATGACCATTTCTGCCGTTCCGGTCTTGGAGTCATTGGCGCCGTCGAAATTTCCCGGAGGATAGTCATCGAGGCTTCGGTATGCTGGAGGTCCGCGGTTACCACCTCCGCCGGCAGCACCACCACTCCTACCGCCTCTGTTGGGACCTCCTGCACCTGAAGCTGGACCCCGTTGTCTGGCGTTGGTGTTTGTACCTTGATTGTTGCCTCGGTTTCCGCCGACATTAGGGTTATTGCGATTGTTGAAGTTCGCCTTGCTTTGTGCATTGCGCTGTGCAAATCTGCCTCCTCTCTGGACATGATCGTCTCGATCGCTTCCACCCGCGGCTCTCGCGTAGGACTCCTTATTCTTAAAGTTGGAGTCATCAAATTTCCGCTTGTGACCGGTGTTGCCGTCGTTCGCACGGAAGGGTTTACGGCCGCCACGGTGATGTTGCTGATAGGAGTGATCGTCTTCGATCTTCAACATGACCTTGTCGGCCACCGTGGTGACGAACATGAATGCCTTGTCGGGAGGAACATCTTGCCATTGGGTAATCTTGTTCGCGTCGATCTGCCTGGCGCCTTTTCGGATGGCAAGTACAACGACTGGGGTAGGATCTTGCGTGTAGATCTTCGTTTCGTTCACGGGTGCCACTCGAGCGGCCCAGATGCTGTCGCCATGTTTGGCAATGCCGGTGACTTGCCAGGTGACCTTGTGGCCACGTCCACCCACCCTCTTCAGTATGTCGTTCCGAGGGTAGAAGGGGCAGATGAGAATGCTGGAGGCAAGGAGGCGAACTTCGCCATTATCAATAAGATCAGGTCGGATGTTGAACAGAGTGAGGAGGCGGGCAGAGTCGGTCTGGTTGATCATGTAGCCGAAATAGCTAAAGTGCTCATCAATCTTCAAGTGCTTGCGTAGGGTCTTGGTCATGGTAGGTGCTCCCGAAGAGATTGCTTCATTGTGTCGAGCAATCGCGCGTTGGACAACTTCGATCTCCGTGTCTGGGTTGAGAAGAGACTTCAACTCGCAGACATGGATGACTTCGGCGTTGATGGGTTTCCGAGGCGGCGGTGGCTCGTCGACTCTGTGAGAGAGAAAAGACTTGTTCAGGCGTTCGAAAAATTCCTTGAACGCTTTGACATGTTTGGGCCTATCCTCATAGATTCTGATCTCGTCGGCGGACTGATAGGTGAAGACCAGTTCTTTCAGAAACTCTTGTTTGAAGCTCATGGTGCTGTCAAACCGCTGTCCTGAAGGGCCGACTTCCGGTTTGAGGGCGACCAAGTCAAAGTCGAGTTTTCGCGAATTGCATATTCTGTTCACGAGGTCTGCGAAGTTGGTCTCGCCTCGCCCAGTGAGCAGAACAGTGATGGTATCTTTGGACGCAATGCTCAGCTCGACGAGTTCGCGCACCGTCTCATTCCAATGACCTTCCCATGCACGGAGTTCTTCCTTTTCAAGTCCCTCGCCTGTTGCAGCGAGAATGCTGTTATCATGCCACCAACCCCCGAAGGCTAGTGTCTCATATGTCTGTAAAAGGCCGATCGTCTGGTAATGCCACACTAGCGGGTTGGGCAGCGGGCTGCAGAAGAGCGTGTTGTCAAAATCGTAGACGTGGATGGCTTTGATTGTCGAGGTGTCACTGGGTAGATTCTTGCTTTTGCATGACCAGCGCTTGAGCGCATTCACGGAATACGTCGTCTTCATCGTGGTGTCGGGGAATGCGCGGATGGATGAGCTAGAAGAGAAGCCTCGGGGCACACGAGATCCCAGGGCAAGTCGCCGTCATTGAGGTTGGAGGAGCCGTAGGAAGAAGGGCAAGAGTCGACCTGCCAGCAGGCGCATTTGTAGCCGTGAAGGGCAGGTTCGAGAGGGTCCTCACCCAAGGGTTCTTTTCGTCGCCAGCTGCTGTGGGGAAGTCAGAGGCTTACAAGTCAAGTTTGCTGGGTATGCCTTCTTGGAGGTATCAACAAGCCGATAAGTGCATGATTGGCATGTTGGTCGAAGGAGGTGATCCAAGCACTTGATGTCTGCAGGGAATCTTGAAGCAAGAGCCCGGCTAACTTGCCCTGACTCTGTGGGTGGGGGGCAGGGGATGACAACCACGTGATTGAGTCGCGAGCGACAAACCTCACTCACTCCTTTCCCTGCCTCTTGCCTGGCTATGTCTCGAATCACCTCAGGAGCTCTCACTCTGCTAGGAGAGCTCCCTGTCCCTCGCATTCACCTCTTCGGAGCGGGCTATCTCACTTCCTCGCGCATCTGGCAGTGTAGATCGATCTGCGCAACGGCTGGATCACCCGAGGGCTTCCTGGTCAGTGACAATGAATTAATTCATATGAGCGACTAGTCAATCCAGGCTTCTCATTCTACGCTTGCAGTAGCGAGCTTTCTTGGGCTCAAAGAGTTAAGCTCCTCGCCATGAGGCTGTGACACCCACGGACCTCAATTTATCTCTTGAGACATCACAGTCCTGCTGAATCCTCACCATATGTTCATCCTCTATCGAGATCGCACAATGACCTTAGCGCCACTCGAATGAAGGAGTACTAGAAACTCACTGCGAAGGACGGCGTCCCAGCTCGGAGAGCAGGATACAATGTCCCGGATACATGGCAAATACCCTTGTGGGGTGGTCAAACTGGTATAGTCTCTTACAGCTGGACACCGCCTCCACGGCCGAGGCAGCACCAGAAGAATCAGTCATTGAATTATCCGAGCATTAGGTCCATTTTGTGTCCTTGTGATTGAGTTTGACTCGCAGTGAAGATCCAACAGGTGACTTTTCTGCCTACCGTCAGAGGCTTTTCACCTTCGGGGCTAATGCAAAGACGGTTGCGTGGCGCCGCCCAAAAAAGGGAAGCAATGTCAGAGCGGTAACCTGCTGCTGCTCTCTTTATCATCGGAACACGTTCGACTGCCGCGGCCTGACCTGAGGTGTTGACGTCTCGCCACACAGAGCTCTCAAGCGTAGCCATCAGAGGCCGCTTCCTTGTTCTTGTCTCGCCCTACCATTCGTTTTCTCACCACATCATCCGCTCTTCATTCTCATTCACCTTCAATCGCCTTTTGGTTGACTTCTCGCGCCTGAGCTTCGTGAAGTCGACTGCTCACAGAATCAAGTTGTGTCCAGTGAGTGAAAGTCTGGCACTTCTTCCTTCGATATGAACCAAGTCAACTCATACAAAGAGTGTACTCTAATGTGAGACACAGAGACTTCCAGTACGTCGACCCTGCCAATTGAAAGGTCGTCGAGGCCCTCTGTAGATGGACGACCGCACGACAATGAAAGATGCCCCCGAGCCCAAGCCCTCGTCCGTCAAACCCAACCAGTAGATCAGCGCCGCAAAAAACACTTGACAATACTCAGAAAAGATCCTAATGGTGGGTAAGTTCTCCTCGATTTCAGTGAAGAACAGCGACAAGTCTTCCCTGCTTACCTGTGGGAGGAGCTCCTCCGCTCCTGGACAACAGAAATTAAATACAAGACAGCTCTGCAACGGCTCCCAGTTGCCGATCGATGTTTTGTTTTCGCTGGCCATTCAGAGAATGTCATGATCAGACCCAGAGAGGAAGGACACAGCGGCGCTGCCGATAATGGGGACCAAGACCTCGACATGGTTACGACACATAGCGCTAAGGACGAGGAGCGCAATCTCGATACCGGGCATAGCAACCACAGTGGCGATGAGGTTACCGATCCTTATGTCCGTCGAGAGTCTTTCCGCTCGGAATGGCAGTTTGTGGATTTCAACGCGTATCGACAATAGGACCCGACATTCATTTCCAACCTTGTTGAGTGGCACGACTCTGACATTGTGGCCGGCGACGTGCTTGGGGCACCCATCGACTTGCGCCAGAACCAGTCGTACGAGGAGTACCTCAACTTTAGGTTCATCGGGATTGCAGGTCCTATCTCTGCGCCACGTCTCTGCTACCGGATCACTGCCGTCTTTGGGATGCCACCGACGCGAGGACTGCAAGACCCTTGGAGAACTAACTGGAAAATTGGACTGGAGCTCCGAACCGGTCGTGGTTCGCGGCTGACACTCGAAGATTACAGAGGCAGAATAGGAGTTCGTTTTCATGGACCCGAAAGACGACAGTTCGCTCGCGCTGAAACTTTTGAACTGGCTGGTCAGCAATGAAGTGCCGTGTTATTACCATTCCGCGAGATGATCGGAATGGAACCAAACAGACGACGACTGATCCAACCCCAAAATTCCGTGGTAACTGTTCAAGTTCCGTTTGCCACACCGCACGGATCTTCAGCCGGTTCACGAGAGGAGTCTTCAGCCAGTCCTTGAGAGGGATCTTCAGCTGGTTCACAAGATGGACCTGAAGCCAGTTCCAGAGAGGGATCTTCAGCTTCTCAATAGGATGGATCTTCAGCCGGTCCACGAGCCTTATCTTGGCCCTCAGCCACTGGCACCCGAGCTTACTGTGTACATACCTCGTCAGATTTCTAATACAGTCACCTATGCACTGTGACTGCCTTCATTGGGAACAAAGTGCACCGGAGAGTCGATCTCGGCTGAGTGATTCAAAAGCCGACGAGTACTTGCGATAGGATAGCCAGTATTCGATTCCCGAACAGCTAGCGTAAATACTGAAAGCATCATCACAGCTTCGCCCTCCCACCTCCTCCTCCCCCTCCTCCCTGCCTCTGCCTGACTTCCTCCAAAAACGGCATCACGCCCTCCCAAAACCCCTTGGGATTATCAATATTAACCGCATGCCCCGCCCCGGGGACAACGACCTTTTTCGCCCCCGGAATCTTCATCGCCATATACTCACTCGCGGCCAAGAACGGGTGATCCTCCGCCCCGACGACAACGAGACTCGGCACGCGTACGCTGCCCAACGACTCCAACACCCTCCCGTCACGCTGGGCGAGCATACCTCTCGCGGCGCGCGCCAGGCCCATCCCCGTCACATCCCTATGCAGATGCGCCACGTGCGCGCGCTCGGGGCTCAACCCGCGAAGGACAGTCAACCCACGCGCCTCGAAGGACCTCGCAGTCTGCTCTGCCGTGTCGTTCCACTTGCGCCGGGCGTCGGCGTTGCGGAAGCCGGGGCCCGTGTCGATTATGAGCAAAGCGGCCACGCGCGCGGGGTAAGTCCGATAAAAGGCGAGGCTCATGTATCCGCCGAGGGAGAGGCCTCCTATGATCGCGGGGGCGGGGGCAGGAGCAGTGGCGTTGTGAAGTCCTCCGCCTACCACGTCCAATATCGCAGCCATATCCTTTACGGTATGCGACTCGGAGTATGCGGCCTGGTCGGTGGGTGAGTCTGACTGGCCGTGGCCGCGCATGTCCCATGTTATGAGTCTAAAATGGCGGGAGAGGGCGGGGATCTGGCCCGTCCACATGGCGGAGGTGGATGAGAAGCCGTGAGTGAGGAGGAGGAGTGGCCGGACATTGCTGTTGCTGTTGCTGTTGCTGTTGGTGCTCTCGCTGCCTTCATCGTGGTGGACTTGGTAGTAGATCTTCACGCCGTCGCGGTCGAGGTAGGGCATTGTCGTGCGGTGGGAACCAAAAAGCAAAGGACGAAAGGCGTGAAGCAAGTGGGAAACAAAGCCCGTGCGCTTCACGGGTATGCTAACAAACAATAGGTGTTGCGCTTGGGCGGTTGTGTCGGTGTTTAGACCTTGAGGCATTCATTCAGCCAGATTTGTCGCAGTCGACCTTTAGAGAAGGGCGTGGCAAAGCCCAGTTGATCTGATCGTTTTTCTAGCCTGACTTTGTATTGAACCTAAGTGTTCACGGCTTCCTAGAGCACTAAACATCTTATATCACTCTGCATTCCGTAATCCCATATAGAGTATGGTCATGGACTTGGGGATAGGCTGAGGAGCGGAGGGGAGGGCTCAGGCGAGCCGAGGCTGCGCATGGGACACCAGAACGCGGGGAAGCTCGCCGAAGATGGACCGGAGTGCATCTCGGACTCAGCCTGAGCGTCAACACTTGACTACAGAGAAGCTGTTCTGTAGGGGCAGATCATTGGCCATACATATTGACGAGTGGCCACATTGCCAGGATAAGCGCGGAGTGACGCATGTATAGCTTGTGGCGGATCCGTCCCTGCGGCTGTCTGATGCCTGCCACATCAAAGGGCCGGGCGGCTGTGAGTTGCAGGACGATGCCCACAACCACAAGATGTGATGTTGCGTGGATGATCCGGGCTTCGATTTTGCTTGGTCAGCAGGTATCGCTCAAGGTACAGCCCCGACTTTATGACCATGTCCACTTTTGCCCTGCTCCAGGGGTGTTTCATAGCATGACTCATCCGCTCCCAGGAAATGGATACTCTGGCCTTTCGCTCCAGGAGAACGCCTGGACCGTAGCCTCCTCAAGATGATCGTTCCATCCGGCCGGCGGTGGCGCCTGGGTCGGAATGTCCGTCAGATCCAAGTCCTCGTGTCGCATAGACACCTCGGTCAACAGCTGGTGCAAAATCCGCCATGCGCGGTATGCCGATAGTGACCCCTCGGTCATGCACCAAAGATAGCCCATGGCCTTGCGCACGTACGTGACCAACTGCGGAACTTCGTCGCGGAAGTGCTGCGCATCAAGGGCGAGCTCGAGCAACAATACCGTCGTCGCTTGTACCACAAAATGCAGCAGACTCCACCACGGGAGAAGCTGATTGGCTTCGTGCGCCGTGGGATAATCCGGCATGAGCGCAAGCATAGACATGGCCGCATGCACGCACGCTCGCGCGGCACTGCGATTGAACTCCTGCGAGCGGGCGGATTCGTTCTTGATGTTGATTTCGCATAGACAGGGCCGGTTGAGAATCATCCCCACGCTGTGGTAGTACATGCCCAGTTCGATCTTGATCCTCGGATCCGTATCGGCATGCTGTTGGCCTTGGAAAGACAGCTCTTCGGGCAGATCCTCGGCCCACTGTCTTAGCTCGGCCTGTAAATTGCCTATCTTGCTCTGTATTTCGGACCACGAATCTCCGGACGTGCCGCTGTACATCTGCGCCGCGACTTTGTCGCTCAGGCGGCACAAGTGCAGTCGATGGGGCAAGTAAGAGGTCGGTATGTTGCGTCCCACCGAGGCAAAGCTTTTCCAAGGCATCATGCCACCAGTCATCTGGGATATATTGCGGCCGGCGTGCAAGTACTCGAGCCACAGCTTTCTCGAGCTGTCAGGAGACAAAAAGTGGTCGACTTGCCCGGAGAACTCCAAAATCTCTTGTGGAACCGACCAGAATAAATCGATTGGTATAGTGACGTCGATCAAAAAGATGGATTTGGGACGCCCCGTCATCTCGGCGATCAAGATTTCCAGGCTATAGAGCGAGTACCACGTTCGCGCACGTCGGGCTCTTTCCAATTCGCCGACACTCTCATCCGTCACTTTGAGGTGGAGACCCAGTGCCGTAGCATGGCGAGTGCCGTGGGCCAAAGTATTCCAAGCACTGCCCATACAGTCAGCAAGAACAAAAGTCGAGGGAATCATGGGACAGACCGTGTGATGGACCCATTGATGAGCAGGTAGAAGGACAGCAAGCCGATGCCTTGGACACGATCGACGTCAGGATGGTCAAACATTACCCTGTGGTCGAGTCCCAGAGCACGGGCTCTCGCATAAAAGATGAGATGGTCATCATCAGAGTCTGGCTCGTTGAGTTTCGTGATCTGCAACCATTTGGACCCAATCGCCCACACCAGGTTCGCCAACGCAAGCCAATGCCTTTTGGACCACGAAGGATGCTGTCCCGTGCCCGAAAACTGGTATGCCTGCTGCAGAAACTGCTCGCGGAGGACGAAGTGGAACGCGCCTTGCATGGCGTGAAAAAAGGCTTCGGACAGGAGCACCATGCTTTCTTTGGCAGGCCAGTGATACTGGTCCACGTAGTCCTCATCGACGCCTAGGACGTTGGTGTCATCCATGAAATATATAAAGTCGCTGGTTGTAGCGATGTTTACGTCCATTTCTGCCGCATGGACGCGACCAGGGTTGTCATCGCGATACCCGCGGACGGTCTCGAATGCACGTTGGATCCAAGAAATCTCCGACATCTTCCCAACGAAGCCAGAGGCTCCTCCTCCCCCGTCTAAAGAGACGATGCGTGGTAGCTCTCCTTGTTTACCGGGAGACCCTACGCTTGAACCGGCTTTGTTCTCACCGGACGCCGTGCCAGCTCGCGCAGGAGTCCGAGTGGATGATGTCGGTGGAATCGTAGAAGGTGCCGTACGGGATCGCGATTGCGATTGCGATTGACTGCTCGACTCGGCTTCTAGCTCATCCTCTTCTTGATTCGAGTACTTCACTCTTGTTAGAAGACGCTCCTCCCCGAAAGAGGATGTGGTGGACGAGGAGATACCTTGGCCAAGATGTCCATAATCTCGGCATTCTCTTCCGGTCGAAAATCCGGCCGTTCTGTTAACCCACGGAGGACCTTCAGTAATTTGCCATTCTCGCCCTCCAATAGGCCGATACGGTCAAGGCTCTCGGCCAGATCCCTGTTGAGTATCAGCATATGTGTCGAACGACGGCTTGGAGTCATGCACTTCTTGTTGCGCTCCCTTTTCCGGTCGCCGTAAACACAAGCCGCGCTGTCTTTGATGCATTTAGTACAACGGTCACCTCCGGAGCATTTAGTTCGCATTAGCCGGCAGCGATCACAAGCATGTGATGTGCGCAGTTTTGTCATAAGAGCCTTTCTCGAGGACGGCGGCCTTGGCGGGGAGTGCCGCTGATGACGCTGGTCTGGGCTCCCTTGGCCACCTGATGCACCAGCGAGGCCCACAGGGCCATCTGCTTGGAGTGACATGGGCCTGGCTTCCTGGTGCTTGGATTGCTGCAGACGGCCTGGAGGATGCGTGGATTGCGCCGTAGAATCATTCAAGCGGAAGGGTAGAGACGTGAAAGAGGAATGACGACTTGAAAAGGTTGAACGGAAAATGTCGAGTGAAGATCGTCTTATCAAGGAGGAGAGGGGCCGCCCATGTGGGCTTTGCGCTAGAAGCGCATGGCTGGCGGCACCTGTCTGTCGCTAAAAGCTCGATCCATGCCAGGTATCAGGCAGTAACTTGGTGGGTTTAGCATGCGATTCGAGAGAAATGGATTCATTTCTGTGTCATGCAAGGGAAGGACCAAGCGGCCCGCTAAGTGACCTGTGGCAACCGGCAGCGCGGCTCCCACAGCAAGCTGGAGGCGCCTGGTGGCACCTACCACCACTACCGGTGCTCGCAGCGGGAAATGTTTCCGGGTATAGGGTCCGCAGCATGACGAGCCCAGCGACGACTGGCGCAGCCGTGGTTCCACCGAAGTCTCGACCAGGCTAAGGCGAGCCAATGGCCTTGCCCCGGATCTATCTTCCTTCTGGGTGCAGAGATGTAACAGCCGGGCGTGGGCTGATCCTATCCCGCACTTTCTATCAATCCGACCACAGACATTGATGGTCGAAAGCTGTCAGCTCATCGAATGTGCGCTGCATGACTGAACCAGGTACTCCGTTGCATGCCGGGAAACAGATTGAGATGTGTCTGGGTTCGGTAACGCGCGGAACGGACGGTGAACGTGCTGCAACAGACTCTCTCTTCAACGTGTCGAACTCAACCGGTGGCGACCTTGTAGCGCAGTTTGTGTACCGCTCACCTGGGGTCATCTTTGCGGCGAGTATTTGACCTCGACACTTTACGCGTCCTCGGGAAGAGCTTGGGGTGAGGCACCGAGAGGCATGCCACGTGGGCGTGGACTTTTACGAGGAGGGAACTGAGATCTGAGATGATCGAGTGGATGGCCGGCCGGAATCGAGCTCGAGCACGATCAATCTGACCATACACGCCATGGCACACACACAGAATATTGAGCCTGCACCAGCCTGTGAGGGGAGAATAAAAAGCAGACGATCGCACAGCGGTTGGCTTGTGTTCGGAGAGTGAGAGCCATTGGGCCATGGGCGGATGGAAGCAGCGTTGGGGCGCGGTTGTAGGCGGTTGGTGCGCGTTGGGCAGCGAGTGACGTACCCAACCCCGCGGCTGCAGCTCTGAAGCTCTCCGGCATCAAACACCCAATCAACGCCCCTCCCCTCACTTCCCGTTCATCGTTTCCAGGTCCAAATTTTACATTCTTCCCGTCTGCCCTCGCAACCGCTGTCGTCTCCTCCTACCTGCCCGGCTAGAAGTAACGCCTCATTTCGCTGCAAGATGGCAAAGGTAGACCAGAAGGCTGTGTTGAGTACGACACTTCGACACCTTTGGCACCACTGCAACTGCTAATCTCGCGATTCCAGTTGTTATTGATGGCTGGGGAATTCCGTCAGACGACTCCCCTCCCGAGGGCGATGCCATTGCTGCCGCCGAAACTCCGGTGATGGACGAGTTTGCCAAAGACGGCTCGAAAACTGCCCAGGGCTACACCGAGCTCGAGGCCTCATCCCTGGCGGTCGGCCTGCCCGAGGGCTTGATGGGAAACTCGGAGGTCGGCCATCTTAACATTGGCGCAGGTAGAGTTGTCTGGCAAGATGTGGTGCGCATCGACCAAACAATCAGGAAGGGTGAGATGAACAAGGTGGAAAATATCCGCAAATCCTTCCAGAGGGCTGTCGACGGGAATGGGAGACTGCACCTGCTCGGCCTCATCAGCGACGGAGGTGTCCACAGCCACATCAAGCACTTGTTTGCCCTTCTCCAAGTTGCGAAAGAGTTGGAGGTACCCAAGGTCTTCATTCACTTCTTCGGCGATGGCCGAGACACCGATCCCAAGAGTGCTGCCGGTTACATGCAAGAACTGCTCGCCAAGCTGCAAGAACTAGGCATTGGGGAACTAGCTACAGTGGTCGGACGGTACTACATCATGGATCGAGACAAGAGGTGGGACCGTGTCGAGATAGGCATGAAGGGCATCGTGCTTGGTGAGGGCGAGGAATCCTCCGATCCTGTTGCCACGATCAAGGCCCGATACGAAAAGGGCGAGAACGACGAGTTCCTCAAGCCCATCATTGTGGGTGGGGATGAGAGAAGAATCAAAGAAAACGACACTCTGTTCTTCTTCAACTACCGATCCGATCGAGTTAGAGAAGTCACCCAGCTTCTGGGCGACTACGACCGATCCCCCAAACCGGACTTCCCCTATCCTCCAGGAATCCATATCACGACCATGACCCAATACAAGACCGACTATACCTTTCCAGTCGCCTTCCCACCTCAACACATGGGCAACGTCATGGCTGAATGGCTAGCCAAGAAAGGCGTGAAGCAATGCCACGTCGCCGAGACCGAGAAGTATGCGCACGTGACCTTTTTCTTCAACGGTGGGGTCGAGAAACAATTTGAGAACGAGGACCGAGAACTCATTCCCAGCCCCAAGGTCGCCACATACGACCTCGATCCACCCATGAGCGCTCAAGGGGTGGCAGACAAGCTCAGCGAGCGAATATCAGACAACAAGTACGAGTTTCTGATGAATAACTTCGCTCCTCCGGACATGGTCGGGCATACTGGAGTGTACGAAGCGGCCATCAAGGGTTGTGCGGCCACGGACGCCGCCATTGGTAGCGTCTATGAAACCTGCAAAAAGGAGGGTTACATTTTGTTCGTGACCGCGGATCACGGTAACGCGGAGGAGATGTTGAACGAAGAGGGCAAACCCAAGACATCGCATACCACGAACAAGGTGCCATTTATAATGGCGAATGCCCCGGAGGGATGGAGTCTCAAGAAACAGGATGGCGTGCTGGGGGATGTTGCGCCCACCATCTTAGCCGCCATGGGGTTGGACCAACCGGAGGAAATGGGCGGAACGTCGCTGCTGATAAAGAAGTAAGTCTGATATTGCCGAGTTGTTGTTGCGCGCAGCTTGGTTGCCCTGCGTGCCGAGGGCCATTGGCATAAGGGGCGGAGTGATCTGCAGTGCTCCTGCGCCGCAAGAGAGCCAAGCGAGACTTCTTCCCCCATCAAGTTGTCGCATTGCATTAATAGAAAGGCACGAGCTGATGAGACATGAACATTCGGATAGACGCAAGGCAGACTCGTTGAACGAATAGAGTCCTCCGTGCTTCCAGAGACATCTCAACGCCATAGCATAACATAGGATGCTTCGTACATGCCAGCGTGATGCACGCCACACTCAAAAAAATAACTGTCCAGCCTCACAATCTACTCGGCTGAGCGCTACCACCCATCAGCCGTGCTGTATTGACACCTAAACCTCCAGTTTCTCATGCAGATACCTCCTCTTCCCCTCCCCATCGCCGTACTCCCCCGCGCCATGCCCCTTGCCCCTCAGCTTGTACTTGTAAATCGTCAACCCCTCCAGCCCCACGGGTCCCCTACTATGGATCTTGTTCGTCGAAATCCCGACCTCGGTGCCGAACCCGTAGCGCATCCCGTCCGCGAACCGCGTCGACGCGTTCCAGTACACGCCCGCCGAGTCCACCGCTGAGAGGAACTTTTCCGCCGCCGACGCCGACGCCGTCACGATGCAGTCGGTATGGTGGCTGGAGTGGGCGTTGATGTGCGCTATGGCGGCCAGGAGCGAGGGGTCGTGCGCGTCGCGTGCGTCTGACGAGCCTTCTTCTGACGACGCCACATGCCCGTTCGTCGCGAGCGCTTGCGACTGCCCAGCCTCGTCATGCTCGCCAGGCACAGTCTTGACGGCGATGATCAAGTCGAGGAACTCCGTGTCGTAGTCCTCGGCACGGGCATCTTGGAGCAGCGCGGCCTGGCTCTTGGTCAGGCATTCGCCCAACGCGGCCTTGGACTTTACATCACACCGCAGGCTCACCCCCTTGTCCAGCAGCGCGGCGGCCACGTCCGGCAAGACAGTCGTCAGCACGGATTCGTGCACGAGGAGCGTCTCCGCCGCGTTGCACGCCGCGGGGTAGTCGCACTTGGAATCCATGACCACGTTGACGGCCATCGTCTTGATATCAGCGGCGTCCTTGTGCAAGTACACGGAACACAGGCCGTCGGCGTGGCCTAGCACGGGAATCTTGGTGTGGTCTTTCACGTAGCGGACGAGTTCGTTCCCACCTCGCGGGATCACCAGGTCGATGTACCGGTCCAGGGACAGCAGGTCGTCAATCACGTCGCGCGTCTTGACGAGCTGGATGGCGTCGCTCGGGACCTCCGTGCCGGCCAGGGCGTGGGAGATGACGCGCGCGATGGCCTCGAATGAGTGGCTCGATTCCTTGCCGCCCTTTAGGATCGCCGCGTTGCCGGACTTGATCGCCAGGGCGGAGATGTTGGCGATGACTTCGGGCCGCGCCTCGAAGATGATCAGCAGCACGCCGATCGGGCACGAGACGCGCTCGAGCTCGAGGCCCTCGTCGAGTTTCGTGCGGAGGTCGACTCTCCCTATGGGATCGGGGAGGTCGCGCACGTCCAGTATCCCTTTCAGCATGTCCTCGTACTTGCCTGGTCGGGAGAGGTCCAGACGTTTGAGAACGCTCTGGCTGAGTTGGCCGTTTGCTGAGGCCTGGTGCGCCAAGGTCATGTCTGTGGCGTTGGCGGCTAGGATCACGGATTTGTTTTCCTGCAGGGCAGTGTGGATGGCTGTGAGGGCGGCATTTCGGGATGACAGGGGGAGAATGCAAAGCGTGTGGCTGGCTAGAGAGGCGGACTGGGCGCAGGTGAGCGGAGAGGAGGATGTTAGGGACATGATTGATTTCCGGTCCCTCCGAAGTAGGTCGGGGAAGCAGTACTGGTGGAGATGGACCGTTGTAAAACGTGGATGTCGATAGAGTCCGTAAACCCGAGGATATAATCAGAGATAGTGCAGACCCTGTTAGATTGTGGTCGGACTCTCTCAATCGACGAGATCGTTGGTTCTGGAGGAGTACGATATTTCCACCACCGCTAATCCCTCTCCTTATCCCGTTTTGATGTTCTCTCGGCTGTCAGGAGGAGGTGTGTGCGTTTGAAAAAGTGCAGATCCCAAGTACTGATGAAGGCCGGTGAAGGAATTTTCCAAAGTCTTAGGCCTCGTGCCTACCTCTCCCCTTGATTCTCTTATTATTAGTCTTCCACCAGTTTCTGCGTTGGTCTCTTGCCCGTCCGTGATTTCAAAGGGTCTCTCGACGGGCGCAATCGGGACACAGCATGCAGACGCTCGAGGGTTCGACGATTTAGACGGCCTGTACGGAGTATTCCCAAGAGACAAACGCCTACTGCCACGTTACGCCTTTCGAGTCATGTTGGCTAAGACGCCGACGTGTATCCAGAATCTTTTTGACTGGCATATCGGGCGGTGGGGCCCGACGCACCAATGGGAGGTGAAGTGATATACGAAATGTGTGCATGATCCGGGACTAGCCCAGTTGGCTGAAGACGGATTCCCACGCACGTCGTGGCACGTGTACTGGTATGCATGTCTGGACCTTGCGAAGATAGATGGCATTCGCAGGCGAGGGACCGTCGATGTACGAGAGTGGCTTTACGTTATGCTAACGAATTTCAGCCCTAAGCCAGGCTGGAACGATTGGAGTGACCACGAAGGCGAGGCAGTAAAGTGGACTCCAAGACACACACAGCGATGCACGGAAAAGTAGCAGGGTAACCTGGTTGTGACAGCGAGGCTTGACATGGGGAAAAAGTATAGAAGTCAAGCAGGAGCCGCAGCAGGTCGACCACCTTTTGAACTGACCATTTGAATTGTTCTTCTCGATGCGGAAATTTTCACGTTGCTCATCAACATGCAGTCCGAATTCTTGACCAAAGGACATGACGCCTCGCAGGGAGGATCGTGAGAGATAAGTGCACTATTCGTGCACGGGTTTGAGATCACGCGCCCACACTCAGTAGACACCATCACCGTCATCACCGTCGCACGGCCATGGTTCATGCCATTGTTAACGGCCAGCGGGCGGCACATGCTGCTCGACTCATCATCTTCAACAGGATAAAAGCGTAACACGAGTATGACCCGATATTTACACCTTGAAACCCTTGGACCGTCTGCGACCTCTGCCCTTCTCGAACTTCCGTCCCTTGCTCTCGATATATGGCTTCTTGTGCTTGTGAGGACCCATGCCAAAATGCTTGACCGCCTCTCTGGCGTTCTTCGGACCCCTCAACAACACCACATTGCTACCAGTAGGATGCTTCATGGCCAACTGATCGAGAGTAAGACATTCACCGCCGGCTTTCTCAATCCTGGCCCGGGCGGTGGATGTGAATCTTAGGGCGGCGATATGCAGCTCGGGGACGGTGAGCAGGCGGTTGTCATCTGTGACGGTGCCAATCACAGCGATGGTCTTGTCGGCGTAGGCTTTCTTTGCGGTTTCGGTAGCGACTTTGCTGGCGATGCGGGAGATGGACATTGGGGGACGGTTGATGCGGGACATGAAGAGACGCTTGAGGACGACTTTGTTGAAGTTGGAGTCGGTGCGGCCTATCACAGGTTGTTAGCATTCGCCATACTTTGTGCGACTCGAGGTTTCAGGCGTACGGGCCAGGAAGCGGTAGAGCTTCACCAAGAGCTTGAGGTAGACATTGTCGCTCTTGGGAGCCTTTCGGTGGCTCGCCTTGACGTGATGGCGATCGAGGTCGATACCTGCATGAAGTTATCAGTTGAGCGGCTCAAGAAGCGTCGAAGCATGGTGCGCACATACCCATGATCGCGGTTTGTGGAGGTTGTGCTGGGTTGAAAGCGTCGACGTCGTCCTCACGAGGTCAATCTCAAATTTGGTGGATGCGGAAAAGGCAGTGTGTGCAGAAGTGCTGCCAAGATTTCTAATTCAAAACTAACCGATCTCGGTTAGTGCCCGCAATTTGAGGTGATCGCTTCGGTGCCCTCTCCCAGAGATCCTCAACTTAAGTTCTTTAACATGGTAGCAATTGGGACCCTACTTGATCTATTGTTCGCTGATGATCTACTGCGGGAACCGATGCTCAGGCTGATCGAAACAAGTCTTTGCTACTCCTGAAAATGCCCACCAGCCATCCTGTCTAGTCCGTTTTGCCTGACTCCAGGAATTGTCGCCAACCCACCATGGTATCATGAAATGTACAGCAGCCACAACTTATGCTTCCCCGGCTCTGGTAGGAACATATTGGAGACCCGAAGAAGAGTATCCCGGTCATCACGTCCTGCTGGAAAAATTTCTTGTCATGAGCTCTCGCTCATTTTAACCTCCTGGAAGGAGCATCAATTGGCACAAAAAGCTTTGTATTGGCTTTCCGGGAATTCATAACGGTTCTGCCGCTTCCGAATCCGGTTTCAGGCCAACTAAGAAATCCCGAGTCATCTCGAAGCTGAGCCAACTGCTAGCCATACTCGGAGCCACTTTGAGCAAGTTGGGCACGATCCCTTTGTAGAGACCGCAGAATCCCTCTTGAGCAACAATGGTAGTGATTGCCCCCCATATCGACTTGTATTGGTAGCCCATGCCGCTCATCGAATTGATCTGGAACCGGCGCCGTAGCACATCAAAAGGATATGTGCATGTCTGAGCAACAGCTCCGGAGATGGCGCCAGCCGCAAGTTTTCTATACCAAACAGGGTTCTTTTCGCCCGGCTCGGTAAAGTATTGCCTGACGGACTCATAGACCATGAAGTTCAGGCCCACGTAGGGAGCCACGCCAGCCACGGTGGGAATGATGCCTCTGTAAAGGCCAGGGACACCACCCTCGTTCTTATACATGGTCACCATGGTCTGCCACATGCCTGGTAATCTTCCTTCGTGTTTCCCAAGCGCAGCGAATGAAGCGGACTGAATGGACAAGCGTGTTCGGACGATGTCCAGGGGATATGTGAATGTGACGGAGGTGATTCCAGCTAAGCCACCACAGATCAGCCGGCGCAGAGGGTCCAGATCGGCACCAGGCGATGGTTCGGCAAACCGTTTGTAGACATTGTATGCGCCGAACTGCACTGCTGAATATGGTATTATCCGTACGCAGTTTGTGCCGTTGCCTCTCATGAAGCCCCTCCAGCCCTCATCTGTGTACATCTTCTTAAGTGCTTTGACGATGGACATCTTATACTCGTTGCGGCCTACGCTTTGTATCTGGTAAAGGATCTTGAGCCGCTCTAAGGGGGAGACGACCGTCCGGGACACGGCGCCTGCAACACCGCCGGCACAGAATGCGGCTGTGAATGGAGCGGACAGGAATTCCCGCACAGGGAGAAGAATATCAGCTGTCGACATGGCTGTTGGGTCCTACTTCGAATTAGGGCAAGCCAACAATGGGCGCGATAACAATGGGCGCGATAACAATGGGCGCGATATACTGACCTGATTGACACTGGGAAGATCCGCAAGGGAAACTGAGCTCTGGCCTATGTTACCATTGACAGTAACCGGTTCTTTTTCTCCGAGACGCATGACTTTGGTGTATTTTGCGCAAAGGCAGTGAGGCAAGTGCCAAGGGATACAGCTGTAAGAATAGAGGTGTCACAGCGAGCGGTTTTTGGGTGCTGATAGAATCTGTGGCGTCCATGGAAAATTCTGTCTACGATGTTCGGTATCTGTGGATGTGCATACTGTGTTCGACGAGCTTTATCCCTTTCTGCCCACGGCCTCAGACCCCCTTTTCAAAAGATAAAGCCTCGTTCGCTCACAGCTGGATAGCTGTCGTCCACTGGGTAAGATGAACTCAGCAAAGGGTGATATCCGAATCGACGGATACGGGACAAGTCGGACGGGTGGGTAGCGCAAGCGACAAGGCGACTGTCCGAGCGGCTGCGAGCGAAAGGGGGAATCGTCGACTAGAACGACTCGCGGACGTGAAGATTAGAGCATGAGCGTCAAGACTGGCTCAAGTAACCAGCTGTACGGAGTAGAAGCGACGGGAGTGCGAGAGTCTCGTTTGTCGGGCTACGTGACCCTGTCGCCCTGTGCCCAAGTCAGTCTCAGATTCAAACTTCCAATCGCCCAGTTGGGTTTAGCGTCGCAGGCTGAGGCGGCTGCCTTTGACCAACTCATCCTCCTTGCTACAAATATCTGTCCAGCCTCGCGCCTTTCTCATCAAGAAATCACGAGTCGCTTTCTCCCAATCATACGGAGTACCCTGCATCAGCATCTCCTGCAGCTGAGATCACACCTGTCTTTGGCCTGCTGAGACCACATTGACCAAGCCATTCGTCCTTTGCCACCTGGCCTTCCACAAACATGTCTTCCCGATCTGGCACCACGCTCTATGTCACCGGCTTTGGTCACGGCACCCGTGCTCGTGACCTGGCCTACGAGTTCGAGCACTACGGTCGTCTGGTAAGATGTGACATCCCTGCTCCACGAACTGCCTCTAGCAGACTGTAAGTCACCTCTTTTTTTTCTGTCGACAGGCTTCCTCAGCTGACACGTGGACAGCTTTGCCTTTGTCGAGTACGAGAGTCGCCGCGATGCCGACGATGCCTACCACGAGATGCACAACAAGCGGATTGGCCGAGATGATGTTCTGAAGATCGAGGTACCAAATACCCTACCACCACTGCACTTACACCTGCTGACCACTCTTTCATAGTGGGCTCGTACTCCTCCTTCTGCTACCTGGCGTTATGAGGCTGGTCGTGACCGTGGCCGTCGAGAACGCTCGCCTCCACGTCGCTCCGGTCGTTCACCCTCACCTCGACGCCGCGACTACTCTCCCCGGAAGGATGATCGCCGCGACCGAGACCGCGACGACCGCAGAGATCGCGACCGAGACTACGATGATCGCCGCCGTTCCCGCAGCCCTGCCGACCGTGACCGTGAGCGGGACCGTGACATGAAGGATGACCGAGATCGCCGGGATGATGACCGCGATGCCGGTGCAAACGGAGACGACCGCAAAGGTATGATGGAAATCGACTCAGAAGGAGCTTGGCCCACCAACATTTGAAACAAAAGCTGACACCCGCATCAGCCCTGGACTCCCCTCCTCCGGCCCATGACGAGCTCGACACCGCGGAATGAACAACCACCCCGATTCGCCGCCCCTAATCATGTCACTGAGCCGTTGCGACAAGAGAGCTAGTTGCAAGTCGGGCGCGACCAAAAGTTGCTGTGTTAGGAGGATATGGGTTTTAACAGGTTTTCTTTCCTGGTTCTTTTATTGACACTGTTACTGTGATGTTTTCGTTGCGGAGCTTGCAGTCCTGAGAGGTTCAGGTGAAGCAATGCGCCGGTGCGATTGACTTGATATGGGAACTAGATCGGTCTCGAGCGGACGAAACTTTGCAGGATCGATCCTGTGCGACCGACTTTCCCCAACACCCCCAAGCATCAGCGATAGCTTACGAGTGCTCGATCGGAGCGTCGATACCTACGTACGAAAAATCGGACGGTACTAGCTAGGCAGCACTTTCCAGCGCCTCTTCCGTTCCCTATCCCCGTCGAGATGTACAACAACGCCCCTTTCCGTTCGGCCGCGTATTCCATCGTCGCAGCACTCCGCGTTCGGCGTCGTCCTCCACGTCCACCTCCTCGTCGTATATTCGCATCTGGCTGACACAGTCTACCCGTATATTCAGCGTTATCCGCCGTCTAGTCGTTGCGTCCGCATCGATCCGCTCCCTCCCTCTCAACGTTCACCTATCATTTCGACAGCACTAATCTTAACTCAGCTCGCCTTGCCCTCCACACGTTTCACCATGCGACGGTCCCTCTCCCATCCGTGCTGTCTCGGACGTCATCTTTGTGCTCTATTTTGTTGCTTGCCTCTGCCGGGCTTATATAAGTCTTGATGACGGCCTACACGCCGTGGCGGGGTGCTCCATCGCAACTCACGGGTAAGCCTTACATCTCTTTCGTAGAAAATTTGTCCTCGCGGACGCGAATTCTATTGCGTGAACACCACAGGAAAAGTACACTCAACGCCTTCCATAGAATGGCCGATTTCTGGTTCTGTGTTTCCTCTGCAGCCCAGGTGATCATGTCTCATCATGTTGAATGGTCCCCTTCCCATGCAACAACCATCATTTCACCGCAATAAGACACTAGTGTAATCTGAACCTGGTCATCCTCGACAAAACCTGCTGTCCTGCGTGATCGAGCTCCTTGAGCAACGTAGCACTAAACCTTCTGCTCACTCAGCATCCACGTCAATAGATCCACCTTGGTCACCACGGCCGTGGGTTTCAGGGCTCCCTTGTCGTCCCGCTCCGTCACGATCGCTGCGCTCTGCCACTCAAAGAACCTATTCAGCGCACTCAGAGGCGTCTCCACGGTGATTTCGACAAACTGTTTCCTCTTGCCTTTGCTCTTACTCTTGCTCTTGCTCTGGGCCCTGGGTCTGCTCCTTGCGTGGGTCCCGTCGACGGCCGCACCGTTCTCCTTGTCCGTCATCTCGCTCGAGAACTTCTCGTGCTGCTGCTGCTGCTGCTGCGCTACGGGTTCGCTCTCGGGATCGGCGCTCGTGGTCATCAAGTCGGACATGTCGGTCCTGTCCACGGACACCTCGCCGATGTGGCTGAAGTCGAACATGACGTCCGCGACGGGGCTCTTGCCCGTGGCACGGCCGTGCGAGATGCGCGACAGCAGGTTACCCAGCGTGACGAGGCCGACGAGCCTGCGCGACGGGCTGGGCGCTAGAACGGGGAGTTGGTCGAAGCCCTTTTCGCGCATGACTTCGATGGCGGCGCTGCTGGGGGAATCCGAGGTGACGGTCTGCACGGGCTTGAGGCGGAGGTGCTTGACGCGCGCGCCGTGGAAGGGGTCCGCGTCCTTTCTGGCGCTCGGGGTGCGTGATAATTGAGAGGGCGGTTGCGAGGATGAGGAGGGTGATTGCGGTTCTGCGGGAGGCGTCGGCGGGAGGAGGTTGTTCGCGGCCAGCCAGTCGTCATCGACGAATTTGGACAGGTACGAGCGGATCGAGTCGGGCAGGATCGTGACGATCACGTCGTCCTTGCCCAAGTTCAGGTCCTTCGCGGCCTGGATCGTCGCCGCGAGGGCGGATCCGCTGCTGCCTCCCACGAGGAGGCCTTCCTCGGCGATGAGCCGGCGCGCGTAGTGGAACGAGTCCCGATCGTCCGTCTTGTACCATTTGTCCACGACCTTCTGGTCCAGCACGTCCGGGATGAAGTCGTAGCCTATCCCCTCGACCTTGTATGGCTGGTTGGCGTATTCCTCGTTCAACTGCGTGGGCAGAGCCAGGATCGAGCCCTGCGGGTCCGCGGCGATGATCTTGATCGACTCCTTGTGCTTGTGCAGCCCGCGCGCCAGGCCGGTGATCGTGCCACCTGTGCCTGCGCCGGCCACTACGGCCGTGATCTTGCCGGCTGTCTGTTTCCATATCTCCTCTGCGGTCCCGAGTTCGTGGGCTAGCGGATTGTCCGGGTTGCCGTACTGGTCTAGGATGTGGGCGTTGGGAATCTCCTTCTCTAGCCGCTTGGCGACGCCGATGTGCGACTCCGGCGAGTCAAATGCTGCTTGGGTGGGAGTGCGGATGATGGTTGCATTGAGGGCTTTCAGCACGGCGACCTTTTCGGCGGACATCTTTTCAGGGAGCGTGATGATCGTGCGGTAGCCTTTGACTGCCGCGACGAGGGCAAGGCCGATTCCACTACATTGTGAGCTTGCTGTTAGCAACATGCAACCACATTCACGTTCAGTGGGAAGTGAATTCAAAGTGTGCTCTTCGGCTGCTCTTACGTATTGCCACTGGTGGGCTCGATCAGGGTGTCTCCTGGTTTGATGCGGCCTGATTTCTCAGCCTCCTCGATCATGCGCAACGCTATGCGGTCTTTGACGCTGCCGCCGGCGTTGAAGAACTCGCATTTCGCATACACGGTGGCTTCGATGCCGAGGGACTGGGGGATCTTGTTGAGGCGGATGAGGGGCGTCTGGCCGATCAGTTCGAGGGAGGTGAGGTGTGTGCCTTCGGCGTTGAACCGTGTCCCATTTGGTGTGGACATCGTGGTTAAGTGCTGCGGCGTTCGTGTTGACGGCGATGGAGTCAGTCCGGACTTGTACCCCAGTCTTGTGGTGGTACAGTCAAAGTGTTGCGGATTGTGTTGTGGAAAAGAATGAGGTGACAGAACGCAACGATGGCATGTGCAACAGCCGCTGATAACCGGGCCGATGCGGGGGATCATCACAACTGTCTCGGGGGGCGCCTCACCTACGCCTTAGGCCCCTGAATGCTTCGCCCTAATTATGATACTGTACTGGACATCCACCGGCAGCCACTCTCAGGCACTCGACGTGCTCGTCATCGGGCGCCCGAGGCATCGAGTAGTAAGGTGTTGGTGGATTCGCCTTCTGAACGAGCGGCGACAGGCTGATCAGGGACCTCGGATGAACCATTCCGCCGTCCGAGTTTCGAGTACGCGTCGCCGTGGGAGAAGAGCGAAGAGAAAGTATATCATCTGGTCTGCCCGCACCACAGGCCGTGCTCAAACCCGTTGAGGTCCGCTGTTTATACCATGGCATACCCGTGCTTCACCAAGACATACCGCAAGACCAGCTATGCGGCTATTGACCCCTCTAGACCCGAACTATCAGCAGAGAACAAGACTGTCATAGTGACTGGAGCAGGGCATGGAAGCATTGGTTCCACCGTCGCTCTGGCGTTTGCAAAGGCCGGAGCTCGAAAGATTGCTTTGGTAGGACGAACGGAGTCGACTCTTCAGAAAACAAAGGAAAGCATTGCCCAGGCATACCCGGGCGCGAATGTCATGGTGTCGGCGGCAGACATCTCCAAGGCAGAAAGCGTCGGTACGGCTGCTCACCATATCCGAGTCGAACTGGGTGCTTGGGATGTTTTCGCGAACTGTGCTGGGTATGGTCAACAGTTCTATGGAGGTACTGCGATGCTACGAAGCTGACCTTCTTCCGCACAGACACTTGCCCGATTTGACCTCCATTGCTGGTGCAGACGAGGACGACTGGTGGAAGGCATTCGAAATCCACGCCAAGTTTGCCACCCATTTCGCGAAGCATTTCTTACCCAAGTGCCGTCCCAATGCGGTATATATCAACACAAACGCTGCGTCTTGTCATCTGCCTGCCTCGCATTTCCCCAAGACTTCGGCTTATCTTGCGTCCAAATTGGCCATGGCAAAGCTCGACGAATACCTGGCGGAGGAAAGCCCGCAGCTACGAGTCTTCACGGTGCACCCCGGGGTGGTTCAGACCAAGATGGTCGAGAAGGTCATGCGCGGCCTTGATCGTGTGCCTGCAAGCGACGTCTTGGACGAGCCCGAATTGCCCGCGAATTTCATGGTATGGTTAGCCAGCGGGGAAGGCGACTTTCTGAAATCAGGAAGATTTCTGTGGGCTAATTGGGACGTGGAAGAACTGATCGCCCGCAAAGAAGAGATTCAGGCTGATCCGTCCTTGTTCAGAATCACCATTGGAGGGTGGCCGTTCCAGTAGAGAGGTTGAACTTGCCATGACATACAAAAAGGCATTGGTCGCTGGGGGCGATTCAGCCCTACGCCAAAGTATCATTCGCGCTCCGGTGTGCACGAGGTATCATCTCATTCGAGCAGCGAAGAGACGAGCCACTGTAGCGGCAGGGACGCACAGCGTTTTGGTCCCGTCAAGGCATGATTCATGGAATGATATTCCTGGCATTCCAGTCGCCGGCCTGCCCGCCTGCCAGCCAGGATCAGGCTGTGCAAACTCGTCGTCTTGGGTCTCCCCTGTTGCCTCTCAGCTGTCTTTGCCGACAAGCTGCGGCTTGCCAGCGACTATCCTCTTCAAGGTCTCCAAGAGGCCGGTCCGATCTAGCATTCAGCTCTACGTACTTCCTCCGCTACGCTTGACTCTTGGAAGCTCTTCTTTCCGACACTTAAAAGGGCACGTTGGCTTGGCCTCGCTTAGCTAGGGTCTTGTTCCGCCCTCTTCCAAGGCTTGCTCATTCGCTAGGGAAGGGCTGTGTTGCTTGGCCCGCATGCTGCAGCCCATCGAGACCCTACAGCGAACATAATTTCGCCGCCGCCTTCGTGTTCTTCTAGCCTAGGCGCAACCACTGGGAAGCATTATGGACTTTTGCCGAAGCTTTGAGAAAGCCAGTGTTTAGGGCTCGCCATTCACAGTGGCTTTACGCCCGTATTCGCTGCTCCGGTCGTAGAATTCGGTCTGTTCCAGGTCGATGCAGTTCCTACCCTAGACCGCCCTACGACGAACTGGGGACGACTTGACAGGTAGGTCGGCTGGAAGAGCCAGTCATGTCGAGACAGACACAACGAACAGACAGAAGCTAGCTAGCATGAAATCGACTCCGCCGCAGTCGCATCTAGCCACGCGCGATGCACCGCTCAACACATACAACGAGAAGGTTTCCGCTTGGTCAAAGCCTTGGAGCCTTTCAGCGCCGTAAGCATCTGTGGGAGAAGATTGCTCGAAGAAAATGGGACGTTAACTTGGACTTGTACTACCGGTCGTGCTCCTCAGCTTCACTTCCACGTCTCTCTGGCCTCGTCGTTCTGTTGAGACAATCCTACAAGTATGAGGCTCTTGTATCTCGCCCTTGCAGCTCTGCTGTCTACAGCTCTGGCACAAGAGAGCACTACAGATAGCAGCACTGCTACCAGCACAAGTTCCCAAGCTTTCACAACAACCATTGCGGTCGGCCGAGCAGGACATACCTTTTCTCCTGATGTCGTTCAGGTTCCGGTGGGCGGCTTTGTTGGTATATACCCAACTCTACAGCCAGAAGTTAGGTTCGTCGCTGACAATGTCGTCCCAGAGTTCGACTTTTATCCCACCAACCACTCGGTCATTCGGGCAGAATACCTGAATCCATGTGTTCCTTATGAGATAACCGGTACGATGGATATTCCCTTGTTCTCCCGACTATAGCTATCTGCTGAATAAAGTTCCACGACACCATGAGCTAAGTGTTTTGAATTGCAGGTATCGGCAAAGTCGGATTCTATTCTGGCTTCAGACCCGTCGACGCTATCCTGGCCGACCCACCAAAATGGACTCTTCAGATCAACGACTCAGACCCCATCTTCTTCTACTGCGGTGCTCCAGGCTCTTGCACCACCTACCAGATGGTCGGGGTCATCAATCCCAATGCCAGCGTCTCGCTCGACACTCACAAACAATACGCCGCCGACGCCGACTTCGCGCTGCTGCCCGGAGAGCCGTGGCCAGACGAGCACGACCCTTCCGTAACGACCTCCACATCCACAGCGACTGCTATATACACGACGAGCATGACTGCCACAATGTCCTCGACGCCCACCACTTCGGGATCTGCGTCTGGGGCAACAGCCACGCCCGAGTCACATGCTCACCAGTCGACTCTATCCACCGGAGCCATAGCCGGGATTGCCGTTGGTAAGCCTCAACGGTCCCTTTTCCCGTCTTCTTACTCTCTAACCCAACCCAGGTGGTGCTGCAGTCGTGCTCGCCGCAGCAGCGCTCATCTTCTTCTGTGGCCGCCGATCCAGACGCCGGGCCAGAAACGAACAGCCCACCGCGCCCACCACGCCGGCCATGGGCCCGACTCACCCGCCAGCCTACGTCCCCCCGGCCACAAACTACGGCTACATGTCACCCACGAACAAACACCTGTCCATGACGACGGCCACGCCCGTCACCGACGCCTTCGGCAATCCCATCCATAATGGTGGCGGACCATACAGCGGCGGCGGCTACCCAGCCGCCACCTACCCGCAAGGCTACGCGGGACAGCCCCCAATGCAGCAGTCCCAGTCCCCGCATATGATGGGCGTCGGCAACCCGCGTGCTTCCTATCCTCAGCACTCGCCCTCCACGGACATCTTCGGCACAATCCAGCAGCAGCAGCAGCAGCAGCAGCACATGCACGACACCCAGTCTGCCGCAGAGGTGCATTCCCTGCGGGCGAGCAGTCCGAGCTCCATGCACGCGTCCCACGCGGCCCCGGCGCCCGTCGTGGGCGGCATCGAGGCCTTCCTCCAGCGGCAAGGGCGGACAAGCCCACAGCCCGAGAGCGAAGTTCCGGGCGACCAGGCCTTTCCGCATGGAGGTGTCGGGCCTTATGAGATGGCCGCTACGGGCACGCACTTACGGCAGTCGTAGTCGTGGGCATGGCGTGTGAGCGTGATTGTCCCCTAGGGGCATGACTGAGACCAGCATGGGTGGATTGGTGCATGAATGAATGAATGAATGACGGGCAGGACAAAAGGGAAGATCATGGGGGCGGCAGAAATCGCTTCGGCAATCCGCTCGCTGATATTGGGGGGAAGCGTTTCGGAGCCAGCTTACTACGTGCTGGAGCGTGGGTCCTACGTGTCCTACTCATTCGGTCCGTACGTTTGGAGTCCATGTTTATACTTTTAACTTTTCGCTACTTGTATGCATGTGTTTTACCTCCGGAGTGGTCCTGATGATACAGTCTACTGCAGTTATCCTGCACAAGCAATCCATTTCAAGTCTATAATGCAGATATGTTGCAGCGGTCTACTGTCTATGTATCAAGTCGCTGCTTCAGCGTTTCCTTAGGTAGTCGCCTCCTTTAAGCGCACTCAGTACCCCGTACACTCCGGCTAGGGGCCACACACTCCATAAGCCGCGTTCGATAGGTAACTTTGCGTCCTTTCTTGTAAGCTTTCCATCCTCGTCTTTGACGTCTTCGAAGAGGTCCCGTGTCTTGACTTTATTAAACACGCTAGGTATGTAGCCCTCGGCTTTGTATTTCGTTCGCAACGCGTCGTACCATTGCTTGTCGTAGATGTCCCAGAATTCGTCCTCGGTGTAGAAAGTCTGTGCGTACAGCCATTTCATGCCACCCAGGGATTTGAGTTTGCGTTCGATAAGTCGGTTGATCGTAACTTGGAGGTATTCGGCAGGCGTTTCGCCCCAGACACCAACGTTGAGCAGAGAATTGTCGAATTGATTACTATCCTCATCGCCACCCTCATCAGTGTCCGTGGCGGTAGCAGATCCAGATCTCGAGTGCGGACTCATACTCACGCCTGCTCTAGGCTTCAGGGGGCACAACCACCTCGGATAGACGTGCGGCAACTCCGTGTCGAGCCACCGGGAGAATTCGGGCATGTTCTTGTTTGGCACTGCCATGTCCTGGATTATGAAGCGCTGGTAAAGACCTGAACGATGCAAGGCGTGGTACATGATCCGGGTGTGCATGAAGTAGTCGGCTAGCCAGCGTACGGGGCGAATGAAGGGCACATAGAAATATCTGTACGCGAAGCGTCCGGTCCAGAAGGCGCCACGGTCATAGCGAAAGAGATAGTCCGTCAAAGGGATCAAGTCGCGGGGAGGAGACATGAACGGAAGTTTTGATGTTGGTGTCGATGTGGAGGACGGCATGACGCTGTTCAGTCTCGCTTCGGCGTGCAGGTAGAACCATTGATCCCACGCCTTGGTGAACGTGACAACAGGGAGATCCTTGCTTTCGTCGCTTCGATCAGCAAACCTCCCAGACATGACGACCCCTTTGTCCGGAGCAAACATGATTCCATCGACGAAGTCGGTCCCTTTTTGTTTTGTCGCCTGCTTGATGACTTCCTGGGCCTGCTCAATGCTTCCCACTCCCAGATACGACAGCTCGACAAATCCTTTCGCAGGTAACAGGCGCAACTCGAAAAGGGTTATGACGCCGAGTGTGCCAAAGGTGCCCGCCATACCGTGGAACAGATCGGGTCTCTCCTCCTCCGAGGCCGTCACGACCTCGCCATCCGCAAGAACAACCTCCAGCCAAGTCACGGTTCTGTCGAAAAAGCCATGCCTGAAACTGCTGCTTTCGCCCGCGGTGCCCGCGAACCCGCCTCCGACCGTGATGCCCGGAAACTCGGGCACAACCGGGGGTACCAGACCATGCCGCAACGTGGCTTCGACCAACTTGTCCATGGGCACATTGGGCTCGACGAGACACGTTTGCTTCGACGGCGAGACAGAGAGTACGTGGTCGAGCGAGGAAGTGTCCACTGTGGCATCTCGCAAACGCTCGCTCAGGCGAGTCGAGTTTGTGTTCCCGTGAAAGATGCGGAAGGGGATCCTCTGGGTATAGAAGTCGGCCACCTGGTTGGAAATTCGGGCCACGACTGTTTTGTGCTCCGCCAGGGATACATCATGGTCGTTACTGCCGGCAGATTCGCCCATCGTCAAAGCCAATATCCCCAGATGCAGAAGGCACGCCGACGTCTCTTCTGTCCGAAGCCCTCCTAGCTCCTGCCCACCCTGAGGATAACAGTAGAGCGCATGTGCACTCAAGGCCTCTCCGAACGGCTCTGCGCCTCTCACAAGCACACTCACTTGTCTCTTGGGTTTGATATTCCCACCTTGCATCAAGCATCGAAGCTGACGCGTCCACCGACGGCACTTAAGCGACAGTTTCAAGGCGGGACCGAAGCTTCCTTGCTCATGTCCACTTGCGTCTCGAGCTCCTATGCCTCGAAGTATTAGTTCTACGGCGGTCTTCAGAACTTCATATGCATTCTCACTTTCCTCGCGGATGCCTCACTTTCTGCTGGGAAGACATTCAAGCACCGGACGAACATCTGTCCGTCTCGCTTTGCACCGCACATTTATACCTTCAATGGGGTGTGGCTATCCAACATCTTTCTACCTCGATCTAGACCACACTCCAGCATTCATGGGGCGTCAGCATAATCAACATCTCTCTGTGGGTAGTGCCCGGCGTCCAGCGCGAACTGCAACAGAGTGCCTTCGCCACCCCAGTATGCTGTGCCGAAAGCACGCATGAGATCCAACCCATTCAGCAATGCCCCACTCGTCCACAGCTTGCCATCCCTCTGCCAGCGCTTCTCCACCCAATTTATCCCAGGCGCTGTCTGGCGCAGTTGGTCTAGCATGAAGCGTGGCGCTGTCACCGTCTTGTCCTTGAACAGGCCGGCCTGGAAAGGCGCCTGACACCCTCCACATATCGTAATGAAGGCCGAGCAGTCATCATAGCTCTTCCGCATAAAGTCAAGCTCCGCCTGGGTCGGGGAGTAATCTCCAAGTTGTACATGAGCTCCCATGAGCACGATGTCGAGCGGTGGACAGTTCGCGAAGGTGTCCTGAACAAATGATGAGCACTTCGACTGGGTACAACACGAGTCAACTTACGGTCGGCACAAGCGTGATACCTCCAGTCAGTCGTGCCGTTTTACCGGTCTCGTTGACCCAGTGGAACTCGATGTCTAAAGCTTGAGCGTCGATGTCTCCCGGATAGAATGGCTCCAGGGCTGCAACGAATTTCTTTGACATAGCATGCAGCAGGTCGATCGGGGCAACGTCCAGCACCTCCGTCTCCCTGTGTCGTGTGTCAATCATCATGTGCACAGCACTGGACATCTCACGTACGAGTTCAACAGTATCACTCCCACCTGGATGGGGCGATTGGGTTTCGAGAGATCAAAATGTTCTGGCATTTTGCGCTTCTCTTCACAAGGAAGATTCTCTGAATGCTATTCCACCGGCTCTGCTGATGTGGCACTATCCTGTCAGGCATTGCCGGGCTTTATATACACGACCATGGAGAACGTACGGCAGGCGAAAGCAATGGGCCGCATGCTGTTCCCTCCCATGTTTGAACCTTTCACCCATCTTCGGTGCAAGGAAGTCCCCATCAGGCCGGAGTTGAGCAAGTTTCTGAGAGATACGGGCTTTCCTCAAGTGACGGCGTTAGTTTCCTCCAGCCACTTGCGCAAAGGAGAAAGATGTTGCCTGGATGACAATGCCCGTCGCTTCCGGCCAGCCAACTAATCAGGTACATGAGTTCAATCTTTGGAAAGTTCACGCAGATGATACTCGTACCAGGGACCACAACAACCCAATCGGGAAAGCAGCACCGAACCGGCATAGCGTCGGGCAAATGACAGTCCATTCCCAGCAAGGCTGTGCCTGTTCAGAGGTACACGAGTGAGAGGCATATGGATGCTAGGGCCTCCCGATCATGCTAACAGTGAAGCATAGAGACGGTGGGTGAGTAACTCTGTGCGCGGCATCCATCATGTTGCAACATCCGACAAATAAGTTAACCTAGTAAACGTCATGGGCAAATGAGTGCCCCAAATGGCCTACCATGAGGCAGGTCGTCTGGAAGCTTTCTCCTGCTCCAAAGAAAGACGAAGTTAGACTCACGTGTCCTTTTCTGACAAAGGGTACAGGGGAGAATGCTGTGGACCGGCACGTACTGGCCTCTCTGTTTCGGAGCGCCCAGGCATTCCATCGTCTCTTGGACCATTCGTCAATCTACCTATATCGCAGACCTCGGTATGGACCTCGGGAGACCACTTGGCGTCCTCCTTCCTTGTAAGCTTGGAAAGGAGACAACTTCCGGCATCTCTCTACTCGGTCCTGGGAGATAGGTCTAACAGCCGGGCATGGACACGATCACAGGAGTGACGCGTTTCTTCAGACATTTACCAGTGGTATTGTCTGTCATTCACGACAACACAGCCTTATGCTCAGCGATTTGATATGTGCGTGTTTGGCAGGACCACCTGTGCACGACGAACAGTCAACCGAGGGACCGCGGATCTACTAACATAGCTCGGCTCAGAGCAGGCGCTTCTGAACTTTCAAAACGAGGTACATCCCGGCTGCTTCCCTGGCAGACCCATGTGCCCATGCACACACTTTATGGCGGCTCTTGAAGAAGAGGGGGAAATTGCGGGGGAGGGTCCATCGTTGCAGAAGTGGGGCCTGGAGAACGCCATGCGCCTACCATGGTAAGGCCGGGGGACACCAGGACGGCGCCTCCCTTGGCCACGAGAAAGGCCGGTTCAACGAGACTCCCCGGTTGGCGGAGATCTACAACTGACTGAGAGGCGCCGTTTGCTGTGGGAATCGAGTCCTCTTGGCTTGTGACTGGGACGCGACACACTCCTTACCAAGCAAAGCCAACCGCCCTGCCTCCAACGAATGCACGAGTCGAGATGTCTGTACAGCACTGTGTCAAAATTACTGACTCAGCGCCTCTCTTGCAACGGCCAGAACCGACAGATCGCCAATCAGACCAAACAGCGACATTAGAGCCAAGTTGCAAGCGACCATCCACCATGTGCGGGCTGCATAAGCCCGTAGCCCTAGTCCAATATGGAGCCCGGTGTCTGAAACCCCAGACTTTGGTCGCAGCTTCGTCAACACTGCGAAACCGAGGTAGCCGTTCCAGCCAAACGGTTAGAGTTTGATACTGTCGATCCGGAGAAGCGGGGTGGAACGATGTGGCATGATATTTGACCCTGAGGTGCCCTCTTCGTTGGCATCTCCGTCTTCTTCATAACATTACTGGGTCGCCTATTCTCATACCGGACCTCAGTCATCCGCAGCTTGAAGCGGCACGACAGGAAGCACGACCCATCATGAGTGTCCTACCACCAGAGAACACAGATCGACTCGAGCATGAGAGGCAGCACGATGCTGAGCTCCGTCACGATAAGGAGATGATAGAGCATCGGGAGCATGCCCATCTTGAGGACGAGAAATCACAGGTCAAAGAGGAGTTGACCGCTGCAAGCCCTTCTGAGCCGGGCAGCGACACGCCGGAGTACCAGACTAAGACGGTCTGGACCCTCAAGACTTTCGTTGCCACGGTTGCCCTCAGCGGCCTCTACGTGGGTTCGCAGATACCGCTCTACTTCGTGGGCGGATCTCTTACGTTCATCGCTGCTGATATCGGTGGAGCTGAGGCGTCCGCCTGGCTATCCGTCTCATATGCGCTTGCTCTGTCCGCCGTGGCACCCTTCTGCGGCTATCTCCAGGACCTCGTGGGGCGGCGCAACATCACCCTCGCTGGTGGCGTGGCACTGATGATGGGCTGCGTCGTCCTGGCGACAGCCAAGACCTTTGGCGCAGGCGTTGTGGGAATGAGCTTCGCTGGGGCTGGGGCTGCGATCGGCGAGTTGACGGCTCTTGCTGGGTTGGTGGTATTCTATATGCGACCAGGCTCATGAGGCTGACTTGTCACATTAGGACTTCCGAGCTCGTCCCTGTCAACAAGCGAGGCATATATCTTGCACTGGTGACGTTGTTCGTTTTGCCGTTCGCGCCGTATCTGCTTTACGCGCAGCTGCTGTCAACCTACCACACCTGGCGATGGGGCATCTGGATCTGCTTGTGAGTGAACAGGGGCATCCCTGCTGTGGCTGTCGTAGCTGACGCAGAATGGCAGGATCTGGAATGGTCTCTGGTGGGTTATTATCTTTGCCGTCTACTTCCCAGAATCCCAGATCCGAGCGAAAGGCCAAGCTGCCAAGGCGATTCTGAAGAGGATTGATTATATCGGTGGGGTGCTCTCCATCATGGGCTTGACACTTATGTAAGGCTTCCTGCTCGAGAACGTAGACGAGACTTTGCCTGACTTGTTTCTCCTAGCCTGGTCGCTCTCCAGGCCGGAGGGTATTCTCACCCCTGGACAAGTGGCTACGTGATCGCGCAGCTTGTCATTGGCGTGTTCCTCCTTGCCGCTTTCGTGATCTGGGAGTGGAAGTACTGCAAGGATCCGATGGTCCCGCATGAAATGTTCGCAGGGCAAAGAATCGTTGCAATGGCGTATGGGATTGCCTTTATCGCTGGTGAGCATGATTCCTCGACGTGCTGTGGTACTGGAGCTGACATTTGCATCTACAGGCATGAACTTCTACGCCATGCTCAACTTCTTCCCCTTGGCCTTCAGCACCATCTTCGACCCCGATCCGGTCAAAGTCGGCCTCCGCGGCCTGGCCGCCGGCCTGTCCACCACCTTTGGCGCCGTCATTGCCAACGCCGCGCTCTCATGGTTCAAGGGCCACAACCGCGAACTCCTCCTAGCAGGGTGCCTCATCATGACGGCTTTCGGTGGCTCTTTCGCCGCCGTCAATCCCGACCGCGAAGGCCTCGCCATCGGCCTCAGCACCATGACGGGCTTTGGCGTCGGCGCCGTGCTCGTCCCCGCCGCCACCGTCGCCGTAACAGTGACGCCGGACACCAGCATCGCCACGTGCGTCGCCCTGTCGCTCACCATCCGCGCCGTCGGCGGCTCCATCGGCTACGCCATCTACTACAACGTCTTCATCAACAAGCTCACGCCCAAACTGCCCGTCTACATCGGCGAGTACGCCGTCGCCGCGGGCCTTCCCCTGACCTCAGCCCAAGAATTCGTCGCCACTTACCTCGGCGCGCCTGCGAATGTGACGGCCGTACCAGGCGTCAACGCGCAGGTCCTCGACGCCGCCGCCGTGGGTAGTCGCTGGGCGTACGCCGACAGCCTGAAATACGTGTGGTTGGCCAGCATCAGCTTCGGCGCCTGCGCCATCATTGCCTGTCTTTTCATCGGCAACATCTCGAAATATATGACCAACCGGGTGGCGGCGCGGATCCGCGAGTAAGAGAGCTGGCTGGCTGGCCGACTGGCCGGGAAATTGGTTCCGTGGCTGGGCCTTGAGTAATGAGATCTGGGGAACTCGACCTTGAAACTCCGATGACCGGGGAGATGCCAAGGGCTGAGGTGCTCTACGTGCTATAATGAGATGTATGTCGGCGGTTTACTGAGTGAATGAGTGAGTGAGCAAGTAAGTGATTGAGTGGATCGAAGCACCACATAATAACGAGAATTGCAAAATCATTAGTCACTCTGTCTGTACACCTTCGGCCTATGTGGACTTTTGACAGAATGATGATGATGATGGTGATCATACTACGCACGGGTATGCCCTGAAGTCGTCAAATGAAACACGCTATTAGAGTCCCCGTTGCTCCATACAGCCAATACAACTATGCATATAGGAAGGATGCTCCGAATCATGAAGAGCATCATTCAACAGGATCATCAACAACCTCTTGGCCAGCGTAAAGGAGTGCGGCCGCTCAAACCCGGCATTAGTTGCCGCTGGAGATTCAGAGAAGGATTTGATTAGTACTTAGATGATGGTGGCCTAACTGTGAAGTTTCCCCTACCCCGCCCAAAGCCTCGTCGGAATCGAGGAAACCGAGGGCTTCTAGATAAGTATAGATACAGTGTTTCCACTGCACTGCAAATTGCAATAGGTTAGCACGGTAGAACGGTACTGTAGTGCTGTGGTAGGGCACTGCCACTGCGCATCGTCTGAAGTAAAGTCCCATCGTACCGTATATGCGAGGACTAATTAGTTAGCTTCTCAGCTATGGCTATGTATGTATATATGTATGTATATATACTGGCCGTGGGCGTGCCTGCCTGCCTGCCTCAAACAGCAGGGGGTAGGAAAGGGGAACGGCGTCACGCGCGTGCCTACCACATGTAAGTATGTACTGTGTACTGTGACATCTTTCGGTGTTTGTGTCGCCCCTGGGGGACTGCCACGACTCGGTGGAGAACTCCAGAGCATAATTAGCTACTAGTATCGAGGGGATGAGTCGGGCGTACACCAAGCACTGTAAATGGTATGTCGTTGCCCAGCTGATGCCCATGTCTTTCTTCGCCGATATCCTGTCAACAAGAGGTCCGCAGCCCTCTAGGGAGCGCTCGAAAGGGCTGAGAATCCGGGCACTCGATGCGGGACAATGGACCTCTTAGCTTGTGCTTATGCTTGTGCTTGTTACGACCGCCGTGAGGCTGCCGCGGTCCGCGACATGTTCAAAAATTCAGTACAAAACTCGATGGTCGGACTACAGGAGACACAGTGGGCGAGCGAGCAAATTCAGGTTCAGGTCTCTTGCTCATCATTTCCTAAACGCTTCCGAACAACAGTGTTGGTGTTGATGTTGTGTTGTGTTGATGTTGTGTTGTGTTGATGTTGTGTTGTGTTGATGTTGTGTTGTGTTGATGTTGTGTTGTGTTGATGTTGTGT